TCAGATTATTATACACATCCACTTGGAGCAGAAAAGCTATATCTCTATATCTATTTTCAAATGCCTCATGCTTGTTCTACTCATGCATTCCCAAACATTGCTTAAGTTGACTAGATCATTTTGCTGTAACTCGAGATGAACTCTCTCGGGTAATGATGAGATAAAACCCTCAAGCAAGTAATTTTCTTATTTTTTTTTACCTTTCTCTGACTTGATTTTCAATTAATGAGCAGACTCATAATGGACTGATGTAGACTTTGATTGCATTTGGCTTTTCATAGATGTAAGTGAAAGATCTTATTTATCAATAACTAATATTGACAAATATTTTTCATATGAGAATGATGAAATGATAGTGTTAAACATAATCATGAAAATTATGCATAGAATGAAATTATATGATAATCTTAAAACATGAGCATGAATATGATGCATAGAATGAAATGATATGGAAATGGTACAGATGCATAAAATCAAATAAACAAAATAGTTAGATAAGTAATATACAAATCGTTCCTTCTTATGTCCTAATTTTGGGTGATATCTATTGATGGGTAGAAAAGGTTCTATCCTAAGGTTGGCCTCATAGGGGTGAACTATATGCAGGGTTAGAAGATTTTGATCACTAAAAGGTTCTCAAATTATTTCTTACATCATCATCTATCATAGACTAGTAAGGCAATTCAATCCTCACTCATCACAGGCTATCAACAGAAATGATTTAATTTAAGTAAGAGTATTTCACTAGCCATTGTAAATATTATCATCTCATGAAAGCGTAGGTACTTTACTCCTTCTTAAGAGGGACAGAGCCCAGGTATAGAGCTCATGTAATGTAAATGCATGTGATAGTATGTGAAAAAGAACATATAGGTTTTATGCCCCCAAAAATAAAATAAGAAATAAAAAGGAAAAAATGTTAGTAAACAAATAATTACAATTTAAAACCATTAAACCAAAGAATATGATAAATTCAAAAATTATGGGTTGACTCTCTATAGCGTCTCCAGTGGAATCGCTTAACTGTCATAATATATAGATCCATAAATCTATAGCTAGACTTAACAAAATGAATGGAGTCACCACTAATCTTTTTTATCTAGGTGTGATTGGTCACCTAAGGAATTCATTCTTTTAAGGAGCTCCTAAGCTCGACTAAAGGTCCTTAAAAGAATAGGTTCAGGTTTACAAACCAGAACAAACTTCGGGAGTTCGGTTACATGTGAGAAAGGTTATAACATCCCCACATGCCCATCCAAAGGATGGTACCATATTATTTCAAATTTATCCTAGGGTCTTGAGTCTAATGGTTTCAAATGTTGAAAATAATTTATAAGATTCTTCCATCAATCTAGTAAATTCTTAAAAATATTTTCTCACTTCAAAAGTATTCAAAGATCCCATTTATTTCCTTGAAGAGGCTCTGTAGTAGGAAAAAAATTTATTATTATTTTTTGTTAAAAATATATCTAATAATTTCACCATTTGGGCCAAATTAGAAATATTTTCTTGTTTTAAAATTTTAAATTCTTCACCATTTGGGCCTATTTAGAAAATTTTTTATTATTTTTTTCAGAAAGAAAATAATATGAAAATTATTTTTATTGAAACTTCATCTAAATTATTACACCATTTGGGACAAATTTAAAAAAAATTTCTCACCTAGAGATTTCTTAAAAATTTATCATTTGAAATTTTTAAAAATCTCATCCTTAAAAAATTATCTCATATTTTCAACCAAAATTTTATTTAGAAAAGAATACAATTACTTTTGTTGAAATTTCATTTAAATTATTTCACAATTTGGGATAAATCTAGAGAAAATTTCTCACCTAGAAATTTCTTTAAAATTTACCACTTAAATTTTCTAAAAATCTCATCATTGGGTAATTTGTATTTAATTCCAAAAAATTTTATATTTTTATATATTTTTATTTTTTTGCTTGAAAATAAACATTAATTATTGTTATTGAAACTTTATCTTAATTATTCCACAATTTAGAACAAATTTAGATAAAATTTCTCATATAAGAATTTTAGAGAAATTTACCATTTGAATTTTCTATAAATTTCATTATTAGATAATTAATATTTATTCTCAAAATTTTATTTTATTTATTTTATTTTTATTAAATTAAATCATGCAAAAATATTCCTAAAACGAACACATAAATAAATAAATAAAATAAAAATAAAAAATACCAAAGAACGGCTCGGCTTGAAGCAAAAAAAACAGCTTAAAAACACAGCTCGAGAGTACGCGACTCAGCTTGGCTCGGCTCTAAGGGACGGCTAGCAGAGGGGTCAGACATAGGTCGCGATTGGGTCAGGTTGGTCCCATGACAAAACGTGCGGATCCAATGGGATTTAGTAAAGCCAAAACGGTGTCGTTTTACAATGGTATAAAAGGTAAAAGCTTTCATTTTTCTTCATACACCTCATTTCCTTCTCTCTCTTTTCCCCTTTTTTCTCTCCCCTCTCTCTACAAAATTCTAGAATCCTATTAAATGTTTTATCAGAATCTGAAAAAATCCTTTGGAAACTAGAAAAAGACGTCGAAAAATTCAAGTTTTATCAAAAAATTGATCAGAATCTAAAAATTTTTTCAAAAATTTTTCAAGAAAAGAAACACCAAAAATTTTGAAAATTTCCTAAAAATCCTAAAATTGCTTCTGACTCCTTCCAAAATTTTTTAGACTCTTGCTTTCTATTCTTTGCTTTTTGTTTCGTGTGTTTAATCTGTGTCCAAGCCTATATTTATAGGCATTGATTAGAAGAATTTTTTATCAATGATAATTCCTTTTGTAATTGAGATTCAATCTTTGAGTTCAATTTCAAGTTTACCAACTCGAGATTCACGGTAAAAAATTTTTCTTCTAGAACAAAAAATTATATTAAAAAAATAATTAAAATAAATTTCAAAACAAATAAAAATAAAACTGAGTCAAACTTGTCCCATTTGAACCAGACCTAATTAATCTGAGCCTAGACGAAATTAGATGCCTACAAATATCATTGCTATCCATTTTTGAGTTGATATTTGTATGATATTAAATGAATAGTCATTCACAATACATGTTTTTTTTTTTTGAAAAAAAATCAAATTTGATTTTTTTAAATTTTTTTATGAATAAAATATTCAAATATCACAATAAATATTTAAATTAAAAACTTTGCATGCAAGAAATTTAAGGCAGTCGATTGTAGGAGAAACTGAAATTGGTGCAAGTTTGATATAAGAACACCTACCAACCATTACTCTTAGATTATTGTCTGTCCCAATAACCATGAACATAAAACTTAAAGAGTCAATTTTGATTTTTTTTTTTTTTAAGTCTTACATTAAAAATAAAAAAAAATACAAATGTTAAGATTTTATATTAAATATCAACTCCTAAAAATAAATATATAAATTAATTAAATTAAACCCTTATTTTTATATGTAAAACATTTAACATGCTTTGATTTCAATGATGAGCCATCTTTTTTTTTTTTCCACAATGAAAGTGATTTATCATTAATTATGGCCTGGAAACTTGTTGCTGTTTGCACGTGACTGCAAAAGAGATTGTGGGTCGTAATTCATAAATTGAAGTGGAGACATTGTGGCGGTTGTTACACTTTCATGTTCATGTAATAGTAGTAGGTTTCAAATTACATCAAACTTTGTTAATTGTTATTGCATGTTTATTTTGTTTCAAATTGAACATTTATAGGATTTGGACTGTTCAGTGTTGCCTACGAACAAGATTTGGATTGGCTCTATGAAATGGAATGTGTCTTTTCATTAATATGGTGGTTTAGAATTTACTTCATCTTTTCACACCTAATTATCAATCGGTCTTAGAAATTAAACTATATATAATATTTTGATTAAGCGGTTTTAACCACTCATCGATATAAAATATATACAATTTGATAATCAATTCTGTAACTATCTCTATTAGTTAGTAAAATGAACATCAATATCTTAAATTCGAATCCTAAATTATGTCTAATGAATTAACGAGTGATTAAATTTGTGGTACATTTTTAATTTTTTATAATTCAAATTTTAAATATGAGAAAATATTTTATGTTTAAAAATTATGCTATATAAAGTTCTTATATTTCATGAACAAATTAAAAAATCAACACGTGTTCTATTAAAAGTATATTTATAAAAATTAAATGGGCATGTGTCAACATTGCTTTTCCTTTTATGGACAAACATATATATTAACTTATGGCTAGTATTTGAAAATTTATATTTGTGTAAGAATCATAAAAAAATAAGTCATGATTAATTAAGCGTGCAAATTTATTTAAATATGAAAAAAAGTAAGTAATATATATTGTTATAATATTTAGCAATAAAGAAATTCTAATATTTATTCAGTATTTTTTTTTCGAATTTAATTTAAACAAGGTTATTCACGTAAATTTACAATTTTTTTTTTTTTACATTTTTTCATTTAATTCAAGCAAACTCTTTTTATTGCTTGCGTTAAACATCAGTCGATAAATTATACATCGTTCACATGCACGCTGGCGTAGGTTTGCTTTTGGTTGAGCCCCGTGCTTAACCACCATTAATTACAGGAAATATCTCCTTCGAAGCAACTTCGTTTGTCAATTTGAAAACGTGTGTTGTACATTTACAATCAACAGTCTTATTATTATATTGTGCAATGATTGAATGTTTCTTATTGCATAACAGCAACCAATTCCAGCAAATCCTGGAACTGCACTCAGAACCATCCGGATAACATGTCTTGGAACTACCAAGTCATTGCAGATACATTTAAAATTGTCAGAGAAAAAGAAAAAAATATAAAATTTACCATGTGTTTTAATAATGAATTGAGGGTTTTGACGACCAAGTCGACAAAATAGACCAAGAAACTAAGAGCTTGCTGATTTCTTCTGCTTTCTTCTGCTTTGACTTATTCTCTTCCCAGATACTATATAGTATTTAAAATGGTTTTGGTAGAGGGTGAAACAACTCAATGGCATGGAAAATGACCCCTTACCAAAACGTTTCGTGGAAGTTTAATTAGTATATTTTAAAGTTTGTATAACGGAGTTGAAGAGAATGACCAAACCAAAATAAATTTGATTGTCTTTGCGGATCTACTAAGTACATGCAAAGATGATTAAATTCTTGTCGATGGGATTGGTTGATTGAGTTAGTACAATTTGCTTGTAAGATTTAAATTCGACTCTTACCGTCAATAGTTTTTTGTGACAAGTAATTTATAAATTTTTTCTAAGATTTACAATCTATTTTGATACTTAAATGTAAAAATCTCATCTTTGCACTAAACCTTTTTTTACTAAAGAATTATGATCAAATTGTTGGATAATGTTTGGTCTACCAAACTAGGGGATTTGCAAATAGAATTAATACTATTAAAAGATTGTACTACCATTCAATGGAAACTACTAGCCTGCCAGAACCATAAAGCAAGTGGTCCAACAAATTATCATTCAACTTGCTCTGAATTTCCGATTGGACCGCCTTCTTATTGCAAAAATGTTAAGCAAAAAGCATACTAGTAAGTTCGTGAAAATGTATAAACTACTTTAAATTTTCTGTACACAACTCCGTGAATCAAACAAGTTATAGAAGTGGAACCAAAAAGGGCATGAAAGGAAATAAACATGCTCCTCTGCTCCAACCTTGTTGGGCAAAATTAACTCCTATAGAAAGACATACAGTTCTTAACTTTTAAGTCTTTGAGCTTCGATCCCAGAAAGAATGGCTGGCTTACTGTGACCCGCCATCATCTTATATGTCATAATCTATATCTGTTACATTCTGGGATGCGGACCGCTTCACAAGTCTTTCTTCTTCATCATATCTATCAAGGTTTTCACAAGGAGCAGGGAAGATGGTCCCTATTACACGGCCTTGAACAAAGGCACACTGGAATATATGCTTCTTCTTATATGTTATCCCAACAGACACATCCCTAAATGTCACGTTTCTGACAGGAATTTCTTCACTACCATGTATACGAACAGGAACACGGACTCCTTGACCATGTATCCCAATGAAGCTTATGTCCTCTAGTATTGGGAGGGCCTTTGGGTCGAAATCATCATCAGGGTGCTGATTGTAGTCTGTCTTGATAACAGTTCCAACTCGGACATTATCAAATGTTAGATTTCGATAGATTATATGTCTAACATATCCACCTCTTCCAGGAGCAGTCTTGATTCGAACTGCACGCCTAGAACTCCAGACAAGGAGGTTCTCCACAGTTACATTAGATACCCCACCAGACATCTCACTGCCTATCGATATGCCGGCACTGTGGCACAGTTCAGCCAAGGCAAATTTTAGATAATTTGAAGAGTGAACATGGGCACTTACCAAATGCAAATGACGGTTAGGGGCAGATAAGAAGTAAACAAAACACATCCTAGATGGCAATTCAGCAATAATTTTCCATTTATGGCTTGTTATGACACATGTCCAACAACTTATCACCCCCAGATGGTAATAAAGGCTGATACTACAACCTATACGGAGCCTTCATTGAGCAAGGCACTAGAGCAGAATACATTTCCTAGCTTCCTATTCAGGCAAAAATGTTGGAAAAATGTTGGACTACGAGATAGCCACTTTCCCATTGCAACAGTTGACCTGCTTAAACCTAAAAGGGGGAAAGAGGAGTTGTGTCCAAAAGTGGCCAAAGTCATAAAAATAATATTAAATACATCTTCAAGATTGCAGTAACTGATGAATGCTAGATTAGAAAGCAAGATTTGGATGAAGTATCAAAAAGTTTAAATAGTTTCCCTTATCAGCTAGATTAGAAAGCAAGATTTCAATCCATTTCAGACTTCGGAGGACTCAAAACGTAGAGCTGTTCCCTTGGGTACATTCGTAAAGGTGGTATGCACAGTTAAACATTTAAAAAACTCCAGTGATGCAACAGAAGGGGAAAGACGCGAGAATAGAAAAATCTAGAAACTTTAATCATTTGCCAGATAATGTAATTGCATAAAAAGTTTGCAAAAATTATTATGCATGCATACTATTTTAAACTTTTTTTTTCTTGTAAACATCACAACAATCAGGCAGCAAAATATTCATGAAGATGGAGGAAAACTAATTTAAGAAGCTTCACCTGACCATAGAGCGGACAATGAGGTTTCGGATAAGAATGTTTCTTGAAGGTCGTCCATAAGCTATGCCATATTGATCCCAGCCACTCTTTATTGCAATTGCATCATCCCCAACACTTATGTAGCAATCCTCTATTACCACATCCTCACATGAATCTGTTTATGACATAAATGATTTGCAATTAGTTACATTCAGAATGAATTAATCTTTTTTCCCCACGGCAAATCAACAAGCTCAAATGTGGTGTACAAAGGTGTAGATTTGAGCTGGCCTGCAATATTATGTTGGTTCCATTTACAAAGATGTATATACAATGTGAATTTTCTTTTATGTGTCAGAAAGGAAACAGGACAAGGAGATAAAAGAGAAAATAATGAAAGCAAATTTGTTGCAATTTGCCAACACATTTATAGAATCCAGTTCAGAATACTAATTCATGCATTTTACATCTAAATTCTCAGATTTCTGCTTCTATGCTGTTCGAACAAACCATAGATTGTACCATCAATAGCATATGATAAAGCCATCTCAAACCTGCTCCTATTACACCCTTGACTTCATTCTACAGATTATCAACCAAGCTTGCTTAGTAAGTTGGCCAAATCACAAAAGATGTACAGACTACAGACCATTAATAGGATTCTGTATCAGAATTATACATATTTACGTGTGAGTGTAGAGAGAGAAAACTATCTATTCATCCTTTTTCTCCTCTTTACATGTAGAACGAACATTTCTAAAAACCTATTCATAGTATGAATGGGAAATAGGTCTAGACCTTAGCTACCAAAAATTCTCATGGACAAGTTTAAATTTTATAATTAGGGAGTAATTACCAGGATCAATTCCATCAGTATTTGGGGCTTCAAATACGGGAGCCAGAATGGTAACATTCCTGACTGTTACATTCTTGCAGTCATATGGATGAAAAGTCCAAAACGGAGAGTCACGTAAGGTTATATTAGAGATTACAATGTCACTTGACCACATCATCTGCAAAAGTGGACCCCTGGTGTGGTTGAGTAGCTTTTGGCGATACTTCTTCCACCATGATTGACCCTGTCCATTTATGGTACCATTATGTCCTGTTGATTTGTAAAGACAAAGGCTAAAATCAGACTCAGCCAGCAATGAATGATTTATGCAGAAGTGTTCATTTTATCAGAATCACACTATGCAAGAGCTACTAAGATTTTAGAGTCAAAAGTTGAGTAAATCAAATCTACATTGTGTTGCTGGCAGCCAATTAAGTTTATCTTTTAACTATGATTGTTTCATCAATTTGGCAAGTGGAATAACAATTTATATCAGATGCAGGAAATGATAAACTGAAGACCAATTCATTAACAGTCAATCCTCATTATAAGGGAAGAAAAAGGGAGCAAGCTGGTAATGCTTATTCATCTAAAACCTTGAAAAGGCTGTTTCTTTCCCCTTTCCTCCATAAAAAAAAAAAAAAGAAACAATTAGCAACTATTTTGTGTAAGCTGTATGCATAGGATACTAGGACTAAAACTTTAACAAAGGATGCAGAAAACAGGTTTAGACATCAACCTGTCAAAATAGTATTTTAGAGGTATCCACTATTACATGCTATGACTTAGAATAGTCAAATCTGCTCATTCACAATGTATAGACTCAAAATACAACTTCCGTTATACAATAATCATTGCTGAACTTTACCATAAGGTTTCAGCAATAATTGTTGTAAAATAAATGGGTAGTATCTAAATAAAACTTCCATTTTGCAGTGAGTTCCCTGCAATTCTTTTTCCAAAGACCACATGGAGACTAATTTGATGCAGGTCAGGATCATAAGATGCTTAAGTTCGAAGAGGTCATAAATAGGAAAAGGTCTATCATGTGAGCAACCTTTTAATTCAAACAACTTAAGAAAAAATATTATGAAACAACTTAAAAACTGAAATTACTGCTTATTAGGGCCAGGGTGAATAAGCTAACCAGTTATGACAACATCTTTGAGGTTTTGGCCGTGGATTAAACTCCCATACCGAGGTCCACGATGCTCTCTTCCATACCCATATGAAGGCAATGGAGGCATTAATGGCCATCGCTTCTCATCCTGTATAATACCAGAAAAGGGCACATCCAAAATTACCAGTAGACATTGTAATTGTTATACAATAACCGCAAGATGAAGCCACCGAAACCCAAAGTTTTAATCAAAATGGCCGAAAAACTAACTTCACTAATGAGAATTAACTTAAACTAACACCATTATACATGCATGAAAACGATTATAAATTCCCCTAAATAAGGCTCATAATTCATGTTCACACTAATTATAGTCCTCCCTCATCACAACTCCCTTAAACTAACACCGTTATACATGCATGAAAACGATTATAAATTCCCCTAAATATGGCCATAATATATGTTCACACTAATTATAGTCCCCCTCCATCAGAACTCCCATCCTATAACAACTAAACATGTTAAATACTTATTGTGAAACACTCAATCTTGTCTTGACAGAAAAGCTTGCCTGACTTAGCTTGTTTAATTAACATATCAAATTTGAGATTCATTTGCCAATTTTAAACATGTTTATAAGCTCATGAATTCAACAAAAAGATCGATTTAAGCAAAAAAAAAAAAAATTTCCACCATTTTACATGATATTTAGTTGGAAACAAAAATGAAACTGAAAACACCAACCTCGATACCAAGAATCTCAGCATCCTCAGCTAGAAACAAAGTAATATGACTAGTAAGATTAAACGGTGCCGTAAGCCACTTCCCAGGCGGCACATTGAGCTGCGCACCACCTCTCTTCCCAAGCTTCGAGATCGCCGAGACAGCCCTCTCAAACGCGGCCGTATCATCCGTAACCCCATCCCCGACCCCACCAAAATCAGTCAGATTAAACGCAAAAGGACGCGTCTTGGGCATAGGCCGACCCGGTCCATCTTTACCGAACACCGAGAACCCAGCCCCATCAATATTTTGTTGCCAAAAAAAGACAGAACCGAAAGCCACGATCCAGAGGACAGTAAAGAGAGTTTTATGAGAAGAAAGGAATGCCGGAACCCATCTCTTAAGTTCTGACCTTTGTTGTTGTAACTGAAATCGCCCAATAGGCAATGACTCCACCATTTCTGGGTTCGGTGAAATTTGGTTCAAGAAACGGTTTTTGGCAGTTGGGTTTGGAACATGGAAAAGGAGGATCATTTTGTACAAGAAGAGTGAAAAGGGCAAGAGGGTTTAGTTTTTTTGGGTGAGACGTTAACGATCAGTAGCTGGTGGATTTATTGTTCGGAAATGTAGGAGTACATTTTACGGGAAGACTCTGATGGAGGTAGTGCATGTGTGTGTAGATTCTTGTTTGGGCTGGTCGATAATCTCAAGACTTTTGTGATTTGAGTTGCACTAGATTGTACAGTATTATCTGTTGCATGGTTTGTGTTATGCCACGCGTTAGGGGTAAGTGGGGAATTTTTGTCAAACTATAGTTTAGCTCAAAATAATTGGGGCAGTTGTTAGTTTTGGGAATTTATTTAGGCCTCGTTTGCATTAATAAGCGGCGATGGTGATGCGAGACGTGAGAATTTAATCGTACTGTTTATTATCATCGGATAATATTATTTCATCACTTTTTGGCATTTTCATCTGGTTTTATCACTAATCTGATAGGGTGCAATGGAGTTTTACTGTAGTTTTTTTTTTTTCTATTTTGATTTTTCTCTTATCTTATTTTATTTTTTACATTTGTTCATTTTCATTTTCATTCTCATTTTGTTTTATTTTTAAATTTTTTATGTAAAGTTTTTTTTTTACAAAATCAAAATCAAAATTTTAATTCTTAATTATTTATTAATGAAATTATTATTTAATATAAAATTGATTTAATATTTTTAATTATTTATTAATTTTATAAATATTAAATAATTTAAATTTTTTATTACATATAAATTTTAATATAATATCTTTAATAGCATTTTTTTTATTACAATTTACTTTACTGTCATAATTATGTTTGAATCCAAAATATATAATTATTATTGATTTTAATTTTATTATGATAATATTTAATCTCATTATTATAATAATTAGTTTTATCTTTATTATTATTTTTAATTTCATTAAAGTTAATCTCATTATTCATCCAAATATAACCATAGCCGTTGAAGATGAAAAAGTTGTTTGTTAATTGCTTAGAAATTCTTATTAATTTGTAAGAATATTTCATTTAAACTTTAATGATTTTGATGTGTTTTGGAGTTGTAACTTGAGCTTTTGCGTTTGCATGGACATGATGGTACTGGCAAGGAGAAAGGAATACAAAGACATATATAAAGAGCAAGGTGATGAATAAAGGCATTGATCCTAAAGGAAAGGCACTTATGTAAGATTGTTCACTTTACGTGTTTGCATGTGCACCTTTCCAAAGTTAATTTTTCTCTTCATTGAATGAAAACAAAGGGAAAAAGTAATGGCGAACGACTACATAAATTGTAATTCATTTCTGATTCCTCACCTACGACATGAAAGAACTTAAAATCTGAGGTCTCATTCACGGCAACGAGAAGCAATGTGCATTATTAAGTGGGTGAGTAGTTGAAGAGTCGCAATCTGTCCAGTTAATGAAGGAAATTTAACAAAATAAAGAAGTAGATGAGATATACTCATCAAAGCTAATGATTTCATGATAAAACAAGAAACTCACTGAATAACAATTTATGCTTTGAATTCAAAGTTTACTTTAATTGATTTATGTATTTAATTTTTAAAAAATAATATTTAATAAATTTAATATTTAATATTTAATTTTTTTTTAATTTCTAAACTGTCCCTTCTTTTATAAAAAATTTTTTTTATATAATCAAAATAATTTAGTCGGTATTCAAGATTTAGCACTCACTTAACATAATGTCAAACTGATGATTTGATTTTTATAAAAATATACCTTTCATTATAATAACCTATTTTAGTATTGTTTAGTACAATAAATTTTTTTAAAAAAGTAGATTAATAGTCTATTTGATAATTTTACAAGATTTTTTGATACAAAAAACCTATAATATTGTGGTAATTATATAATATATTTAATTTGTATCACTGTAAATTATGATATAAAATTTTTTTTTTATTCTAACCCTAACACATGAAGGAAGAAGGAAGTACCCACAAAAAAGAATTTAAAAAAATATACTTATATCAAAGTAGGTTTTCTTACAAAAAACTTCTTGAAGAAGTTAGGTGAGGTTATATCCTTTTCAAGAAAGTTTGCAATTTATATAGAAGAAAAAAGTAAATGAATAGGATTTATAACAATTACATTATATTCATGATTTAACATAAAGCAATCGATTAGATTTAAAATAACTAACTTGATTAAAAGTATCAAAAAAGTGTTTCATCTGAATCAACAATAGCAATTACTAAACGTTTTGCTCTTTAATCAATAATCTAGTGTCTTTGTCAAGATTGCATACTACCAAACACTTGGTAATAGGAAAATTTCAGTTGTTGACTTTTGTCAACTGGAACCTGGATGCTGATATGCCAATGTCGGGTGGTTCAGGCTTTAGAGTTCTCACCCATCATCTACTTGAGCCCAGATGTTATAGGCCACATTGTCCTTATCCGAACCACTAACCAGAACGAAGTCGCGGATTTCCAATCTTCTACGCATGTAAAGCTGTCATTGGTTGCCTGGCCTCCTTTTGTTCCACCTTAGACATTCTATCATGACTTCATCAGTGTTTCCCATATTTTCTAATCAGATAAGGAGTTTTGCCAACTCCACTGGACATTTGTGTTTATCTCATCTATGGCCTTAGCTATTGCTTCTACTGCATTGTCAAGCCTTCCGATCAGGTCATTGAGATTTATATATCATATTGCTTTGTTAATTATGAACATTAGATTCTCATTGTCCGAAATATATTTTTCTGATTCCAAATGGTTTTGTGAATACACATTACACAGGGAAAAACCTCAAAAATCTCTTCCAGGAAAATTTACAACATTCATACCAGGGAGAATTGCTCCTCTGAAAGCAGCAAAAGGAGTGTCGAGTGTTTGTGAACCACTTCCTCCTGATAGACCCTTATGGTTCCCTGGTAGCACACCTCCAGAGTGGCTTGATGGCAGGTAAAATCTACCTCTCTTCGACTGTCTTCCTGTAGGCTTATAAACACCAGAAATTGAAAAATAAAAAGGATTTAAAAGAAAATTTTTTTGGACACCATTTCCATAGATAAAAAATTGATAATAGTGTTTTATATATATCATAAATTGATCTCGGATAAAAATCCTGCATCCGCTACTGCAGATGAATGTACTTAATTTGTTAATTATTTTTTCTCCTTCATTTCCTTGTGCATGATAGTTTTTCTTTGGCAGTATTTATAAATGCATTCTAATGCTTATAAAAGTTAAAAAAGGAAAGTCTGATATGGTCTAGTGATCCCTTTTAGTCATTTATTTATTTATTTTACTTTCAAAGAAGCAGAATTACCTCGCACTACTGCAGCCATAAAAAAAAAAAAAATCCTGAAAATAGTTTCCTAAAAGCACTTAGTGCATTAGTTTCAAATGTTTGTGTTGAAACACGGACCAGCATGATATTCTAATTTCTCTATTTCTGTTGTAGCCTTCCTGGAGATTTTGGCTTCGACCCACTTGGATTAGGTATGCGTATGCCTTTAATATTTTGCACAGTTGAGTAAGAGATCATAAAATTTGCAGTTTTTTCTTTATCATCGATAAAATTTTAACAATCCTGCGAAATTTGGTGGTTATGACCCGTTTTGGCAGACACATTTGTACCTATTTCATTGATGCATAGATGAATAACAAACTTCTACCTAAAGTTTGCAGAAAGTTAATTCTGATTTCTGAGGAAAAACTGGATGCATTCAGCTTAATTTACCGTCTACTCTCTGTTACCAACTTATAATATAATCCTTCACTTTTCTCTTCTGGAGCAAGACAATCAGCAATGTTCTACCAAAAAAAAGTTGTATGGAAGAACTTTTATTATCTGATGCGCTCGGAACCGAATCGCATATATAGTCAACAGGTGCTTATCTCTAGGATAAATTATTTTCAGGATCTGATCCAGAATCACTAAAATGGTTTGCGCAAGCTGAGCTAATGCATGCTAGATGGGCAATGCTGGCTGTGGCAGGAATACTCATACCAGAATTGCTTGAAAGGCTTGGTTTCATTGAGAACTTCTCATGGTATGATGCTGGTGCTCGAGAATACTTTGCAGACCCTACAACCTTGTTTGTGGTACAAATGGCATTGATGGGTTGGGTTGAAGGCAGAAGGTGGGCTGATATCATTAAGCCAGGGAGTGTAGACATTCAACTGAGAATTCCTAACAAGAAGAACCCAACACCGGATGTTGGTTACCCTGGTGGCTTATGGTTTGACCCCTTGATGTGGGGAAGAGGGTCCCCAGAGCCGGTGATGGTGTTGAGGACTAAAGAGATCAAGAATGGGCGTCTTGCTATGCTAGCATTTGTTGGCTTCTGCTTCCAAGCTATCTATACAGGCGAAGGCCCAATTGAGAATTTGATGGCTCATATTGCAGACCCTGGTCACTGTAACATTTTCTCGGTACTGCTCTACCTCTGGTTTAAAATCAAATTAACTTATTCAAAATTCCACCCATTCAATATCGTTAAGCATTTAGCGACTAACGTAAAGCTGCCAATAGGAGTAGGATTGATATATGATATTGCATGTTTGTGTCTGCAGGCTTTTTCAACACGTTGATGTTCACTTGAGATTCAATAACTGGTATTGAGGGGACGTGATTCAAAACCTCGATACAGCCCATCACCTTTATCGTTTCTGTAAATTGTACTCTGTTTTATCATGTGCATACCAATTGTACATAGCCGGAACCAAAGAAAAGTGCATATGAGCTAAAAATCAGTAAAGTCCTATTTTAATGGTAAGGCAGCTAAAAAACAATCCATATGAGCTTAAATATTCTATTACTCTTTTAAAAAATCATTTTAATCTACTAATTTTCCCATTTCATATTGATTTATTATTCAGACTCATTTAGAAATTTTGAGGAATAAATATTTGTTTGTGATACCAAATTTTAGAATGCATCCTATAGCATTATTCAACATGCAGTTTCTCTTCCCTGTCCGATCCCATTAATGGGAAAGACCCGCATTGACTTTGACAAGGTCAAAAGAAGTTGCACGCCTCTCTATTCTCGCTTTCAATCCCATAAACTCTCTCCTCTAATTCTATTCTTAGAGTCTAATGTAAACTTGCCAGCTGCGTCATTCAATTCCTCCTCTCAAAGCCACACACTCTTACCAACATGGTGCACCACCTTCTTGTCAACCCCGAATTAAGCAAAAGGAAACAGAACAATCCAAACAAAGACTCAGAGAACCACACGATCTCTCCGAGCAGCGGCTCGTTTCTATCCGGAGCTTTACCATTTCCGGTCAGTAATGGCTGCTGTTCGCTTCCTCCCTTTCCTATCCCTCCTCACCCTTTATCTTCCCACCCTTTGTTTCTGTCAATCTGATGCAGATGCTCTCATTAAGCTCAAGAAATCTTTTACAGAAGGTGATTTGGATAGTTGGATTCCAGGGTCCTCTCCTTGCCTCAAAAAGTGGGTGGGTGTCATGTGTTCTGGAGAGACCATTATTGGCCTCCATTTGACAGGCTTACACCTTTCAGGAACAGTCGACGTTCAAGCTTTGCTTCAACTTCGTGGGTTGAGAACAATCAGCTTAGTGAGGAACTCTTTTACAGGTTCAATCCCGGAATTCAATAAACTTGGCGCTTTAAGGGCTATATACTTATCTAACAATCAGTTTAGCGGTGAAATACCAAATGATTATTTTGCATCGATGGGATCTTTGAAGAAAGTTTGGCTAAATGAAAACAAATTGACAGGAAATATCCCTGATTCCTTACTGCTACTACCCCATCTCGTAGAACTCCATCTAGAGGGCAATCAGTTTTCAGGAAGAATCCCATCATTGAAATATCCAAATGTACTTACATCCCTTAACCTAGCGCGTAACAACCTGGAAGGTGAAATCCCGGAAAGTTTCTCCAAGTTCAATGCCTCTACATTCGAAGGAAACGTAGGACTTTGTGGGAAACCAGTGGGGAAAGCATGCGACAAAGTTCACCAAACAGGAGCTTCAAATTCGTCACGCGAAAGCCAAGGATCCAATTCCAATGAAAATGCCAAGACAATCATTGCCATCGCAAGCGTAGTTATTACACTGTTTTTTCTGATAGTCTCCATCCTTTCCGCAAGGCGTAGGAGGGACGATGATTTCAGCATTCTGAGTAGGGAACCCCTAAAAGAGGAGGTGCTACCAGTCCACATACCTGAATCGAACCGCCGAAAGCCTGGAGAGTCAAGCCGCAGGAGTAATTCTGTCTCGAAGAGAGGATCGTCGCAACAGGCCAATAAGAATGGGATGTCTGACTTGGTCATGGTGAATGATGAGAAGGGTGCCTTCGGGTTGCAAGATTTGATGAAGGCAGCCGCGGAGGTGCTTGGAAATGGCGGGTTGGGCTCTGCATACAAGGCTGTGATGGCAAATGGATTGGCCGTGGTGGTGAAGAGAACGAGGGAGATGAGTAGGTTGGGAAAAGATGCGTTTGACGTTGAAATGAGGCGGTTTGGGAAATTAAAGCACCCCAATATTTTGACGCCATTGGCCTACCATTTTAGGAGAGAAGAGAAGCTTATTGTTTCCGAATACATGCCTAAGGGCAGCTTATTATACGTCATGCATGGTATGACTATATATCATCTTTGGTTAATTTCATTTTAGATGCCTATGCAATTGCTTCTGCCTCTCTGAATCCAATTAAAATTCTAATATTAAAATATTACTATTAGGTGAGGAAAATTGTAATTTGATGCTATTTGAATTCAAGTTCAAGTCATTAGGTTATATGACAACGTTATGAAAAGATTAGGTTAGGTTTGATTTTTCTCTTTTTTTTTTTCCCATTAATTTCTAAACAGAAAAACATGATTTTACAGGTGATCGAGGAACCATTCATGCTAATCTGAATTGGCCGACCCGTTTGAAGATCATTCAGGGAATCGCTCAAGGACTCAGTTTCATTCATACAGAGTTTGCAACATACGAGCTCCCCCATGGAAATCTCAAATCCAGCAATGTTCTTTTAACCGAAAATTATGATCCGTTACTAAGTGACTATGCCTTTCAACCACTGACAAACTCCAGCAATGCTGCCCAAGGTTTTTTTGCTTACAAATCCCCAGAATATCTTCAATCCCAGCAAGTCTCCCCAAAGTCAGACGTTTATTGTCTAGGAATTGTCATCCTGGAAATCATAACAGGGAAATTTCCCTCTCAATATCTAAGCAATGGCAAGGGTGGGATTGATATCGTGCAATGGGTACAAACATCAATATCTGAGAACCAAACGGAAGAATTGATTGATCCTGAGATAGCAAACGATACAGGTTCAATCAATCAGATGCTGCAACTCCTCCAAATTGGAGCTGCCTGCACTGAAAGTAATCCTGATCAACGGTTACACATGAACGAAGTCATTACTAGGATACAAGAGGTAAGCTAAATCTTGAGGCAGGCCCTGTTTGCCGTAGGTGAGACAGGAAAAGGGTAGCTGAGATTGCCAGCAACTATCAAGATTCCACGTTTCGACGTTCACCATCAAAGAAATATAGAGAGGGCATCGAATAACAATCCGATGAATAAAAAAGAACGATAATTGTCTTTGGCATCTTCTTTAACTACCAAAAATGAACGCTTGTGCATAGCAATTTTTTCTTTTTCTTTTCTTTTTCCTAAAAGAAATCAATTTTTCGTTTAGAATGTAATCTTAGTCATTTTTTTTCCTTTTTGATTTTGGAAGAAATTAAGCACAATTTGAACTCAAAATAGTCATGTAATAATGTTGATATGTTTGTATGTAAATGGAAAAGAGCTTATATTTGATATATTATTAGTGTAAATTTTATACACTATTAGTAAATCAGATGATATCAATAAATATTAATTTTTAAAATAAATATATAAAAATTAATATTTTTAAAAAAATTTAATTATTAATGAAATAATATCATCTGATTCGTTTCATTAGTGAGATGATATCATTTTATTTATTAATAATACATAAAATTTATACATTAATAATATATCAAATATAAATCTATCAAAATGAAAAATAATATGTATTTATGCCATTTTCACATAATGATTAATGTAATTTCGACCATTCACTTTTGATTATCAAACACCTTTTGTTTTTTTAATATCTAAATCAATGAGAAGATTGATTGTCGGAATGTTTGGTTAACTTGAGGGAATGATTAGGTCTTTCTACGTGGTTTTTATCATTCTGCTGCTATTCAGGATTTTGTTTATGCTTTTGATTTTTAGACTTTTCTACCTTTTTTATATGTTCTCTTATCTTTTTTTTATCGTAATTTTTTAATTTAGGCTTAAACTTTATTAGATACATCTTATTAAATATATAATTTATATTTAATACGAGATTAATCATAATTTTTATACACTAACATCTATTAATTTGTTATTAGCCAGTCAATAATTGGATAATAAAAAAGTATAAAAAGAAATATGAAACTGATGGCATTAAAGTGAGAATAAAAAAAAAATGTTTGGAAAAATGGAAGTGAAGAAAGGAGTGTCTGCGGGGACAGCTGACATGACACGTGTGCATTTTTTAATCCATCTACGTGGAATTAGATCTTCCTCAACCAAAAAAAAAAAGGCAAAATGACAAAAACCTTCTTTGAGTCGGAACTCAAGGTGAAGATAGAGCATAAATGTATCGAACGGCAGCGAATCGCCTCCTTTACGGCGCCTCTCTTATTAATAACAGCGGCGGAGGCCACCTCCTCCGATTCCCTATTCTCAGAACCGTGATTAGCTCTTCTCGGTTTTCGACTACCGTCGACCCTCAAACATTCCCTAATCAAGACCCTGGTCCATCTGATTCTTCCACAACGTCATCGGCGACGAGTTCCTCAACATCATCAACGGCTGGGGATGGTCCTCGTCACGAGAGAAAGAATCCGAGAGCTGAGTACGAGGAGGAGCAAGCTCGAGTGCTGCAAGCCTCACTGCGACACGTCGTCCGTACATCGATTAATATTATACTGTTTTTTGAAAATTTTAATTCTTATTTGATCTTTTAGGGTTAAAAATTGATTCGATTAATATTATACTGTTTTTTGAAAATTTATGTTCTTATTTATGATATTTTAGGGTTAAAAATTGATTTTTTTTAAAAATGCAGATAAGACTGGGATGGAGTGAAGAAGCAATAATAGCAGGGGCAAAGGAAGCTGGGGTTTCTCCTTCAATTGTTGGATCCTTCCCCCGAAAAGAAGCTGCCATTGTCGAGGTAATTTTTGGTTTAAACAAAGTTTCAATTTTTTCTCCTGTTAAAAAAAATTTAAAATTTTTATAAGCTCTGATTTTACTCTTTTAAACTTACATTTGTCAAATTTATTCTTTGATTGTGAACTTGTGATTTTTATCAGTTCAAATATGGAAATTTTAGTTAGGGCATTGCAATTTACTAAAATCTGATAGTATTGCTTATGATGTAGAGCTTCTTTCCTCATCATTGTCTTATTGCATGCTGTCATGTTTCTTTTTTTCTCTCATCTAAGGGCGATGGATTAATTAAACTCAATGTAGAAAGATTTTTGGAGGCTGTTCTTCTAGGAAGTGTCTAATTTGTGGTTCCAACTATGGTTCTTCTCTATACTTTGTTTATGCCAGTCTGTTCAAAATTGGTCTTTATTTCTTTGGGTCTTTGTATTCTCAAGTTGGTATATCTTGTTGGATCCGCCAAATTGTGGTTTCCTGATGCTAAGCTCTTGATCAGTTGTAGCTATAAATATCACACTGCCTGATGCATACTCAGCTTTGCTATTTTCAGCTAGGATGATCTGTTCTCTTCATTTTCTGACAATGATTTAAAGTTTGTATTTTTTTTCCCTCCCTGCAGTTTTTCATGGACGACTGCTTACAAAGGCTTATTGATAGAATTGACTCTGGGGAGGAATTACAAAACTTGATTCCTAGCCAATGCATCTCCAAGCTTGTAAGGATTCGCCTAGAAATGCAAGCACCAAACATATCAAAATGGCCTCAAGCTCTCAGCATCCAAGTACCAATCCTTATACCTTTTTTCTTGTTAAAGGACTAATTTACTTAGTTGAATTCTTCACTCTTCAAGACAATTTTTTTCTTACATTCTTTGTAGGCACATCCATTGAATGTTTCAACAAGTTTTAAGCAGCGGGCAATGCTGGTAGATGAAATCTGGCATGCTGCTGGTGACGGGGCCTCTGATGTAGATTGTTATGTGAAGCGCACTATCCTTGGAGGCATATACTCAACAACAGAGATTTATATGCTGACTGATAGTTCCTCAGGTTCATTTCCTTTACTTTTATGTGCTTAGAACTTTGATGTGTATACTTCTTCCTTTTCTCAGTGATGCAGCCATTTAGATAGCATTTCATTTACTTATCATTTTCTTGCAGAGTTTCGTGATACATGGCTGTTCTTGGATGATCGGGTAAAAGATGCTTTTGATTTGAAGAAAACAGTCCAGGAGGTAGGCTCTCCGTCCATTCCTTTTCCTCTTTTCTTTTTAGAAAGCTTTTTGTGGAAAGAATTGGACACTTAATGAAGTGACATTGTTACAGGCAAAGTATTTGGCGGAAGCTGTCGGTGCTGGAATGGGGAGTTCTTTGCAAGGATTTGTGAGCAGAGTGCTTCAGAGATAAAAGCTAAAGTCAGGATGGTTCTTGATATTTCTATGACTAGCATCAGACTTTACATTACTCTTGACGAGCTATAAAAACTAGGCGCTGTCATCCCTGGTCAATATCCACTTGGCACAAGCCATTTAGTTTAGGTTTCATATTACTTTTGCAATTTGATTAAATTCAAAATTTTATGGACGTGGCAAAATAATAATTTGATAACAGGATAATGTGCTTCGGGTGAGAATATTTTCTTAAAAAAATTTAATCGTCATTGGTTGTTTGTAGCTCAATCTTGTCCTTTTGGTTAAGCTCGAATTATTAAGATGCTTTGTCCTTTATTCGATTCCCCAAGGGTAAGTCACTTGATCCTTTAGAAAGTTTACGTACCAGACTTGATTGCTAAAATTTCAGGTGATAAAAGGAAATTTCGTTAAAATATTTTCATCAATTGCTATATTCTGTCAGAAATAGTTTTTACAGAATTTTTACTCTTCCCTTATAACATTCTGGATTCTTCTCTTCTGGAGGCGTAGTGTTGTGGACCAGATTTTGCATCCGTCTATGTAAACCCCCTTTTTTAAAAGGTTGACTGCTGAATTGATTCTCGCCCAGCTGATAAGCAGCAGGAATAGGGATCCCCTTTTGACAGGGACTTTCCTATCTGCTAGGAATTCTAAAATTCACTTCGAAGCTAAAGACATCTGACTTTTAATTGTCCTTCAACGCTACCTTTCTATATTAAATATCTTGACTCGCCAACCTCCTGCGAATCTTCCATTTCATTTCTCTTCAGCAAGGTTAACTCATAATTTTCTATTCTAAGTTTCCTGAATATCTGTAATTTTCCCAGACAGCAAGGATTTCTTTGAAAATCAGCCAATCGTTAGTGATTATGGATCAGGTTATGTTAAGGTTAGTGCTTATCAGCTAATCATCTCTCAGAAGTTAGAGACTACACATTTTTGACAATTGCTTTCCTTAATGCAGGCTTGTTTTGGTGGTGATGATGCTCCATGTGTGCTTTTTCCGAGCATAATAGGTCGTCCACGAAACAGACATGCCATGATTGGCATTGGACAGAGAGATACATACTTTGGAGATGAAGCATAAGCAAGGCGAGGAATCCTCAGATTGAGTTACCCTATTGAACATGGGATAGTGAGAGACTGGGAAGCTATGGAGATACCCTGGGAGCATACATTTGATAAGGAGCTCAGAGTTAACATTGAAGAACATCCTGTACTCTTAACTGAGGCTTCCTTAAGTCCCAGAATTAACAGAGAAAAAAATGATAGAAATCATGTTTGAAGCATTTGATATCCCATCAACGTACATAGCTGTTCAAGCAGTCTTATCCCTTTATGCCAGTGGCCGAACTACAGGTAAATCAATTTTAAAACCTTGCCCCTTATAAAAGACGCAAACTAATGCATGTTATCACGTTCTATGCAGGAGTTGTATTGGACTCTGGTGAAGGAGTCACCCGTGTAGTCCCCATCTGTGAGGGCTATGCACTTCCTCATGCTATCCGTTGGCTTGATCTAGCAGGCAAGGACCTGACGAACTACCTCACCAAGATCCTGGCTCAAGAGGGCTACGTCTTCACCACGTCAGCAGAACGAGAAATCGTTAGGGACATAAAAGAACGACTTTCATATGTAGCAATGGATATCAATAAGGAACTTGCCACATCAAGGGAAAGCTCAGAGTTTGATGGGCAATATGAATTGCCAGATGGGCAAGTCATATCTATTGGAGCTAGCAGGTTTAAACGCCCCCAAATTCTGTTTGATCCAAGTAGGGTGGGAATGGAATCAGGTGGTCTCCATGAGATTTTGGTGAGGTCAATCAGGAGGAATGACATGGATGTTAGAAGAGAGATGTTTGGAAATGTTGTGCTTAGTGGGGGTACCACTTTAATGCCTGGCCTGGCCGATAGATTGGCGAAAGAGGTGAGCTCATTAGCTCCTCCAGGGGGGAGGGTCAGGGTTATTGCACCACCAGAGAGAAAGTACAGCGTTTGGATTGGTGGCTCCATTTTGGCTTCTCTAAGCACCTTTGAACAGGTAAATAATTTCTTACTCAAAAATGCATTTAGGGTCAGTCAAGGCTCAGATCTTTTGACGATTAATTTAACTGATAAGAGAATAATATTGTTGCAGATGTGGATTACCAAGAAGAGTACATGGAATCTGGCTCTTCTGTTGTTCACAGGAAATGCTTTTGAACAACAGCAATACCAACGTTGCTTTCTAACTTCATTCGTTTATCCTTAAATACTAATTAAACCAGAAAGCCATAGAGTTTTAATTTCTGTTTTTTCTTATGTATCCTCATTCCTCATTAGGATGTAAAGGAAATCACAAATGTGTAAATTTTCGACATATTTGTTTGCTTTTATTCTATCTCTATGAAAAAAAAGCTTGAATATATTGCACAAGCTTTCTAGAATTGAGTTTCTTCACCAGTATCTCAAACTGCAAAGTGCAAGCCATTAATATACTTGAAGCCCAAAAGAAGGACTTATATTTCCAAAACGATATCTGCAATGAAGAAACAAATCAAATTAAAAATTAATTGCTAATTAAGATACTTGCGCATACATATTGAACTGTAAATGCCTATAAAACATGAATATATAGATATATTTATTTATATTTATATGAACTTACATTCGGAATCTGTTTTTACCCATTTACTTCCATCATCTGCCTTTTCAACCTTTTCATCCCCATTGGCAGTCTTGGCGATATGACTGCTCTCCAAGGCTTTCTTGGTAGACAATTTCGGCCTGGAAAACTTTTGTGTGTATTAATTAATGTATTAAGTACCTTCTCCATTTGCGACTCCAGGATTTGTTCCCTTAAACTTGGAGCAGGTGAAAATCCTTTTCTACAAACAAACATCATTTTTAGAAGAAAAGATGATGATTTTTTAATATCTTTCCCTCTACAGTGAACTAAACTGGTGCTACACTGGAGGAGATCGCTTTTGTTGTTTGAATTATCGGAGCATACACTGCAATTCCATTCTTCAGCTTCCGTGCCTGAGTTGGTGTCAAGAAATTTATCAAATAGAAGATTAGGAGCTCCCAGATTAGTTGATGTCGATCCAACAACATTTTCGTGAAATATCAAGTTAAACTCTTTTTGAAGTTTTCTGGATACTTCTTCAGGTGTAAGACCATGTGGATGACCTTGTGCGGATGGAAAGTTCTCTTGAAAATTTCTTCTTGTTTTATCTTATGTCCAAAGGTTCCAATTGCTAGCAGTCCATGAGGCCAGTCGCTGAACTCTTCTTTGCAAGGCTGTTGGATATGATCTAAAAGAGGATTGAAGATGCTAACTTCATAAGAAATCAAACAAATGATTGGACAAGAATTATACTCCATATATATATTTATATATATATATACGATCTTACTGTTACAAATCGACAAAACATGTCTGAGGTTAAACATACTGTTAATTATACAATAGCTTGCTTTTGATTACAAGGATGCTCAATCAGGAGATCAGGGAGGGAGAAAGTGAAAGTCAATAAAAGATGAGAGGTAACACTTACAATTAGCTGGAGTCGGGTTGGATTTCTTGCTAGGGAACTTGCCTTGCACCCAACTAAATATCTGGAATCAAACAAGACATAGAAAATACCTTAACAAATTAAAGTACTAAAACAAACCAAGAAATCGATCGACTCTTTTCGCTCCTTTACTCTCTAGCATTCCAATTTCAGTTTCTCTTTAGTTCTCAGTTCTCACCTTCATTTGGTGAAATAATGTAGAGTCCAGCTTCCAGAAACAGCACAAAAACAGATGGTTTGGTATCGATGATATTAAACTTGGGCTTAAAGAAATCTAAGTGTTAATACAAAGAAATCCTATAAGCCACTGAAAGCTTAGCTGCATTAAGGGCTAAATAGAGTGGAGCTTGAGAAATTCCACATATGTCAAGCTGGTGTGGCTGTTTCTACTGTCTAGTTGCTTTATGGTTCAAGTTCCCAAACAATGACGTTGCTGTTAGGAAATTTAAGGAAAACAAAAATAGTATGAAAGAAGAAAATACGGTATTGGGATGCGAATAATATTATTTTAAAGATAATTATGTTTATATAATATAATAAAGTTTTAAAAATTTTTAAATCAAAAGTAATAAAATTGATCAGACAGAAAGATCTATTTATAATAAATGAAAAATCATTAATCAAGTCAATTAAAAAAATCATGATATTTTATATAGTTATATTTTATTATTTAAATAAATTTTATTTAAACAGTCATATTTTTCACTATTTAAACATATTATTTCAAAATCAATAATATTTTAAAATAAATAAAAAATAATAATAATAAAGATTTAAAAATTAAATTTATTTGTCAAACAAACCCAAATACCTAAGTGCCTATCTTTGACTTTTAAAATTGTCTAACTCACTAAAAAAAACTCCTAACAACTTCAAATGACTTGATACACTCTAATACTTAACTCAATTATTTAAATAATATAAGTAATTTTTTTTAAATCATATATAAATGATATTTCTATTCAATATGAAACACACCACATTTTAAACTACCAACAATTGTTGCCTCTTTTCCCTCTCTATCCTCTTATTTGTCACCTTCTTTTCCAACTACCATGCCTTTGTCCACACTAATTTTATTCAATTTTCTTCCCTTCTAATCAACACAAAGTAAAAATTTAAATGGCACATTTGTCTCCCCATATTAATGCCCCAGTCAATTACCCTCACGGCAGTTTCATTTTAACCCCCGTATCAAATGATGAGAATATCGGTAACAGGAAACATTGTCCCTACGTTTATATATTTGGCTAGTTTGCACCAAGAAGAGAGTGCTTAATTTTAGTTTAATTAGGAACAATTTACTGAATGTACTAAGCCTTCTTATTGTATATCTAAATTTGCAATTGAATAATGTACTCCATCAAGGGTTTGCTCGAGGACAAATTGGGAGGAGAAATGAGCCCTCAAAGAAGGAGATGATGGGCGGCCAAAGGTATTACAAGCCACGTTCGCGTGGTTATGTCTCATACTAACCGAACCACCAAGCACCTACTCCATCTTGCAACCACCGGCAGCCATCACCACCGCTAGAGTAGTTGGATTTACCAAGAGAAAAAGTGTCACTTCACATTTATTGATTTGATTTCCCAGTTGGCCATGATATTGACATAACTGAAATTTCAGCTAATATTAGAGTCAAATAGTACAATTTACCATTCAATCGCTAGTTTTTATCCCATATGCATTTTTTTAAGTTTTTAATTTACTTTTAATTTTTTATCTTATTATATATTTGATTAAAAATATATTACTTGTATAATCTCTTTTAAATTCATAATTTTTAAATATCAATTAATCTTTATCAACTGTACCTTAAATAATAATCGAAAGATAGAATTTGAAAACGTATTTCCCTGCACTCAAACTCACAGCAATGATTGAATTAATGAGGCTCACCAGAGGCGGGCAGGTCAGTATGTGTGATAATCTGATGAAAGATCTTAGCCAGAGCTTTGGTCAGGATTTGGGCTTCTTTCCGTCATGGGTGGGAAAACATCCAAGGCACGTGAAGTTGTCCCTGTTGATCACGTTGGCCCATGTCATCGCCAACATCAGAAAGAAACAACCTAAACCCAAGTGAGCGGGGCGGGAGAGATGTGATCAAATACCATGGTCATTGCAGCTTCGGCTGTCCTGACCAACAATGTCTATAAGGCCTCGGTCTTTAATCAATCAATTAATTATTTAGAATTTGCTTAACTCTTTCATTTTTTCCCTTTTTTTTTTTTATATATTAAAGGTTTTCATAACAAGTTCATTTCAAACATCTTTTCTAATTTCATTATATGTTCAAAGAAATACACGTTACCAATCATTTTATTTATGGCCACTAACTTTTTTTTTTTGGGGTACATGTGGCCACAAACTTTATTTTCTTGTTAAAACGTCAACATAATTTTTAAAATAACATATCTTAATTGGTGGGTTCTGGATACTTTGAGTATCCAAATCAACCTCAATTGCCAAGTGTTTTAAAACGAAAGTATTGGAAACAATCTTCCATTGATCCAGAGTTCTCGGTTGCCCTTCATCGCTTTTTTGTTTTTTATAATTGATTAGAGGAGCTCATGTGAGTCACGTCTAATTGAATTTTTAAATTTTTTGTTTAAAATTGTATTAAAAAATTTAATTTTCAAAAAGATATATTAAAATATTTAAAACTATTAATATTTAAATATATTAAAATTAAATAAAAATATTTTTATTAATTAAATAATGACATGGATCAAATTAAATTAATTTTAAACTTAAAAGTTTTATCCAAAATTTATTTTCAGATTAATCAAACCTAATTATCCAAATGGATAAGCCAACTCTTGAGCATATTTAATACCAATTTCTTTATTTTATTTTAATTTTTTTGACATCTTATACCAATTTCTTTAAGCGATCTTAACTTTCTTTTTTCCTGTAAACCATATGCTTCTAAATATTAATAAATAGTTAATTAAATTGATTAGATTCGTTCTCTTCAATAAAAAAATTTTGAATTCGAATCTCAAATACATTTTATTTTGATTTAAAAAACTAAACAATCTATTTATCATCAAATTTTTCTTACAAAAAGAAAATATTTCTAAATGAAAATAATTATTGGGCCATGACATCAATAAGTTCAAAACCCTTACTAAGAAAAACCATATAATAACTTAATTAAAGTTGTTGGATCATGAAGTTTCATATGAATATCATACATACTCATACATATAATTATATGCATATTAATTTAGGATAATTAAACTTTAATTTTTTAGATATACATTTTTTTTACGAATAATTTAATTAAAAATCATAGATCAAGATAACATCTCCCATACGAAATCAAAGAAAACAACAATTATTTAAAGTAGCAAATAAGTCTTCAATTATATATTTCTATAAGCCTTGATGAAGATCATATGCCTGATAAATCCCCAAACAAAATCTGGGTGATCATGCGAGTCGAAGGTTTAGTTTGGCTAAAAATATATTAATCGCCTTAAGGTGTTATTTTATTATGATAATTTTAAATAATAAAACAAATGCAACCTTATTTTTGCCTTATTAAAAGAAAAAACTCACAAATAGAGATGCAACGGGTTGGGTCATGACAGATTTTTGCTCACTCCAAACCCAACCTGATTTTACATTTGTTTTCATCCGAATTTTTTTATTTTTTTAATACTCGAATCCGACCTGATTTTTTATATAAATATATCCGATTCGATCCGAAATTAATAAAATATTATTTTTTAAAATATAAAATATTATTTTTTAAATATAAATATATAATTATATAAATATATAAATAAAAAATTAATTTAAAAATTATTTTTATATAATTTCAAGTCGAATCATGTTTGTCTAAAATTCAAACCTGATCTTTTCTTTAATGTTACCCGACCTCAAATTATTATGAGTTTTAAGGTCAACCGTCCAAATTCAATGCTAACAAATCTAAGTAGAATAATTATAAGATAAAATATCATACTATTGTAAGTATTTAATAAGCAGAAGCTAATTTCTATATGAAACCTTGTTAAAAATTTTTAAACTTGAGCTTGATCAAATTTGATTTAATTAAAAAAATTAATAATTTAAATTTAAATAAATTTAAATGAAAAATATTTAAATATAAATGCTTTGAAGTTAAATTAATTTAATTATAAAATTTAATAATTTGAGTCTAAATTGACTTGAATTTAATCCAAACTCACTTATTGCCACCTTTATTAATGAAAATCTTGCCGCCAATCCAAAACCAAGTACAAAATGAAATAGAAGAAAGCAGTTGGGGCCAAAATCAAATTTGGAAAAGTTGGAAGTGAGAGATATTCCCGCGCGACGTCCGTGTCATCGGAATAATGACTACCTCAGAGGCGACTGTTACGTAGCAGTTTTGGGGGCAAAGAGACATAAGTCCTTAATCTCAACTGGCGCGGCAATCCCATAGTAATCCAATAGTAATTATCCAACCCAAGATAAAGCTTCTTTCTTTCTTCAGTTTTTCAGGAGATATTGGATAATATTTTTTATAATTATGTTGGATTTAATGGGTTTTAACTGAAATCCAGTTTAAGATCAGCAAACACATTTAGTTAACTTGTGGAGAAGATGCTGGAGGAATGGCGGCTGCCAGCGATGTCGTTTTAGCCTATGAAAACACGTATAGAAATCTTCACCGTCCAGCAGTTATCATTGGAGGATGCTTTGCAGTTGTAGCAGTGTTTCTCTCCCTTTTTCTCATTCTTCAACATCTCAGATCGTACACAAATCCTGCTGTTAGTTCATTTCCCATTTCGACTTGTTTTCTTAATGAAGGGGATTCTTGTTTCCTTTTCCATTTCCATTTTCTGTTGGATTGTTTTTGGTGGCCTTTGAAAAGCTAATTCTCTGGGGTAAGTATATGTTACTCAGTGTTGAATCTTAATTGCTTTCCCAGGAACAAAAATGGATTGTTGCCGTTGTGTTCATGGTTCCTGTCTGTGCTACTGAGTCAGTAAGGTTCCCATCTCTTTTGTCTTCGGAATGCTACAAACTTCAGAAGCATATTTATATACAGCTTTCATATATTTATATGTATTTCACATATGTAGCTAGCCCCTCTCAAATGCAAACCGATTGAGCCATTTAAATATTTCCTCCTTACTTTGGTGGCAACTTGATGGCGCTGTTCTTTGACCTCCACAGGTGATATCATTGTGGAACCCAAGACTTTCCCTTGCCTGTGACATTTTGAGAAATTGCTACGAAGCCTTTGCTTTGTATTCTTTCGGAGGCTATTTAATTGCTTGTCTAGGTAACCAACAATTTTATGACTTGTTTTGACTCTTGAGTTCATGTATAATTGTGTATACTTTCAGTCTTTCATGCCATGATTGCACGTATTTACTACACTAATCAAAGATACAAATGTTAATTGCTTCCATGAATTCAGGGAGCTTTGGAAAATTGTAAGAATATTGCTTCAAGAAAATTATTAGCACATTTTGTTGATATGTTTTGAGCAATTTATCAATCCATTAGCTTATATATTTTGCCAAAAGATAAAAACATGCTTCATTCAGTAGAAGAAAATTTGTACCAGGTGGTGAAAGAAGTGTTGTTGAGCTCTTGAAAATGAATCTAGAAAAGCCATTGCTAGAAAGAGCAGAAGAAGACCAACAAATACATCAAAAGTCATTCAGCAACTCTTGATCCGTCCATTTCTCATCGGAAAAGAACTGCTCACAATAGAAAAATTCGGTCTCGTGCAATATGTAAGCCATAACTATGTGATCATTATTTGATTTTGTTTGTGATAATTTTCTTGAATTCGATGTCTGCTGGTCAACTCAGATGATACTGAAGACATTCTGTGCATTCTTAGCACTGTTGTTGTTGGTCTTTGGTGTTTATAGGGATGGAGAATTCAAATGGTACTACGGGTATGTATGTGATAGTTTGTGCAAATCTCATATATGCTTTGATAAAAATGCCTAACGAAGTCTAGGCTCGTCATAGATATTTTTATGTCCATAATCGAATTCGAATCTTCTCATCTTTAGTATGCTGTATTTTGAATGTGAATTTAGAATTCTTGCGGCTTCTGCCTCTCTGCTCTCTCGCAGGTACCCATACATAACAGTGGTTATAAACTTCAGCCAGATGTGGGCACTATATAGCTAGTGCAGTTCTATGATGTAACTCATGAAAAGCTTCAACCTATAAAGCCACTAGCAAAGTTTATCAGCTTCAAGGCCATTGTCTTTGCCACTTGGTGGCAAGGAGTAGGCATTGCTCTGCTTTGTGCATTTGGGGTTCTGCCGAAAGAAGGGAAGCTGCAGACTGCATTCCAGGACTTATTGATTTGTATAGAAGTTGTTTGTGATGAACATCCTTGTTTGGACATTGGGCGTCTTTGGACAAGATTAGGCATGAAATTCTAGTTTGTTGATCAATGGATGGGTTCTTTTTTGACATTTTCACTCCATAAATGCTCAAAATGCAAATATTTTTAGCCTACTACTACTTTTTGTGAAGGTTTTTTTTTTAATCCTTTTAAGTTTTATTTTAGAGAAATGCATGTGTTTTGAAAGTATGTGATTTTCTTTAACTAGTGTTTTATTTTCTAAGGATGAAGACTTGTTAGTTTATTTGACTGATCATAGCCTGAAAAGCATCAAGATGAAAGGCTGTAAGTTCCATAGCCATGAGCATAAAGATTTCTATATTGGTTGGCAGACGGCAATTGCAGCCGTTGCTCTTATATTTGTCTTCTCTGCGGAACCTCATCATTTTCTCCCAGTTCCTGAGTACAGAAAGGTCACCGCTGAAACAACGAAAGCAGAATTGAAGGTAGAGCTAAGCAATAAGGAAAAACCAACCTTGCTAGAAAAAACAGAAACTCAGGTTAAGGCACCTGGAACAAGCATCACAGAGAGCGTCCAAGACATTGTTGTTGAAGGTGGCCAATGGGTAAGTCTTGTCCCACTAGGCTGCATATTACGCCATCATTTTAGCACTTCAAACATCCATGGAAACTGTGTTGTATAAACAGGTTGTGGAGGATGTCGTTTTAACTATAAATCAAGCAATAGGACCCATGGAGAAAGGTGTAACAAGAATCCAGGAGACCTTCCACCACAGAAAAGCAGATTCAGACAACAATCATAAGGAGGAATTGGGAGTTGAGGAACATGTTGAGCAGCAGCATCCTTGGGCTAATGAAAGTCATCCTGAGCAGCATTCGTGATGCAAAATGCATTTGAAGCAATCCAACGTGTATCATGTTTCCACTTAATGATTTTAGCACTTTATAGTATTTTGTTTGACATTTACACCGCCTGGTGCAGTACTGCAACATGCTTGGCGTTGTGGGAAGTGGATGAAAATTGTATGAGATTAAGAACCAATTTCCGTATCTTTAAAATGTACGAGATTTCAAACAAGGAATGCTATAAAGCAGTTGATAGGGTAAAAATTGCAAAGACTCTGTAACTCTGTATGCTGGGAGGTTCAAAACTACCTGAGCAACAAGCCAATCCAAGTGAGAATGAATGTAAATACTATACCAATTATCATTTTATACACTATAAACACCAATATACAACAACTGAATTCAAACTCTGGAATGCGTTTATTGCCCATCTTGTCCAGGACAGCACAGTTGTGAGCAACATTCAAAGCAGCTAATGCATGCCAGAGCAGTGCAAAGCTGTGTTAATGTAGTGGCACATTGATCATTCATCTTTGAACAACACTGGATGCAGCACATGCAACAGCATTGATTACATATCTGACCACAGCAATTTGACGTTGCTTTTATAAAAATTTCGGCAACTTCGGGCAATTTTTGTTCTTCAGACCCTGGACGGATATTTTCAGCAGTTGCAATCAGGTCACCAAAGCCAATTGAAAGGCTTTGAAGCAATATCATTTTGGGCGCTCCAGTATCCATAATTTTTTGTGGATCGCCTTTCTTTGGTGCCTGTAATCAGAGAAGCCAACTTTCATGAGAGAATAGATTATGCCAAAACATTAACAAGAAATGAGGAGGCAGCCTCAGCAATGTTTAAAGTCAAAAGATCCAAGTGCACTCTCAGCTAGCATATATGATATAAAAAATAAATTAGAAAAGGAAGAAACCCCAGCATGACTTAGTTGGACCTAGTTACTAAGAGGAAAATATTGTGGTATCCTCTTTACAAAGCATACCTTCTGAGCTCCAGAAGAGCCTGTGGCTGTTTCTATTTTATTTTTCTCAAGTAGGACCATACGGGTATATTCAGAGATATTGCAAGTCCGTGTGCTCAATTTTGCAACCTGCCAATTACAAACCAATAGCATCAGCAACAGTTTTTACCAACAGGAAATACGTCAAAGATCAGGACAAGTGAAAGAGATTCAACAATGTCTGGCTAAAGTGGCCACAGAGCAATTTGTAAAAAATCTCACATCACCAGAAAGGATATGGCCCTAAGGAGTAATGGACCAGGAAAATCTACAGCCAAATTAATGTGTGGGCAAAGCCCATTCGGCTAAAAGTGACTGGCTACCTTAATTATTGCTAGCCATTCAAATCAAAGCAGTTGTTGTGATCTAACCTTTTCATCCTACCAATTTTGAGGGAAAAAAAATGTCAGAATACTGTGAAACAAACCTTCTCCTCAATCTGTTTATTTTCTGAAAACCATGCCTGTGCTGTGAGTAGATCAATCTGCTGTCTTGCTAACACCTGTTAGAGAAAAAGGAAATTATAAAATACTCCAGGAGCAAATCATTGGCGGTATACAGGTAAAAACATTTAAATTTAAGAGGCCAAGAAGCAGGATAAAAGCTAAAGAGAAGAACCCTAGAATGAGATATACACTAGCTATGAAAAGTGGCAATTAGCTTAAAAAATGCAATGAGGATGTCAAGCATAAAAAAATTCAAACCCTAGAGATACAAACAACTGGGTGGAACAAGATATAACATTAGAAGGCCTTTACCGCACATTGCACAGTGTACCCATATACGAAAATCTTAACCCACAAAGAAAGCTAGAATTTACAAAGACATGGAAATTTAAATATATATACTTTATATATTTTTGGCCAGTTGGAAGTTAAAATATTGAATGCAATTGAGTTGGTCTGATTTTGACAAGAGGTAAAATTTCTTCTTGCTTAGAATAATCCCAAAATTAGCGAGGAACCAACCGATACACCAACCCCCTGCCCCTGTGGCCGAAAAGGAAAAAATGAAAAGACTAAGGAGTGTTCCTGGGCTTACAGTATAGCATAACTGAATTCAAATGAAAAAGCTGAGTAGTAGTGCCTTACTCTGTCGAGAGGTATGTCCTTAGCCCTTTCTACCTTCAAGTCCATAATAAAGCTACTCAAATCTCCTAAGATACCTTTAGCTCTAAGAGTGCCAGGAAAACTGCCTTGGTACCTCCCACATATTGTCAATGGGCTTTCAAATGAAAGATCAGGAATACATGAAGAGTATACCTATCAGGGACATTGTAGAAGAAACTGAAGTCAGGTTCAGTCAGTGCCAAGATGAGTAAAAATTGAACATAACTTGCAAAGACCGACGCAGGATGATCACTCTCCGGGTGGAGAAAACATGAATGAATGCAAACAACAGACAAGATAAGCATGATAGGGATTGACAGGGCAACATAATAACACTCATGATATACATCATTGTAAGGTGTTTGTTGTGATATTCGGGTGATTTCAACTGATCCTATACATAACTACTGTATAGAATGATATCTCAATCTATCTATAAAATACATCGTATATTGTGATCCTTAATACATCACAAGAATAGATAGACAAGTAAAATAACTAAACAAATTGCAAAATGAAACATAGAAAGGTAGATATGTCATATGAGAAAAAAAAAGATGTCATAGATGAATGAAACAGATATAGGTGTTCAGACAAACCTCTATTTGATCATGTTCATCAAATGCATCAACAGCTATATTTGCAAGGACAGTAGATAAACCTTTGCTAAATAATTTTTGCATCTGCACCTCAATTGAATCTGACCAGAAATAGGAAGAAAAAAGTAAGATTAATGATATAAGACATAAACTTTCACATATCCTTACAATATAAGAATAGTTCCTTACTTTTCTACATATATTACTTGATGAGGAGCTTAGGGTTCAGCATTATACTCAAGGTAGAATTTTGGAAGATAGAAATAGGGTAAAGGACTTGTAAGGAGGCTCTCTAAGCAAGAAGAACCCGAAGAGGGCAGATAAGAAAACACTTATAACATTACAAAGAGCTTAAAGCTTCTGAAAACTCTCACTCCGAAAGTTAGAGAACTACCTGAGTCTATATTAACTCAACTTAAGAGAGCAAGAAAGATAAACTGACTACCAAATTATGCTCTTAAGTAACATCAGTAAGCCACTCACAGCATATTTACATGAAACTATGACTTAACTCAGCCCAAAACACAACCATTCAGGGTCCAATATTAACCTTAGATCTTAATATGAATTCCAAATTCTAGCTTAGGTGTTGGAACCAGCTTTTTTACACCTTTTATACACTTTGAATACTTTCCATCATTAGTTACAGTGAAAATAAACTATTTTTAAACCAAAAGGATGAAATGCTGCTATTGAAGACAACAATGCTTAATAAGATGGAATTAAAGATCAGGAAACGGACCCACCAAAAATTTTCCCCCAAAGAAAAGCAAGAAAATTCAAAAAAATTCTAGCAATCAACGCATAAAAATTTCCTTGTATCACACAATTCTTTGGCTAGAGGTTCAAATATAAAGTCAAAGTATATACAAACCTATATCACAAGCAGCACCGTATTCCCCCCGGCTAATCATAGCAAGCATGCGCAGGAAATAATGATTACAGAATGAACCTGCAACATTTCCACTCAACAAGTTAACTAGAAGTTATGGTCCAACGAACTTATATTATTTGATTTCAGCAATTAGGATTTACACAATCCTAAGTTCCTAAGCAGACAAGCTGGCATCCCTTACCAATGATGAGAAATAAATTCAGTGGATCTAAGGCACTTAATACTATGCTAGTAACTGAAAATATAGGAGGCTTAAACACCTGAAATTATTACCTATGCCAAAAGTATGTATGCGTGGACATAATGATCCTCCATTTTTCAGACGCTTTTTCATCCAGTCACAAATGTTTCTTTCATCTTCAACAGCCCCATCAGTAACAAGAAAAATCATAGGAATTGAACCACGAGTGTTTGATAGCATCTCAGCTGCCTGAAAAATAGAAAAAGCAAAAGTAAATAATGCACAATAGATCATGACAAAAGAAAGCTATCTTAAACCATCTTGTCAAGAACCAAAACAAAAATGAAAGCAAATTCTAATCTCTTAAACCAACACAGAAACATGAGAAGTTTAACCACAGGAAAGGAAATGAGTTCACACCTTTTCTAGTGGAATAAACATATTTGTACCACCCCCCACACTATATTTTGTGCTAATCCATTCAGTGGCCCGTTCGATTGCTTCCGTGGAAGCCAACTCCATGGATGTTGAAAATAGAAAAGTCTCACTACTAAAAGCTATAATGTTAAAAGACTCTTCTGGACTGAGCTTGGAAAGGGCTGTAGATATTGCATTCTTGGTACTCTCAAGCGGCCTCCCATGCATGCTGCCACTTATATCAACAACAAATATGACCTCCTTTCTGAACACCTATCAAATTCAATAAGATGAGGATAGATGCCAAAAAGAAGAACCAAATTAGTAAAACACAGCAGGTTAAACAAATGCTAGACCAACCTTCCTACTCTGCTGACTTCCAGGGAAAAGATAAATACAGAACATATCCCTTTGATCATAATCATATAAAGATGAAGACTGCAAAAGGATGCCTCCAAATATGTTACCGGCAGACACCTATAGAAAATGTAGACAAGATGCAATTATAAGTATCCTGATCATAACAAATTGAAGTATTTCTCATAAAAATACCAATGAATCTCTAGTTTAATTAAAACTTTAGGCATAGTCATGTTTCATGGAATGGCCATTTTGTAGTTCTAAAGAATAAATAACATAACAGCAAGCTAATTATGATTCTTACACTGTATGAGAAACTGAAGTCAGTACTGGACCAAGTGAGAATTTCTGCTTCGTATAAGAAGCCAAACTTCCCAGCATGGCGTCTTATTTCCTGCAAAATTTGGGGGGGGTGGGGTGAAAAGAATATCTAGTAGGAAAACAAGTAACAAAATAATGATTCTTAATCAAAATATGCACCTTCAAAGGATGACTAGTTGACTTGCACAAGATTTCGGTTGCAATACCAGAGTTCACATTCAATTGTATCCTTTGTTTTTTTGAAATTTTCTTTATAGCAGGAGTAACATATTCAGGAAAACTAAAGGGCATGGTCAAGGAAAACTGGCCATTATTATATGACAATTTCTGAGACCAACGAAGCTTAATTGAAATATTAGTACCCCCATCAATCTGGAAATATAAAACAATAAACATTCATTAGAAACAGTAGACTTAAAGTACATCAAGTTAAATCATTAAACTTTTTAAAATATTGTTATACCTGTGGTATTGTTAAGGTAAATATATGAGGCATCAAAAACCCTCCATCTTCTGGTCTTGCTATCTTTTGAATACCCTTACTTTCTTCTACTCCAATCAATTTAGTGGAATAAGATTTTGTAGGAAGATCAACCTCAACACCTAGAATTGAACCCTGTTAGCGAAATAATATATTATTGCTTGAGACCATTAATAAGCACAATTCCAAGAATTCAAACACAAAATCAAGTTAACCAAACACTTGATAATTGATACTTTTCTGTTGTAGAAAGACCACATCCTTTTTTGACTTGATATAAATAAAATAAAATAAAAAAAGATAACAAAATCTTTTTTTTCTTCAATTTTTTTGAGTTATTCTTGTTCCCCTCATAATTCTTAGCTAAAGTTTACAGGTTCATTTATGCAGTTTAATCAGAACTAAATTTTCCCTTAATATTCTTACTATTCGTGCAGGTCAAAGTCAAACCTATGATTTATCATTTATCAAATGTCCAAAAGAACAAAATTTTCAGAATCAAATAGCAAATAGAACTTCTTGAGCTGAAAAAGGGAGAACTTTAAGCTAAGATAAAGACTAAAAAAAAGTAAAAACTTAACAAAGAAGGATCAAAATCTTTCCATTTTCCGTTTATCAGTTAATTTTATGGGAACAAACCTGGTCGCCCATAGGAACAGCTATGCGACAATCGCAGGAACGGCTACCCATAACGCAATGGATCCTCCATTTCCCAGAAACTTCAACAAAAGCAGTATCGCCGTAACAATCCACGTCGAGATTGACCGCGCTCATCTGGAGAGGAATCAAAGCAGGTGGATCGCACCTTCCATGCACGTGAGGCTGGTAACTCGGAATATCCGGGTTGTCGACAATCCTCGGGTCGGATATAACCGCATACACCATCGGCGCCGATGGCAAATACCAATCCGATGACCTCTCCATAGGCGGCGGCCTCGGCGGCGCCACCAGCCCTCTGTCTTTCCCTAAGTATATCCGTTTCGATAGCTTCAGCCCGTCCTCCACCGCCTTAGCAAAATCCTCCGCCATTGACAACACAAACTTTACAAAAAAAAAAAAAGACAAAATAAAACAAAAATATTTCTTTATCTTCTTTTTTTCCTTCTTTACGTGAGAAAACGAAAGAGATTAATTAGAGAATAAGAAAAAGGAGAAATCAATATCGGAGGGATATGGGGTTGCTTCAGTGAACGGATTCTTGCAATTGGCGTGAGCACCGGATTCGTTTTGGTTTATTTTTTCTGGGTTTTTTAATTACTAATAATAATAATAATTTTTTTTTTTTTGGGAGAAAGAGACTCTTTTTTACTTAATAAAATGTAGGTTTCGATGCGTTGGAGATGGAGGGGATTGGAGTTTGAACCGATCGACGTGGCGGGACGTGGTTGGATGACAAGTAATAGTGCCGACGTGGAATGATTGCCTGGATTGTGGTTACGGTGGATTCGTTTCTTCAATTTAACGAATTTGCGGCAGCTAGCGGAAAGGGGAATTGGAGATCACGAATTTACGATGGTCCCGCGAGGCACAGGATAGTAAATCTCCAACTCCAACGGTTAGTTATTATTATAGTTATATTACCAACGGCTTTCTTGATCTGCTTACTGCTGGATATGTGAATGTGGTGGGCCAGTGGGATGGGGGGTAGGCAGCGCCTGCTTCTCCTGACACGTGAAATGCACCCAGTTTTATTATTGGACAGTCGGCAGATTTCATTGACTTGAGTGGATGTAATTAAAATGGCCAATCTATCAGTCAAAATGAAAAAACACTGGGAATGGGATGTCTCCACGTCCCAATCCTTGCAATCAGTATAGCTACCAGTTACCACCTGATGAAGTTGACGCCAACCTCATCCACAACTTTTTGTAATGGAAGTGGAACCGAAATCCATGGCCAATTATTTGGATTTTTGCCCCCCAACTTTTGCTTTCAGGTGGGACGGGGGACTTTATTCGTCAAATTATTCCAATATTGATAGGAATTGATTGATGATATTCGAGTATTAGCTAATAAACTTTCGTATGTGGCTGGAAGTATTAAAGGTCATGGCGGTGATTTGAAAAAAAAAAAGGAAAGATTTTTTCATTCTTCATTTTCAAGTTTTAAGATTTTAGCCGGTACAATTTGTCGGTTTGTCCTTATTTATTTCTGATATCTTCTGGGTTCTGACAGAAAGAAAATCGACTTTCACCTTTTATAGGCCCAGATCATCCATCAAAGTTGCCTTCGGTACTTCTCTGTTGTTGAGAATCTATTTGAAGGGACAAAGAAAATGTACATCAAGAAAAAAAATTAACTTGACAAATTTAGTGGTCGTACGATCAAATTAATAACACACACTTGAGAAATGTACGAAATTAATATATGCCATCGATGAGGATTTGGTTGTAATTGCAGAACGACTAAAAAACCAAGGTTTGATATCAAATTTGTAATTTCATATATTTTTCTTGTTCTTCTTTCCTTCTCCAAATCCCAACACTACATTATCCCGTATTACTTTTTTTTTCCCTTTTCCTGCTGTTTTCCATCCGTTGTAAGCATTTTTCTTCATCGGAGGCTGCAGTGGTACCCAGTTTCAGGCCAACTTTTACTCCGAAGCTTCCTCCATTAATATTCAGATAGTGTAAGCTCAAAAAAAGAAAGAAAAAATTATGGCTTAACTACGCTACAAAAAGATAGAGAGACTAAATCTACAGATACGCTAGCCACGAAAAATTGTGGTTCCATAACACAAGAATAAGCCTATGACTGACATGGTTACGACATGGAAGTCATCCCATGGGAGATGGGGTTAAAGGATGCCGTCAAAAGTATGCCCAATCAATGATAGGAAGAGGCAACACTTTCGTGTCTCAGAGCATGCTGCAAGAATTCTTCATTCAGAAACAACAGTGTGGGACTAAATTTGTGCAAAGAGGATTTCATTCCATGTGTCAGGAACACCGGGCAAACACCAATGCAAGCAGTCCTGGACTCCTGGTGATGCTGTAATCCTGAACCGGGATATGTGACCCTCGTCTCTCACCTGAGACAAAGCTGTTATGTCCAGAAGTTTAACCCCTGTCCCCCTCGTGGCGCTGGCAGCACTATGATCACTGGACTCTTCTTGTAATACTTCTTTACCTATAGACATAGGAGTAGTATTGTCACAGCTCCCTCCACTGTTCCAGTCCCCATTTACAAAGTGCCTAGGGGAGATGCTCCTATAAAACGTTTTCAGATGAGGATGCTTTGGAAGCTGAGAGTCTAGCCATTTAACAGTGCTATGGATTGTGAAGTTCTTGGCACTTCCCATATCTGCTATCTTCCTGTTGGTGTTAGGCACACCCCCAACATACATGACCCACCTGTTAGCCCTCAGTTTCCCTCGATTCCAATGGTGCCCTGTGTTCAGAACCAAGACATCAATTTTGTGAAGAAACTGGCGCAAAAATGCTGGAGGTCGATCTAGATGCATTGCATATTCTATGTGTGGGTCCTTGACATTAAGAGGCTCCAGATCACAGAGGCTTGAAGACCAGTAGTAAAGGACAGTAGTATTGGTGCTGGGAAATCGATAAGCCCAACCATTAGGACGTTTACCACCAGGTGGTATGACAAGTCCATACTCCTTGCCCACATCAAGGACATTTGAGCTATCCTTACCAGCTGTGATCATGCACATTAGAGACTGGAACTGCTGCCTACCCAATGAATCTCCAACAAAAGCTAGAGTTTTGTCTTGCATCCTGTAATGCTTCATAAGTATATGTAAATAGTCCCATAAATATTGATTATATTTAAACAAGTAAAAAGAGCAACCAGCCAACCACTCATATAAACTCTGAACAAAGGAAACAACTTTTGGAAAGAGAAGAGAGTGCATCTAAAGAGGAGAAAGCCAAACGCCAAATCTATGAAACCCAAGCTTTAGAACTTAAGAACAGTCCAATTGTAAGTTCTTATGATCAAGGTTAAGTTGGAAGAAACAAGTGAAGAGTTACAACCATGTTCAAACAAAATAAATGAAAATTACTAAAGGGTAAAGACACCAATACCTTTTTAAGAACTTTGACCCTTCAAATTCTTCCATTTCACAGCCATTTGGTTGCCATCTTAGCTTCTCAAAGGCAAAATCTTGACGCCGCATCAAACGGCAAGCCCACATTGGTGCTAGCCACTGTTTACAACCAAACCCAGAATACAAAGGTCGTTTGTCATCTATAACCCATTTTCCTTTTGCATAATTACAGGCTGGAGCAAAGATCAGATAACATGAAAGCGGGTAATCAGTAATTTTATCACAATATGGGACTAACATATTCAAAATCTAAAGGTTCAAAAAGAGAGAGAGAGAGAGAGAGAGCATTAACATCATAACCACCGGTTGCTTGCACATCACCTATTACATCACTAGGAAAATGACTAAATGATGAAGTGCACAATAGAAATTGTTGCAAGAAATGGATGATATTACACCCATGTAATAGGATGCAAAACCCATGTCTGAGGTTTGAAAGAGGTACCAATAACAAAATGAACAACTCTTTGCTGAGATTTTCATCATTTGCTTTAACAACCTCAATCAACAACAGATTGGTCAGAAATGATCTTATCAATCATGTTGATGAATGCATTTTCTCCCCGAGCATAATGTATATAACAAAACACTATCAGCAGAATTTCCTCTCTGCAATTTCCATAAATACAGATGTGCAAAACATGAATAATTCATATCATGTATAGGCAATATTCTACCTTGATTCGCCACTCTCTTTTCTTCTTGTTCTGAAGTCTTTTCTCCTAAAATTACATTCTTTGTTTCTTCTGTCTGTGTTGAAATTGATCCACTTTTAACAACACCAGTTTTCTCTCCTTTTGGACTGTGCTTGTGTTTTGCTGCTTCTTCTGCCCCACCATAACAAATTAAAATGGGAATCCCCAAATGCTGTGAGTTTGAAGTAGAAAATGAAGAAACTGGCCGCAGCAAGATCCCAATAATATTCATGGTAAAACAAGTAAAGGAAAAGTGTGCTGGAGAGCACAAAACCATCCAGCATAGTGACAACATTAGAACCCAAGAAAATAGAATAAAAAATCTTGCTGTAATAATCGTTGATGACTTCACAATCAGACAAATAAGAAGCAGGAAAACAACTGATCTCGCATGCCAAAGCAAAAGCTTCATCTAACCATGCAAATACTCATTAAAATCAGAGAGATTAACAAATATATATATATATATATATATATATATACATACACATATAGCATTGACATTGGTCATTGGAAGCCTTAGAAATCAGCTTGTGGCCAAAAACTTATACCATGAGTCAATGAAAGTATTGGTAATGCTCACCAAAAATAGGATTTAGCATAACAAGTTATTCAAAAACATTAGCCACTGCAATATTCACAAATTTGATCTTTATTCTTGAGATAGAGAAAAGTAGCTCACCTTTCTTCTGATGAGGAACTGTTTCAAAGTCTAAAGAACTTTCGGAAGTATCAGCAGAAGTCACCTTATCCAGATGCTGTTCCTCTTTATTGTTTAAGATAGCAGTAGGTGTCTTATCCGGATGATGTTCCTCTTCATTATTTATGATATCAGTAGAAGGTGTCTTATCAAGATGACGTTCCTCTTCATTAGTTATGACTTCCCTTCGTGTCAATGTAGAAATATCTTCTCTCACATGTCTTTTGGGTTCTAATGGTACCGTTTTAATATCTGAGCCAGATATTATGAGAGGAAGGAAAGCTATCGTGAGCATGTAAGTAGCAGTACTCTTATACAGAATATGTATGCTTTCCAAGTTTCTAAATTCCAATGATTGTCAAATATCTCTTTTTTCCAGAAGGTTTTAAAAAGCCAAGGAAAGCAAATATCACCATTCGTTGGCAATTCTGTATTAACACAAGCTGATAAAAATAGTCTTCCAGTGCAGTACGCCAAACAATGTTGTAATCACAATGCAGAAATTTACTAGGATTGACAATGCACTTTTTAAAAGATAACTGACTCCTTTATTGTTAAAAATATACATATATGGCATTAACCAGGAATATTAACAGAATGCAGAAGATAAACATAGCATGAGAAAGGAAAAAAGAGACAAATAACTTCATAATGGCTTAGTTAGCAAGCCTGTGAAGAAAGAGAGGGCTGAAATATGAGCAGGAAAGATGCTTTGGTTACCATAAGAAACAGAGCGAAAAACCAATAAATAGCACAGTGAAGAAATAAGATAGCTTCAAAGAACCTGGAGAGAGCTGCAACAATTGATTTTTGGATGGTAGTAAGGAAGTAAGTACTGGACTTTTGTTCCATGTCCAAATAAGAATAGTTGCACACACAAGAACAATGAGAAAGAGAGACAGTTCTTTAGCCTTCCATCTTAATTTGTAGGGGCCTAATTTCATCCTACAAAGACATGAAACGTAAGACTTGTCAAAATGTCACTAAAGGTAGAAAGCATGTTCCACAAGGAGAGAAGGAAGATAAAGGCTGAAACCTCAAGGAAAAAGAAAAAGAAAAAGAAACAAAATTGCAGGTCAATTTGCAGCTCTTTCTTTAAGTAAGTGTAAGATATAGGTACAAAGAATTGAGGTTGAATGAATAAAATGCACTTCCTGCTTCCAAAACAATTATCTAATCCTTAAAAGGGCTATTTCAGAAACTCTTCACCTATTTTATGATGATTACCTAAAAAACTAATATATCAGACATTCTATTGCTGCAAACTTATGCAGCCATCTATAAGAAGTGCTAGATCCATGGAGTGAGCCATAAAATTCACCAAAGGATAAGCTGCATTAAGTTACCAACATAAATGTTTGACTTTAAAGCACCAGAAACATTCTAAATCCGTTGTTAGGAGATAGCGACACTCCCTTATCTAAAGCATTAAATCACAAACATTTAAAAATTATATGATCAAACTTACAAAAAAAACAGAGATTTTGACTCTATTTGCATAGAAATTCCACAATAATCCATATAACTAAGCCAAACAATCTTGATTCCACAGCATGCTTAGAAGCCAAACAGATCCTACTCTAACTCAAAACCAACATCACTAAACACGGGCAGCACGGTCCGAACAATCTCCAGGATTTTTTTGTTTAAGCTATAATCAACAATTAAATTATTATAACTGTATTAATTCAATGGAAACACTATTGATGTAAAGATAGTTGGATTGCGACTGAGGTATGCCATGGGTCCAGAAGCCTGCCCTCACGGCCTTAGGTTTTGTCTTTGAGAAGCCTTGATAGACACCTTGCTAGGGGATGAGTGAACCCTGCTTATAAAACCTCCAATCCTTGGCTATTACATGTGAATCGTTTCCTCTCAACAAACAGAATTATCCACCAAATTTCCTTTTGTCTAATCATAATTACAAATTTTAAAAGCAATTTGCCTCGTGAACTCAAATGGAAACTGACAATGTTAATGCAAATTAGATCAAATCAATGGTAATGAAAAAAAAAAAGAAGAAAGAAAAACATAAAACAGCAATGTCATTGAAGACAGAATCAGCTAACAAATAAAACGAGAAAACGAAATTGAACATGAGCAAAAGAGGAATCTACGATTATGTCCGCTCGATTCTGATCCAAACGCAAAATCCAACGGCTCTGATCTATTGAAAAGATTAATGGAAAATTGAATTGAAAAGGTTTGATCAAGATAACAACTGAGGAAAGAAGTACCTGAGGCGCATCAATATCTGTACGGAGTGTAATTACGAAATAAAAAACTCTCCGCGAATAATTGTTTTAATTCTCGTTTTTATTATTTTTAATGTGGAGAATGAAGAACAAGAAGAATAAAAAGAAGCGATGGTGGGAGTTAAAAAATAGATGAAAAATTAACAGAAAAAAAAAAAGTCGTTTGTGGTTCAAGGAAGTAAGGACGTGTCGGCTTAACGGAACTGACCAAATGTAAAGATATAGACCGTACGGAAAAATGTAAGGTCACGGAAAAGTAAAGAAAATATGAAAATTTATGATGAAGTTGACAATGAAAATCAATACTAAATCCTTATTAATGATGTTGCTAATTGTAGGGTTAGTTAAAGATTAAAACAATGTTAACTCCATGTAATCAAATCTTATTTTATAATAATTCCTTTTTTATAGAAGATTATTTCATTAAAGATCAAAATAAATATGAATTACAAAAAGAAATAGAGAGCGATCTCCACCGACACTTCTCTTCTCCTACCTCACATGTAATTTGGGCTAAATTTGCACTCACTCTTTGTTGGTGTACATGATGGATCCAGCTCCATGTGACTTGCATTCGGTCTAGCAAAAGAATCTTTTTTACATTGAAAGGAGCCGAAAGTTGAGAAAAAAATAATATAATTGTTATACATTTAATAATTTAATAATTTATATTATATAAAATATTAAAATTTATATATTTATATTATATTTTATGCAAAATTATATGTAATAATTGTATAAACATGAAAACATAAAATATATATTTTTTATTTTTTTTAAACTCATGTCTTATTATTATTAAAATTTTAAATTATGTGATTTCATTTTTTTTATATTATCATATCGTATTTTAAATTTTATTTCTATTCGTGATTATTAATATCAAGTATCAAACAAATATTTAGTGTAGAAAATATTAGTGTTTCACAAAGGGAATAAAAGAGAAATAGGGATATTCAACAATTGAAATTGTAATGTATTTATTAAGATATATTTTATTAATAAAAATTATAATATTCTATCCAATCCAAAATAATTTATGCCAATCACATGCAAAATCTTGTGCTTGAATTTATTAAACCAATAGACTTTTGAACAGGAAGATAGTGTTGGGGAAGTATGATAGATATTTCAAATCCGCTTGCAAATGTTTGCCTCATCTTGAAAAACGCAACCATTTGGTAGTAAAATATCTATTGAAATGTTCCATTAACATATGGAGGAATAAATGATCTTTCTCTTGCATGGATCACATTACCTTTTCAGCAATCAATCTGACTATAGGTAGAATGAAGAAAAGATGAAAGAAAATTCGTTTCGTTCAATAATCCAGTTACCATAATGTAAGTAGGAAATAACATAAATGCAGTACTAATCATTAAATTATAAATTCCTTCCTAGTTCCTACCAAATGCACCAATTTCGTAAAATCTCGAAGTTCAAGGTTTGATTTAAAACAAATATTAAATTACAATGGTTTATTTAGAAATTTTTTTATAATGCTGACTTAAAATATACATATATATTTGTTGACAAATTTATTAATTTTATAAATAAAAAAGATATCAATGAAAAAAATTTTAGATATTCAGTGAATTTTTTGTCAAATTTTCTTATTTTTAATTTTTGAAATGTCTAAAAAAATTTTCTTTCAAATTTTAGATTTTTCATAAACACCTTAAATAAAAAAAGTTGGATCCGCCGCTAACTTATAAGTACTCTCTTACGAAAGTTAAATGAAAAACCACAAAACCCTATATTTCGAGGCGGTGCACCGTTTTGCATAATTTAAAAACGACGGCGTTTGGAAAGGGATAAAAAACAAGGAAAAAAAAATGAAGGAAGGGTATTTTGGACAAGTAGCCAGTTTTGTTCTTCCTCGAGTTAATTCAAAGAGTCATAAAAAGCGCTGAGCAGCGGGTGTCTTGCAGAAAACGCTTTCTCTTCTTCTACATCAAATCTCTGCATTCAAACGCAAAGAACAAAAAAAGAAATTCCAAAAACAAGAGAGAAAATGAGCAGAGGAAGTGGAGGAGGCTACGATCGTCATATCACCATCTTCTCTCCCGAAGGTCGTCTCTTCCAAGTCGGTATGTATATTCTTTCTCCCATCACTATTTTTTTTTTTTGGTTCCTACAAAGAACTTTTTTATTATAATTTGTTCCCTTAATTTGATTTTCGAATAAATTGAGCAGAGTATGCGTTTAAGGCAGTGAAAGCAGCTGGGATCACATCGATTGGTGTTCGAGGAAAAGACTCCGTCTGTGTTGTTACTCAGAAGAAAGTTCCCGTCCGTATTATCCTATATTTTCCTTTGTTTATCTGGGTTTCCTTTTTTTTTTTTTTTCTGGATTAAGTGATTTAAGGGTTTTGCTCGATTTGGGTATTTAATTTTTGAATAATGCGATGCAGGACAAGCTTTTGGATCAGACTAGTGTCACTCATCTTTTCCCTATCACTAAGTTCCTTGGATTGTTGGCTACTGGCATGACAGGTTTTCTTTTGTTGAATACCATTTTTTATATATATTTTTCTTTGATAGTATTATTTGTTCGAATTGGGAAGATTTGTTGTGTTGACTAGTGAACTAGGGTTTGGGAGATATTAAGGATTCTGGGTTATAATAATGTACCTTATTTAACACTTATAATCAGTGAAAACGCTAAATTAGGGTTTACAAATTCCTAATTTTTATCCTAAGGTATTCAAGCGTTAGAAATATCAGTTAGAACAGAATGGTTTTCTTAGTAATTTAGCTCTTACTGATCCTGGTATTCAGCATACTAACCATAAGTCTTCCTTGCTAAAACATAAACATTGGTGCTTACTACAAATACCGAGAAGAGGGCAACCCTAATCCAACAAGAAATGCACAAGAAATTCCCAAAAGAGAACTGAAAGGGTGAAAATGAACATTATGGCTGGCCTCTTTAAGTAGCTTGCCTATCTTTGACATGGGGATCGAATTTGGTTTTGTTGACTTCATTAGATTAAAGCCTGAGGTTGGATTTTGTTTACTGTTATGGCACTCCTTTGTAAGGGATGCTTTGATAATTGACATTTCACTCTTCAGCTGATGCAAGGACTTTGGTTCAACAAGCAAGGAATGAAGCAGCTGAGTTTCGGTTCAGATATGGATATGAGATGCCTGTGGATGTATTGTCCAAATGGTATGGTTTCTTATATCTTATTCAGTGGAACTTAAGGATGTTTAGTTGTGTTCCAATTGGTGGCTGTTGTATCTGTAGAGCTCATCTAGATAACATTTGAACAAATTTAGTGACTTTTATTTTTGCTGGTAGGAATTGGAAAAAATTTATTATCCTGATTTTTACTGCTCCTCTTAACATCAAGATTGGAGGTGATGTATTCTTTATTTGCTAGTTCATGGATATAATCTTGGTTCAAAAAAATAATACATCTGACTGACCAAATGTCATGTTATTATTATTATGATTATGAATTCTTCATCGATTTTCTTTGATATTTGGGATTCTTGTGCGTTTTGATGATCATATAACTAATTTAGAATAACATTGTGTATTGATGTAGGATTGCTGACAAGTCACAGGTTTATACTCAACATGCTTATATGAGACCTCTTGGAGTTGGTAAGTCTATGATTTCTTGAAAATCTTGCATCTATAATTTTTTTTTTAATTATTTGTATTTGTCATAGTTGATTTACAATTTTTGAGTTTGTTAACACATGCAAGCAAATATATGCTAATGTATGTCCCAAGTAACTTTCTCTAACATTACCATATTCTCCCCTTAATATCTTTCTTATCATTTTCTGTGAAGTTGCTATGGTTTTGGGTATCGATGAAGAGAAGGGACCCCAACTCTATAAGTGTGATCCAGCGGGCCATTTTTATGGCCACAAGGTAGTTTGCAAGTTAATTTTATTGCTCATTGAGTTTGGATTCTTGATTTTGGTTCTAAATACCTGGTTCAAGCCATATATTATTATTATTATTATTATTATTATTATTATTATTATTATTATTTTCTCTAATAGTTCTCTTTGACCATATTATTTACATTGTGAGTGTAGTAATATAATTGCTGATGATTTTTTCCTTTTTTGTTTATTATGTGCTTATGTAATGAAGAACCACAATAATTACCATAAATTTCTGACGGTTGCTTAAACAAAGAGTTGTGAGAATGCAAATGATCCATAATATCTAGTAACTGTTGCTCCACAGTACCCACCATATTATGACTCTGCTACCACAATTTAGTGACATTTATTTTGGACAAGTAAATGAATGACATCTAAATTTAATTACATTAACTATTTTATTTTCTTTTTCCACATCTTTAGCATGAAAGTAGCATGTTTGTTCTCCAATCTTAATTGGTTGTTGCAATTACATGGATCCAAAATTCTTTCTGACCAATTTTAGGATAAGCATTTTGCCTCTGAAATGAATTTTAATTGCTATGCTGCAGGCAACCAGTGCTGGATCAAAAGAACAAGAGGCAATTAATTTCTTGGAAAAGAAGATGAAGAATGACCCTGCTTTTACTTATGAGGAAACAGTGCAGGTATATTATTTGTATTCATTATGTATGGTAAAGGAAGTTGCTAAAGACCACTTGTTTGACATGAGCTAAAATAATCATAGTTGTCTAATGTTTCCTATTGCTACCATTCTGTAGACTGCTATTTCTGCTTTGCAATCTGTTCTTCAGGAGGATTTCAAGGCTACTGAGATAGAGGTATAATGAGTCAGCTGATCCCTTTGGTGCACCTCTCATATTTAGTAACTTTTACCTTAAGGCAAGCGGTGTATAATCTAATATATACTTTGTTAGTTTCATAGGCTGCTTATGGTGTATTCTCACTCTAATCCAATTGCTTGTTTCTCTAATATAAATACATAGATATATTCCCAATCATTATAGAAGCTGAAATTATTGTTGTTTACCCTCTATTTGAACTGTAGTCGACTTGAATCTTTTTATTTTTGGCAGGTGGGAGTGGTGAAAGCCGATAATCCAGTTTTCAGAGTGTTGTCAACAGAGGAAATCGATGAACATTTGACAGCCATTAGTGAGCGTGACTAGGGAGTGTGGGCGGACTGATAATAGCTCAAAAACCTTCATGTTGTCAACTGAAACAACAAACATGCTTTTAGTTGAGCATCATGTTTGTGAGAGAATAGTGAAGGGTTGTTGCTTCAAATTATGTTGTCTCCTATTACTGCTTGAAACTTTAAATCAAATTCATATTGTTTCTGGGATTGATTATCTCCAAGATCAAGCAAGATTATAATTGTCCAAAATGATGCATTTCTGCAAATTACCGTTTAAATTATCTTGGAACTCTACAAGGGCATGCCTCCTGATGTGAAATTTTAGACGTACGGTTGATTTGGTATTGGCTGAGGCTGGAAGGTGAATTCCAAATGTTTCTAGCTCTGCAATAATTTTACTGGAATAACGTCCATATTTGCAGCTGTATCAAACTGCCCGGTTCTGTAAAAGCATAATTCATTCATCAATTTTTTTTTTAAATGTACACTTGTTTCATTGAATTTTTAATGTGCACTTAAGTAATTGAATTTTATCTGGTACAATCAAACTATGAAACCTCTGTTTGCATCCATTTAAATGGTTTAAGTTTTGAAAATTGACTTAATTATGTCAAATTTTACAGTAAACAACATAAAATTAACAACGTAATTGATAATTGTGCAACAAAAGAATATACATTGTTATTTGGTAGTTGCATCCTACTACAGGGTATGTATCCAAAATTCTTAAGAGCTTTTATTCGCCTTCAATCTCATACAAATTAAGCTTAGACCTGGATGTCCCTGGCTGACATTTTTTATTCTCCTTTGCATCCCATTACTGTAAATCATTTCAGTGGCAGCTTCCCGACAAAATCGGAGTTGAGACTACCCAAGTAAAGATGGTCTTCAAACTCCAAAGCTGTTGTCACAAAAGATATAACTGTTCCATTAGGATCATCGAACCTCTTGATAATGTTGCCATCAACACCCACATTGATAACTGTTGCCTTTTTCCTTGTTCCATTTACTAGTTCGGTCAGTTTCGGAAAATTTGCTAGAATCTGTTTCAAAGCCTTGGAGGTGTGCACAAACTCCATTCCTTCAGAAGTCAACTGCAGCAAATTAAGAAATCATTTAGGTGCAAGACATGAGGTTTTACTTGATCAATATGCTCGTACTAACGTATATTTGCATGAGTTTGAATACATGGAGTAAGGCGATCCAGAAAGAACCATCCGGGGCTAGGTTGATGTTATCAGGTCCACCGGGAAGGTTGTCAACAAAAATCTCAGTTTGTCCTTTAGTCTCACCCTTCAACCAGTATTTGAGGCACCTGAATCTGCCCTACCAGATGAAAAATAGAGGGGACGAATGTTGAAAAAGGAGGTTAGAAAATCAACCATTCAATCAAATCAAGCCGTCTCCACTGTGCGAAAAATATATGATCTGAATCATACAGAAGTCCTTGAGCCAATGGCAATGACTTGACTTACCTCCATGTTTCACACACCACGAGATAATCTTCATCTTTTGAGAGTGCAACACCGTTGGGAAAGCACAAACCATCTAGCAAAATGAACGTCTCCTCCGTTGATGGGTCAAACTTAAGCAGCTGCCCATGAGGTTTTGCCTCGAGCACGTCCAGATACCAGTTACTGAGTTGAAATTTGGTGCTTGCTACACTGAAATATAGACTACCATCTGATGCTTCAATCACATCATCTGCAAACCTAATAAATTTAAGAACATACAAACTTAGTAGTATAAAATGCTTTGCATTCTTCTTCTTCTTTTTTTCGTTAGTTGAAAAGGATTCCATTCTTGTCCCATGGCGATCGACTTCCAAGTTCACTAGCATGTGTTTTTAATGGGGAGAATCACAGCAATCCATCCTTTTGGACGAACCTTGGTGGCAGATATTGTTTTAAAGCACCGCCTCAACATTTCCTGAAAACACAACTATTCGTCCTATAATGTGTTTATGGGGCCATAATCAAGGTCAAGTGGCGAGGTGGTGGGTCTTGGTTTTTCGTCTCACGACAACAAACAGGTTGCAATTTTCTCTTGGTCTTGGATATACCCAAACCAAAAAGAAAAATAATGTCAGATCAAAATGTGTAAAAACAAACGCAAATAGAACAAGATTTAGATTGCAACAGTCACGTTTCTATCTTCAGAATCATAACTACGAGGCATCAAGTGTAGTCATCGGGTCCCAACCCAAATGGAAAAAGATTCCCTTGCGGTAGCTGCTATCTAAATGCCTTAGAGGCGTGAAAGAGTCTTCCTTTCACAAGGAAGCTGCCACACCTCCCTCGTCAGTATTTGCTGATTACTTTTTTGTCCCATCAGAAGAGTGAACAAATCTTGCACATGGCTCATTTTTAAGTGATGATGCCTTAAATGCAGAGATGCCTCTTTCTGACGTAAGTCACATACTGTCTTCTCGCGCATGAAGAAGATTGAAAGCACGAAATTTCAATTAAACTATCTAAAAACTAGTTAATTATTGGTTTCTTTTGGATCGGATCTTTGTTCTTACTCAAGTTAATTGAAGGCCTATAAGGAACTGTGCTTAGTAATTAGCTGATTAATTTGAACTATTACCTTATTTCGGATCCATCGAAATGTGATACAAGAACTGCTATACCATCTTCGGTAAACTTAAGCAAGCCCTGAGGAACATGGAAGAGTTCATGCGTGGCTCTGTGGAGGCATGGTTTCAAGGGCATGGGAAAAAAATTCACCTGCTTTAGCTACCAAGACAACAAGTTTGTGGATTCCTTACCTTCTCGGTATCACAGACAATAAGACCACCTCCTTTCGCTGTTGTGATTCCAAGCAAAGTTTCGCCGTGCACTTTCTTCCAGTTCTCCCAGGAACCATTTCTATGCAATCTTCTAATCCAGCCGTCTCTGGTTGCTGCATACAACATACCATTTTCATCCACAGCTACGTCCTCCGGGCCTTTCAATAATCCTTCTCCAAGTTTAGTCACCCTCTACAAGAAGAAACAAGCTACGTAATTTAATATCGACATTAAGCCTTGTAAAGACAAAATGATACATAGGAGGCAGTTCCTCATGTACTATTATACTCTTTACCTGCAACCGGTTATTTGGCGGAGAAACAGAAACTGGAGAAGCCAGAGGCAGTTCAAGCAAGTCTGGAGATATTGGCGAGAAGAAGATGATTTGAAGTACGATGGCTATAAAAAAACCTAGGAAAAACACCCAACAATGTTTAAGGAGATTCCTAAGAGCCATTACGATGGAAAATGCTGCTTCAGTAAGTTGTGTGGTTGAAGAAAACCTCTGATAGAGATAATGTGGTTGTGAATTACTGTAAATGCTATCATTTCAATTTCCAACTAGATTATTAAGGAAAAAGAAGTTGGAAGGGAGTACGGGACTTTCACTACCCTCCAATGTAATCAACCTCAAGCATAAAGTCATTAACAGACAAAATTGCACTAGATGTCAGTTGTATGGAAGAAGATAAGACCGTACGTCATTATCGGAGGCGGGACCGTCGTTCAAGCATGAGGGGCCCTGGCCCCTAAGTTTTCACAAATCTTAAGGTTCCCTCACAAATTTTTAGCAACTCTTAATATATAAATGAACTTAAATTAAGCCCTCTAAAATTAAAATTGTTTGCATGCATATATGTGATATTATAAGTTTTATGAAAAAATAAATAAAATAAAATATTAATTGATTTTCTCAAAATTAAGTGTCAATATCGTTACTGATCATTATTATTGGAAAACTTTGAATTTTAACAAATAACTTAATCAAAATATTCAATATTGATAAATTAAGATTAAAATGCAGATTTTGAACATCATTAAGTAGTACTAACAGGCAGTTTCATTGATAAGGAAACTTTATATTAAATCTTGATCATTAAATTTTTTTTTTCCTTTTTAACTTCAAAATCAGTAAATCATGACAGCTTATATGAAAATTTTGTTTCTCCAATTGTTATTGTTTGTTGTTGTGAAGTATGCTTCTATTCCATATTTTGTATAATCTAATGTTCAACTCAGTTTCTCAGAATTTGGAGCATTAGATTGAAGAGGATCTCAATTCTCAACACTGAACTATTTCATATACAGTCAGATTGACGGTTCATGCAACTTCTATGATTGAGGTTATGAACATTTTCAATGTAAAAGTTCTGATCTTTATCCATGGAGTCACATCTGGCTGCCTGCTCCTGATTCGTGAAAGCAATTTTAGCAGCCGCAGATCCTCATTCTTCTATACAATCACACAAAACCCAAAGTATCAATCATTGGGAGGCTTGGCAACGATGCCAAAATGGATAAGACTTAGAATTAATCACCTTCGGTTTAACATAATCCCCAATAACTCTAAAAACCCTCCCAGTCCCATCATCCACGACAAAGACAAATTTAAGAAACCCCACATCTTAACCCCAGTTTGATGTCCAAAAACATTGAAACCAATTTATTCTTTTTTGTTCAATTTTTATTTGTCTCCTTTATCACACCCACATGACATAAATCTCTTTCGATCCCCTGCTCCTCTCCCTTCACAATGTAAAATTACGGAACACAAATAGAAAACATAAAGCAGTTTTAAAGCAGAGAAAACAAAGCAAAAGACCGAATATTCAATGTTTGGTTCCATGCAATGGCAATTTCAGGGTCAGATACTCAAAACCCACCGAGCCAAATGACTGCTCCGATTGAAATTCACTGCGTTAAATGCGAGTCCTGCGGCTTCACAGAGGAATGCACCCCCGCTTATATCTTGCGTGTCCGAGAACGTTACCAGGGCCGTTGGATTTGCGGGCTCTGCATCGAGGCAGTCAAGGATGAGGCTCTGAGATCGGATACGCTTATCTCCACCGAGGAAGCACTGGACCGACACATCAGCTTCTGCAAGAAGTTTAGGGCGTCGAGTCCTTCAGACGAAACAGAGCATCCCATCTCTGCCATGGGCAGGATTCTTCGTCGAAGTCTGGATTCACCGCGAGCTCTTAGGTCTAATTCAAGTAGCGTCTTGCCAGGATTTGAAGGAGTCAAGTGTCCTCCTCTTCTTCGATCTGAGAGTTGTTTCTCGGCTCTTTCTAGCTGAGTTATTCTTCTCAAGTTTAAAGGTAAATATATGAAAAAAAAAAAAAAATGAAAGGAGGAAACATAGGAACTCTGTTTCAATATCAGATTGTTATCTACACCACATATATAGGGTCTTTATTGCTCAATTGTTTTGGCATCTGAATTCAGTGGACCTTCCAGTGTATCTAGCATATATCTCATGAACTACTTCGGGTTTCAAAGTTTCTTATATTTAGCCTATGTTCATTTAATTTTTTTTAATGCATTATTGCTGAGCATAATCCAAGCATGTTTTAATGTCTCAAAGTAACTCAAGACCTCCTTAATGTTTAAGATTACTGTAGCTGAAGCTGATAACAATTATAATAGTGACAGTTTTCTTAGTAATGAACAGTGGTTCGGTTCGGTTTGACTTGATTTTGCATATTTAGGAGAAAAGATTTAGTAGAAAGGAATCTTACAGCATGTGAGGTTTTATGAAACTGGTAGTGTTTGTGCTGGTTTTTGAGTCAAATTTCAGCTTGGCCAGCTGCGAAGAATGGCTTAAATGGAAGCGGTAAACAGATAAAGAAATTGTGGCATAAAAGGCAAACACAAAAGGAAGATGATGACAGAAAATGAAATTGCAAGGAAAATTCCATGCGTTAGACTCATCATGATAATTTATCCTCTTTCCTTTCCTTTTTTTTTTCTATTTATTTAGTAATCGCATCCTATGACTTCATCTGAGTCCTAGTACAAATGTGGTCGCTGATTGAACAGATACTAGCAGTGTGCAAGAACTCTTTCTAGATAGAACACAGAAGATTCCAGACATGCCCAGCCCTTTTTTTCTTTTTTTCGTGTTCCTTGGTTTGTTCTCTTAAAACATTATCAAATCTGACCAAAAAATAAAACGTGGGACAAAATCCTTCATGCCCATTCCATTTGTTTGAAAATATATATGAAGTTGCTTTTGATACCTTGATTGAAGGACGCAAGGAAACTTGGGAACCTATGAAGCAATCCGTTCAAGGTAAGATTCTTTCGTGGGTTTATATTTGTCATTAATCTTTTTGTTTTTCTTTTTCATGGGAAAGTCTATCTTTTTATGTAGCGTTTGTTAATTGTTATTGGCCTGTTGCATTTGGGCGAAAAAACAAATAAAAAAAAATGACAAACTCTGAAAAACGATGCTATGTTGAATATAATAGGCTTCTATTCTAGCCCATATAGTACAAGAATTATTTCTTGGGCTTCAACCCAACGTGTGGTGTGATGTTGATTGATTATGCAGGAGAAGGGAGCTCATATTTTCCACTCCTAATCTTAATCTTTTGATGTTTCCCAGCCATGGAAACCTCTGTTTTGACGAGATGTTAGATTGTCCTCGAGATTGCCTTTTTCCTCTCTTGATCACTCTTCTCTAATTAACTAAAATGTGAAGCAACTTAATCCTGTAATGTCTCAACTATCAAGGCAAAATTAAGTTAATCGACTTCCTTTTTAGCCATTTTATTACATAGTTAATTGAACCAAGTACCTGTGTCAGCAATCATAATCGCTTAAATTAAGCTTCTTATCATGAAATAATAATTGAAATTTGCTGCTAAATTGATTCCCTATCTACTTATGCAAGTCTGACTCAAGACAACAAAAATTAAAACAAAATTACTAGCAGCACAGCTAGCTTATCCATGCACATTGAGTTTTTCTTTGTTGGTTACAAAAAGAAAATTCTGCTTAGGCTTCCTCATATCATTCAGCACCCGGTAGATTCACCATAAATGCAATCAAGAACAGCAATGACTCCAAAAACAAAAGCTTGATCGATTCCAGGTTTTACCGCTACATGATACAGATCTTTACTTGCCATCAACTCGTCTACTTCCTTCTTTACTCTGTCATCACAATGAATTATGATTTAGAACAAACTTGATACGACGTTTACATTTCTCCAGCCAATTTCTATATACATTTGTCTTTTAATTATAAAGATAAAATGGGGACCAAAAGAAATAAAGCTACACTATATATATTAACTTATACGTACCTGAGCCACAATATTGTCTATGGAATCAATGATGCTGCAATTTCTGTCAGGGAAATAACCTTTAATCTCAGAGTCCCAATCCTTGCTGCTTCCTTTGGGCTCAATCGAGTTTCTGATGGCATTGTTCTTTGCTAAACATGAACAGGTCTCCTTCAAGGTAAAAACCAACTTTTGTGATCCTTCGTAGTCAAAAGTGTAACCTTTCCATTTTTTATGTATGTTTAAGGCCTCAACCATCCCTCCCTGGAGGAATATAAGAATCAACAATCATAGGCTCATAATTAGCCAATAGCAACAGAATTTGTATGCTTTATGGGTGCCTATGCACGCGCCAATAGGTACTCTATAATTATAAGCAGTATATATGTATAGATGCATGACCTCCCTCCCTCGCCCTCTCAGAAAATAATACTGAGGGGACATGAACTCTTTGGATTAGTCATGAGAGATTAAATGTAATCTTAATTAGTTAATGCGATGGCGATGTAGTTGGATACTTGGATTCATCACATCCACCAGCTTCTCTAATTTACAAACTACTAAGTTACTTGAACCAATTGCCATCTCTGTTTGAGATAATTTCAAGAAACAGTTATCCCCATGATGATCACTTATAATTCCATATGTTATCATGCTTTATCCTGTACCATATCATGTTCCTTTTGTCTTAATTTCCATCTAGCACATATGCAAGTTTTTATCCAGAGTACTCTAGGAAGTTCAAGCTTTTTCATAGAAATTGATCCATTAATATGTATGCATACACGATGGATCATCATAAATTCGTAATATCATGGTGCAATTGATCAATTCCCAGTTATGTATACATACTTGCTTCGTAATTGGAATATGTATACGGTATGACGATGGTTAATTATGAGCTTCCCATTTAATTTGCGGAAAAACGAAATATATTACCTTTCGACGTATGAGAAGCGAAGCATCCCCATTTCCATCCCTCAAAACCAGCTCCCCTTTAGTACCAAGAACCCCACAGCCATCAACCCTGAAAACAAACTTCTGGCTACAATCCGTGACCACGAAACCGCCTCCATTCTCTATATTTGGCCTCCTCCTAACCACAAACCCTGCCTGAGAAGAACAGTACAGCTTACTGATAACCGGCATTGTATTGGTTTCTTCAGCCATCTCTTTCTAGCTCTCAAAGAACTCTAAATTTCTGAGTTGTGAACTTTCTTTGGTTCTTCGATGTTTCTCAAGTCTGAGACCATCTATATTTATATATACGAAATGTTGATTTTGAAGAAAGAAGTGCTAGGGGAATTAGAAGAATAAAGGGTTTGAAACTTTTTTTTTAAGTTTGAAAGATTTGGCAAGTTGTTAGACTATTGCCATAATGTAGAATTTGGAGCACGTGTTATAAGTCAATCTTAGAGCGTGGAGCACGTGTTATATAGCTCTCCGAAGGATTCCTCGTTAAATTTGGCATGTTTTTGAGTTAAGACTTAAGGTAAGTGAAGATTTTCAAAAAGGGGTTTTTGATTCTTTTGAAGAATTTGGCAGGCTGGTGGCCAGAAGGGGAGTCTTGAATACTTATACTGAGTAATCTTCCATTATTGATTTAGAATAACGTTTGGATCACTATAAAATTGCATGCATGAGTATGATCTGATCTGCTTTTTGAGTGTATCAAAAAGCTGTAAAAGATGCTAAAATCAGCACATGTGGCTGGCAATAAATGAGTTATTGCAGCCAATGGTTTGGTTACGGCTACATAACCACAAATTTTTGGTTACTTGCTTGACTACAGTTCATAGGAGAAAAGATTGCCGCTGCTGACTTCAATTTGTGCTTTGTTATAGAATTTCTGATTTATATGTAATCTGCCAGCAGAGGTTCACATTTAATCCCTTGTGGCCTGGGAAATCAATAGTTCTCAAGGCTCCAAAGATAGACCACTCGGCCCAAGCAAGAAGCAGGCCAAATCCTTGGGCTCATTGAACAGTAGCAAAATTTGCTTTGAATTGCAGATGTCGTAATTGTAAACATTGCATTCACTATCTCAAAAGAGGAATCGGACAATGATTGTTTTTTGGACTTTGGTGTCTTTTGCTCATTTCTGGAACAACAACCATCATAGTCGCACCAGCTCACGTTTATTTCAATCCACTTTCAATTTCTAACATGCACCACCAACACACACACGTATATATATATATATATATATATATATATATATATATTTACTATTAGTGCTGATATCTTTGGTTACCGCGGCAATGCATGTGTGGAGTTGTACTTTTGGAAAAGAACGAGAGCTGGGAGTATGCATCGAAGTGAGATGTCTTGTCTTCTCAAGTGTCGGCCCCACTCCATCCAGGCAGGGTTTCAGGACCCCACGAGTGGGCGCCCCTTCCCTACCTCGTGATGAGTGCCCTCACGCCACCCAAGTGCGCGTGGAAAAAATCCAATGAACACGAATGTGGCCGGGGGTTGAGTTGATATCCGTACGGAAGCAAAAGGGCGAGAAAGAGATACGGGATTAGTGAAGTTTATTTTGTCTTACTACGATCTAATGAGCTAAATTTGGGTATTTGCTTTATTATTAAGAAAAACTTTGGATCTTGTTTTGTTGAGTAAATTGCATGAAACAAGTGCCGTCAAGTATAGTAACCTTGCATTATTTTTCATTCTACTACATTTCGAACATGGATTTTCTAAAAAAATTATTTTTACCCATGTCAAATTTTTATGAACATGATCATTATTGAGATATTTTTTATCTTATGATTGAGGAATTTATTGGAAATTTATTTGTACAATAGGCATGATCTACCACATAAACAAGTCAAAAAAAATTGAAAATAGTATTTTGAATATGTTCCAACATTTAAATTAATAAAATAAAATAAAAAGCTTGGCTTTATTTGTATGAATAGAAATCAATGCTGTTAGATAATTTTGATGCAGCGGTGCACGTAAATTTAAAGGATTATATTATACTAGTAACAAATTTTGGTTGACAAGGTTTAATGATCCTTTCAATACGTCATTGTAAGTGAATGGTAGGTTAGGCATTGAAGCCTAGAGACCAACCAGCACAGGTCACTACGGGCTAAATAAAGAAAGGCTATGAATCAGATAGGGAAGTTAGGCTGTAATTGGAAACCCAACCACAAAATTTTACCAAGGGCTGGTGGAAGACCTGATGCTATAACTAAAACCATGAAATGGAGAGCAAAGTTCCTATGTAGATATTTAGGAGACAAGGGAACTGCCCCACTTTTCTCTATTTTTTTTTGTTCCCAACACAAGACCCCTCAACATTAAAAACCAATCCTTGATTTTGGGACAGTGGTTATCATTTTGCTTATTATCAGATAAAAGTCAACAATCATTCAAGGAACAAATCCTACTGATAATGACCATCCTAAAGGATATTGTAAATAGTCACATGCTCCAATAAGTTATTGTGATTAAAAGGAAATTAGAAAAGGGGTAGTACTTTTGAAATTCACTGTTCTTTTTTCCTTAACTGAGTTGACCTGTTTTTGTTTTACACCTTAGAAAAAATTTCCAACTGTTTACATTGAAATCAAAATCCTGTTAGGAGATCGGCATTGGCATGTGGATTGGATATGATCGAGCAGGAGGAGGGCAGAGAAGAGCAGAGAGTGCAGGTCACAGTCTCAGAATAATAGTTTGAGGCATGAGAGTGCTATGAAAAAGGTTCCTATTCATGTACAGCCTGCCCCGTCAACCAGCATCCCTGTAGAACCAGTATTGGGGCCTATCCTATCATGAGAATTTTGAAAAATATCGGCAGCCACAGCTCCATTCACACTTTCCCTTCAAAACTGGTTTAAACCATTAATTTTAACTTTCAAGGGAGGTTGATTCCTTACTCCTTTGTTTCAATCTCAAAAATATAAGCAAAATTCATGTGTTTCTGTTATCAAATGATAAGTTTAGAGGAAATTTATGAGAAAATTGATCAAATTTAGATGGTTTTATGATATTTAGAGGTATTACTCAACAAAGACACAAATTGTAGAACCAAATTCCGCAAACTAGATTTTTTTCCCCTTTTCTTCCCAAAGACTCTGATTAAGAAATATCTCTCCAATAATTTGCTCTGATCAATGCTATGTAGACTTGATAGCAAATTTCCCATTGCAAAATAAAAAAAAAATTCAGGTACAGGGGAAAATCAAACAGAGGAAATGAAAAGAAAGAGCATTAAGTTTGAATTAAAAAATGAAAAAAAAAAAAAAAAGAATATGCAATTGGGTTTGGATAGTATGACCATGATGTGAAGTAATAATTTCTGAGTGATTGTACCAAAGAATAAAGTTTGGAATTTACCTGATCACTATCTTAATCTTATATCTTCCTTTGATAGTCAGAGAATTACCCCTTTTTTACCTCTGGTCTCAAGTGAGTCAAAAGTTTTTTTTCCCAAATTTCAACATCTTTTATAAAAGGTAACTTTCCCATGAATAAAAACAAAAATTTTACAAAACATTTACCTCCCTAGTGGACTAGACTAGTTTTTGTTCCCCACTCTTTTTTTTTTACCTCTTTCTCAAAGTGAGGGCTGATTCGTCGTTGAACGATGCAATAACCCCAAAAAACACAGCTTTTTTTTTAAATTGTTATTTTTACCTTCTTTCTCTTTCCTACGCAGATGTCACGTGCGATCTGAGGTACTACATCGTGCTTTTCGCTTCTCTGCCTTCTGCAATTCTGCATCATCCCCACCCACCCGAGGAACTGATCAGACCAAATAATACAGCCAATTTATACAAATTTATCCATCTGAGAGTGTTTTAAGTGTTAAAAACTGTTATTCTTTTTACTGTTTTCCTTTTATTTTAGTAGGCGTTAGCTGTTAAGTTTAAGTATAGATGATTTTTATAAAGCGAAAACTGGAAACTTTCACCACCCCAAACACACAGATCAAAAAAATCTCTCCCTCCTCTCTCTCTCTCTCTCTCTCTCTCTCTCTGGGAAAGACTGAAACTTTAGCTTAAATGGATTGGTACACAAACTTGCAGGCTTTTTCACAGCCGTCTTTACCATTATTACAATTATCATTATTACCATGCACAAAGGTTGTGTCTCGAGAAAGATCAGATCTTTGTTCCTCTCTCCACGCACTCTCTGTGACTTCATCTAATAATAATGACAGCCTTTTTACCGTCATTATATTTGTCTTCCTTTGTCTCTCCTTTTAATCCCCATTTGATCCTCTTCTTCTGCAACTTCTCAACTACAGCAAAGACTTTATTATTATTATTTTTTGGGGTTTTAAAAGGACCCCTCACCTTCACAAGCCACAACCACAACCACAACCACAACCCTTCATTTACTTTCATTTCTTGTACAACTTCTGCTGCTGCTGTGCTGTTTTCAGCTTCTGACGAGTCTTTTTAGTTCTGGGTCGTAATTATCCTTGTCAGATACTTTAATTACTGCCTCTGCCACTGCTACACCCCCCAAAGAAAGAACCTTTCTTTTTTCCACTACGTATTAGTTTTTTTTTTTTTTTTTTGGTAATTTTCGTATTAGCTTTCACACGTAACATTACTTGCCGCTTCTTGTTTGTCTCTTATTTACTCTTTTGCTATACAAAAGAAGTCACCGCCTCTCCTTACTGTGTTTACTTACTATTTCTAGAACTACTACACTGCCTCTTGTTTTGTTTTCCTGGGGAGGGAGGGGCGATATTGTGAAAAATAAAACCAGCATTTTTTTTCTCCGGCAGTGACTGGAGAATCAGAGTTGCACCAGGAAATTAATGGCTGCAAGGTCAGGAGGTTCTTCGTCTGTGCCGTCTCTGCCTCCACCATGTCCGAAATCGCCGCCAGAGTATCCGGATTTGTATGGAAAGCGAAGGGAAACGGCTAAAGTTCAGATACTCGAGAGAGAAATTAGTTTTCTTGAGGTGTGTTTTAATTTGGGATTGCTTTCTGTTTAGTTACCATATATTAGTACGCATTTATTACTTAATGTTATGTTTTACAATGGATTTAGGATAAAAAATGAACTTTAAATGTCGTAAAATTTCAAGTTCCTTGTTTTGAACTGAAAGTTAATGTCACGTTTGTTTACCAAATTTTAGAACTAAGTCTTAGAATCCAATTCTCTCTCTTTTAAATTCAATAAATCTAAACACAAGATAAACAAATTTCTCTGTATTTTGGAACAATTTTATCTCCAAATTCCGCAGCCCCCCCCCCCCCCCACACAAAGAAAAAGAATTAAAAAATTTTGTCGGTCAATGACATTGTATATCTGTGGTTGGTGAGAGTTTCAAATGCAAAGGTGCCGGTTAACATTAAATTCAAAAGAGCACACCTACTGTAGTTGTGTTCATTTAGCTAGAAAAGCAAACTGGGAAAATATTTTTCTCTAACATAGTAAATTTTGGTGGAGACTGTAGTCCCTGACAACTAGGCTTGTCATGGCAAACAATTAAAACTGTTTACAGAATGTTATCTTTAGAAAGCTGAAGCATGCGTTACTACTGACCTAGTTCAGGTCACCGACCCACTTGGTTGGTGGAGTTTGCCTTGGATCTGCACATCATTGTAGAGGATTATTATTATTATTATTATTATTATTATTGGATACAACCATAACATTATTAACATTTGATTCCTCTGTTTAAAAACAGATAGGTTTGGCTCATCAAACACTCAAATCTTCACTTGTTGTTCGTGTATTCTGGTTAATTATGTAACTCTTTCGAATCAGCATAACTAGTATTTTTTGTGTATTTTGGTTAATTGTGTAATTCTTTCGAATCAGCATAACTAGTAATGTGAATTCGTTACCATGGAAGCATAGTACAGAGCGCAGCAGATTGCTGAAATCCATATTCTTTTGTTTACTCATTGTCAATTTGTATGCATCAACTTATGAATTTTCATCAAATTTAAAAATGCGCACATGATAGTTTTGTTTTAAAAAGATGGCTCAAACAATATATATGTGACCAATGTGCATTTGCCACTGTTTATAGTGTGGTCCACTTGCAAAAGAACTCATCCTATTAAATAAACCAGAGTTACTGTTATTTCAGTTAATTTTCTTATGAATATTTTTATTGCATTCATCAATGTTTCTGACAATTTCATATTTGAACAGGAGGAGTTAAAGTCTGTTGAAGGTCTCCAACCTGCATCCAGATGCTGCAAAGAGTATGCACAGTTTTGTAATTACCTTGAATAGCATCTTTTTAATTAAAAGTTCTCGTAGAGATATAGTTCATCCATGCATTTTGAATATTTTCGAGTTAGTTCTGGATAAAGATGTACATTAGTCAAAGGTTATTTATATACATATATATATAAATGTTTTTTTTTTCCTTCTTTGCAGGGTTACAGATTTTGTGATGGCAAAGTCAGATCCTCTAGTACCTACGTAAGAACTAAAATTGTAGTAATTTCTAATTACATTTTAAGAAATGTTTAGAAGAGGATGTAAGCCTTACATTAGATCTTTTGTCCCTTCAAGCAGAAGCCGGAAGAACCGAAAGTCGTGTCGATTTTGGAAGTGGCTTTGGTACCAATTTCTTGTGCTTTTGTTTTACGTTTATTCTTTATTAGTTAGTATATATACTTTACAAATACATTCTATTTTGAAAGGACATAGATACTACAAGATTACTGCCAAACACCTATAATTGTAGCTATTACTTATTATACAGAAACCTAATTTCATATTTATACACGTTGCCTACTGCTAATTCAAACGTGTAAACTGAGTGTCAATCTTGTATCTCTAAATTTGAACCAAAACTTTTGCATGCTAGATGTCTTTCTTCATGACATTAATTTCATTCTTTTGCAGTGGAATGCCCTGCTTTAACTTGTCATGGATCTGCTGTTGCTGTTATTCTGATTGCTCTTGCCATCTGAAATGCCCGCAATGCTCTGACTGTAATATGTGTGACTGCAATTTATGCAACTGCAGCTCATGTAACTGCAGGTCCTGCAATAGCAGCTCATGTGACTGCAGTTCATGCAAATGCAGCTCGTGTGATTGCAGATCATGTAAATGCATTCCCTGTGACTGCAGATCATGTAAATGCATCTCTTGTGACTGCAGATCGTGTAAATGCATCTCATGTGACTGCAGTTCATGTAAATGCTATTCATGTAACTGCAATCCCATTTCATGTTTAAGCTGCTGCAAAATACCAAAATGGTGGTGTTGCTCTTGTCCTAAATCTCAGTGCTGTAGAAAGATCTCATGCAGCCGAAACTGTTGCAGTTTTCAATTTCCTTTATGCACAGACTGCTGTTGTTGCAGATGGAAATGCTCCTGTCCTAAATGTCCAAAGGTACGCCTTGGCCGCAGTTGTACAAAAACCTGTTGTAACCCATGCTGCTTATTATTCTAAATATATTAATGCAATGTCGGATGTAATCCTTGATCCTAAACATGTCAGTCAATTTTTGTCAGGGAATAGCTTTTATGAAGTGAGAAAGTGATGAATATTTTTTCTTTCAATAGTTACATTAGGGAAGGGAGATTCAAACTTGGAACCTCCTGATAGATGATGGAATTGTCTAGCTATCATTGAATCAATGGCTAAGTAATGCCGGTGAATTATTGTTGTTTTCTTTTGTAAAAAGTTTCCCCGAGAATGATTAGACATGATTGGAACAAGTTTAGAAATGATGCAAGGATCACAAAATTACACAGAAAACAGTGAAGTCATTTAATGTTATAATTCGCCTATAAACTATATAATCCACAATTAGTTGGACTTCAGAACCAGGCTTAGGTTAGAGTTGCATAAGAATACGAATGTTCCTGTGAAAACTCTTGCAGCATATTATAAGTTTTTGTTAGACATGTCATTTGCGTTTGCAGTCTTTTGCTGACAGTGAGAGCAGATGATGGACCTTTTCCAGGTCCAAAATTCAAACCAATGGACCTACTACCTGACAATTACGTATGTAAATAATTGATTTTGGGAGGCCAAGTTCTGTATGGTTTCTGCAGTTTTTTCCTGCAAAATTGTAACTAAATTATGTGGTGAGAGGTCTTTTCGAACAGTTTTGTAAACGATGGCCATTCAAGTTGGAGGTGATGGCCAGAATCCCATCGCCGTTCAGTCATTCTTTGCCTTCCTAAATCTTTACGAGTAATTGAGTCAGGATAACGAGGCCCAGAAACTCGGGGCAAAGACCCGAGTCTCACTATGGGCATTAAAGTTAAAAGATGTCTAAACCTGACTGTGACATATGCTTTTGGGAAAAAAAAAAACACTAAAACTGTTCTGTTGGTGAAATTGGCTGAATTTTGCTGTGCTTAAAAAGATTTCTTAGGGTCCATGCCTGTCCCCTCTTCTTTTCCTTGTGTTGCGTGCTACTTTGTCGAATCTGCTCGTAAGTAGACCATGAATGTATTGTCAATGGTTGCTATTGAATCATTTACAGTGATGGGGCCTCCCTGTGAGGGAACCTTTTAGCAAAGGAGTCACTTTTATACCATCAAGTAATCAAATAATAAATTTCTGGTACAGATTCTGGTACAGACGGTTTAGCTAATGAAAAAAGGCTAGCTGGATATCCAATCCCCTGATATCCCTCAATAATCAAGGTAACCTTGTTTCATGAATAAATTAAGAAGTGAAAAGCTCAATCTTATACTTAGTATTATGTCATTCTAATAAACCAACCAAACCGAAATTTGCAAACTTACACACTCTACCCAATTCCAACTTTTCTTCAGGACTGGACGGTCCATGTGTTATGGTTTTCCTCCATGGATGATGGCCTTTACACTGGTTTACTTGGATGCAAACTTGTGCCGTGTGAGGTTCATTAACTGGAAAACCGGCCCCAGGGTTATGTTGTCAAAGTCAAATCCTCACAACAATGTCCATGAGAAGGAAACTGGGCTCTTAACTTCGTTTTGGGCATTGCCCCACACTATTGAACCAAATTCAGATCTAGACATTGGACTTGTCCCTCTTTTAGCTACAAAAGTGACCGTGTATCTCTTCTTCTCCCCTACGCTCCTAAAGGTGAGTGTCCTGGGCCTAACTGAGATCCCTACTGTTGATGGGCCATTCAGTGTCACGTTGTAAATGGACCTTGCAGGGCCTACATTCGTCAATTCGCGAGTGTATCGGACAACCCTTTTGTCCCCAAAAAAGACTGAAAATGATGGGTAATTGAGTTCACCTGGGTCATTGAATTTCCTGGAACATGTAATATTAGGGCGCTTGACTATCATATTGACATGATCAATGGTGTAGCCCAGTGAGCACAAAAATGCTATGTATTCTTCTGTAGAGATGTCATACACTAGGCCTGGAGAGAGAGCTTTTTGGGGGTCAACATGACCAGCCCCATGAGCCCACGGGTTAGACAATGAACCATCTGCATCATCCCTGAGAGAGGAATTGGTGTTGTCCTGGGTGTAGGCAGTAGTGATGAGAGCGGATTTGATAGCACTGGGGCTCCATTCGGGATGAGCTGCCTTGAGCAATGCTGCTAGCCCACTGATGTGAGGGCAGGACATGGATGTACCTACATTTTTTAAAACACAAAAAGAAACGACCAAGATTTAGCCTAAAGCCTACTGTGAACAACTGAACATGGCTAGGATGTCCAAACATGAATGCATGTGGATCACCGTCCAAGTCGAGAAAGAAAAAAGTATGCTGCTTCCAAGGTATACCATTCACATGCGTAACAGCTCACCAATCAAAATTGGTTTCATCTTTATTACACAACGCGTTACAACCTACTTTAGTACGTTTAAGAGATAAAAAAAATGCTATCCTAATCTAATCCTTCACAATAAAGTTTAGGCAAAATATGATATTTCTTGCTAACATGATAGCACCACTAAATAATAATGCAGTTCCTTGTATGACAAAAACTAATCTATTCTGCAACCTAACATTTTTTTTTAACAGATCAATGCTATTGATATAAGAATGATTGAACTGTGTGTGCATTATAAGATATTATTTGTTTTGGGATCAAAAGCTTACTTTGATTTATACTTTGAAAAGTAAGCTTTACTTATAAAATTGTATTCCAATCCATCCTTGACTATTAAATATAAAATAGTTTCCTCCTCAACATCGCAAACTAATCATCCCTTTATAGATGTCAAAAGACAAACCTTTAATGTTAATTTTTACCTTATCAATACAGCAATAAACTTCGAAAGTCAAAACCTAAAGGCCAAACGGAGAACCTTAATTGCAATTTTCTGTTAACTTGCACAACATCTTTTCCTGCTTCCAACGATGTTTTGTTTTGAACAACTATTATGTTACACTGACGCAAAACTCAGAAAAACAAAAAGGACAGAGACAAAGAGATGTTAAGCTTAATGAAATGTCATAAGGTCATAAATTAACTATAAAACAGGTAAGAATATAGCCGTTATAATGTACCTGACATAATATTGAACTTAGTCTTCCTAGTGTCCTTCGGCAACCCAGTGGGCCCAATAGCCTCTGACCATGCAGCCAATATGTTGACTCCAGGCCCAATTACGTCCGGCTTCAAGATCTGCGGTGTCACTGTATTGGGTCCCCGCGAACTAAACGCAGCGACAACTGGCGAAGGCCGCACATTCAACACGGTCCCACCGAAAACAAGCACGGCCGTCGGGTTAGGATCGGACCGTACGTATTCCCTGATCAAGTCACCAACTTTTCTCCCCACCGCCACGCCAGGTAACAAGTGACTGTCAGCCACCAGTTCCTCACCGCTAACCGGCGTGTTCGCTAATATCATCCCCACCCCGCCGGCGTCGAGCACGACAGCTCCTTTTTCGACACGCGCGTTTGTTCCTCTATCGCAAATCACTACCTTCCCACGTACCAAAGCCGGGTCGAGTGAACCGGGCAAACATAAATTGCTGGAAATGTTACCATTGTCGTAAACCAAACCAACCGGTTTCTTTCCCATTCCTTGACCACTGTAAAGCGAGACGCCGTTATAATGGATTTTGTTTCCCAAAACGGCGTATGCAGGGAAATCTCGATCTAAAGTCCCGGCGCCAACAGTCATAATCCAAGGTGGCACGTTGGCAAGAGTGGCCTTAGTGGGCCCGCTATTGCCAGCAGAGCAAGAGACGAAAATGCCCTTCTCCATCGCCGTGAAGGCTCCAATAGCGATGGTGTCGCGGTAATACGGTGCGGATCCGCCACCGAGGGATAATGAAAGGACGTCGACACCGTCTTGGATGGCACGATCCATACCGGCGAGAATGTCGGATCCGAAGCATCCAGTTTCCCAGCAAACCTTGTACGTAGCGACGCGGGCGTGAGTTGCCATCCCACGGGCAGTTCCGCTGGCGTATCCGAGGAGGTTAGCGTTGGCCACGTGAGAACCAGCTGCGGTGCTGGCAGTGTGGGTGCCATGACCATCTTTGTCACGTGGGGATTCGATCTCTCTGGGTTTCTTGTAAATTCCACCGCCGCCAGTGGACATATGGTAACCTTTGGAAAAGCTTCTTGCTCCAATGAGTTTCTTGTTGCAAAGTTTTGGACTGAAATCAGGAGCTGATTCACACTCGCCACGCCATTTGGAAGGAATTTCAGGCATGTCAGAATCGTCGAAGCTCTTAGATTCTGGCCAAACTCCTGTGTCTAGAACTCCAATGATCACATCTCGAGAAGCTTGTTCGAGCTGCTGGGCGTTATGGCCAGCCCAGAGCCCGAAGTCAGCATCAAGGCCCAGGAATTGAGGGGTACGGGTAGTGTGGAGAGTGTAAACGGTGTCTTCATAAACACCCAGAACTGAATCTGATTTAATAAGAGACTCCGCTTGTTCCGGATCAAGACTGGCAGCGAAGCCATTGAATGTAGTAGTGTAGGAATATAGGAGGGAGTCAGCTGGGGTGGCGGAGAGTGATTCCAAGCTTGAACTGTACCAATCATGGTGAGTTTCAAAAGAAAGAGGCTTGTCTTGATGTTTCATGTGAACAATGTAGGTTTTTTTGGCAGTGACTGTTAGACAAAGTACGAGGAAGAAGAAGCTAAGGAAGAACGTAGAAGCCATGGAGGCCATGGCTTTGGTTTACCCAGAACAAAGAGCTGTTAAAATTGGATTACTAACAGTAGTACTGAAAACTGGAAGAGTGGATGAAGGAAGGGAAGGGATAGTTGCTATAACAAGTTGCGAATGTCAGAAAAGGATAGAAGGAAACATGAGACTGGTGTCGGATTTATAACCCAGTTGGATTTCTAATTGGGCTCATTGTCTTTCTTTATTACCTCACTGTCATCTCGTCGGTGTTCTTATAATGCTTATTAATTTAAAATGGCAATGAAGTGTTAACTAAAATAGTTACATATACGAAGGACCAGGTACAGCTGTAGACACGTTATAGGCAATGGTCCCTTTACTGATCAAAGGCATGGGGACAATGTAGCAGTAGGTGTGAAAGGGTTGTGGGATCATCGTGGGGTTGCAACATGAGTGCGGTGTATTGGGTAGCCACAAGGTAGTTGAGTTTGAAACCAGCATGAAAAAAGGAGGATGAAAGTTTTGGTTGGGGGAATTGATCATTTCTATCCAATTAGTAGTTTTCTGGGGAATACTTCCTAGTTCATAATAAATTTTTATTAAATACTATGTGTAACTCTAAACTAAACCCAGATTGGAATCTGAAATATGAAGTTGAGGTTTACTTATAAGATCCAATTTAATAAGTGTTTAAAAACACTCATTTTCTTAGAGGATGAAAATGGGGCAAAATACGAAGACAGATGGAAGGAGGCGCAGTCAAAGTTGGTTACTGGTCAGTGCAAATCAAGGGTCTTGATTTTGTCTCCAAACTCGTGTGGAGAAAAATAGCTGTACGTAGTCCAATAGTCCATGTTGTAGCCGTCCATCCAATGCTATCGCCATTTTTCAGTGTGAAATGAAACTAGCAAAGTAGGCAGAATTACTAGATTTCCTTTTGCAGAGGGAGGTTCTGATCATTTGTTCTTTTACTTCCCTATCTATTATTGGCTTCACTTTTTATCCATCTTCCTTTCTTTGAAGAACCACCCCTCTGTCACGTCCCCTCCCCTGACCCCATCTTTTTAACAACATCAACAGCTAACAGGCTGATAATTAACAAAAATGTTGGCACATAATCTTCATTTTCTCTAATCAAAAATGGTCTATGACCATAACCAGGGCAAGCAACCATCAATTTTTGTTTTCGAATTATAAAACTAGCTAATACTAATATAGCTAGTCTTTTAATTGTGTTGTGGCAATTAGAGGGCCACAGGACAATGGCTGTAGATGACCCACTCTAACATAGAGCCGCAGATGATGGCGTCAATCGAGGCAACAAAAACTCCCATGAAATCTGAAAAAATCTGCCCAAATACCGCACGCCCACACTGCTTTCTTCCTTTTTTTTTCTTCAATAATGTCTCACGCGTTTTCTTCTAGCCATCTCTGATCTTGAAAAAAAAAACCAATCATCTGTTCTCATACAGTCAAAGTGACTGATTACAAGGGAAGGTTCTATAACTTCCTTGACTTGCCAGCTTGTAAAAAAGATGTTCTCATTTTATGGCTTTCTCTAGGCTTTTTCAAGTGAGTGATGAAAGAGGAAGTATCTGCAATTGCCTCTTCAATTGGGTCAGGGAAGAATTGGTAAAACAAGACAATAGCCTTCCTTGGGCTGTAACTACAATATGCCCCATATAGCAATTTTGACCCTTTAGGGCCAAAAACTTTGGACTGAAGAAGGAAAAAAAAAGTAAAAGATATTGAGTGCGAGAAATCATACAAACTTAACATGTTGTCAACGGAAATTTATGCTGAATGATGATTTCTATACATTATGAAATATAAAATTGAGTGTTTCCATAACAAATTAAAACGCATGCAGACAACATATATAATCACAAGTAAAATGAGTTGATTATTGATGATGTTTAGAAAGAGTATAAGTCGGGCATTTTATGATTATAAGTGCGTAAAGAACTTTTTTTTTATATATAAGAGGTGATTCGTTAACAAAACAGGGTATTGTCGTTATTTGGAATTGAACTGAGGTGATAAGTCAATTTGAAATAAAAATTTATATCAATTTGATTAAATTGATTTTTTATTTGAATGTATTTCAATATATTGTACCATTATTTTTTAATTAAATTTTCATCTATCATGTAAGACTGAATTAATTTTATTAACTTTAAATGCGATTCTCAAAATTCGAACTAATTAGATTTGATAATTTTAATCTTCATACATAAATAATTTTTTCATTTTAAATATGAGCGTTCAATTTTTTTTGTTATCTCTTTAAAAAAATATTTTTAAATTTATTTTTAAATATTGATTTAAGTATTGAAATAAAAAATTCAAAGACACTTCTAACCTTTACTTCTAACCGATATCCAATTTTGCTATGTCAAATTTTACCTTCACTGAATAGCTCGACACCAACGGTAGATGAATTAGAAGTCAAGAAAAGTTGCATTCATCAATAAATGTAGTTTACTCCCCTCCACAGTTTTCGATAGACTTCAATATGATCATGGAACCGCTAACTTACAAGTAAAAAATTTTATTTGTATTAAAAACTTAATTCAATTAATTTATAAATTTATTTTTAAAAAATAATATTTAATAAATCTAAAATTTAAATTTAAATATTTTTAATTTTTTTCTACCATCAAGCAGTAACTTCTTTTGTTTTAAAAAAAAAATCATTTTGAATTATTCTCGGTTCAAAAGAATGTTTGAGATCCCAAATCAAATTAAGAAGTTAGTGGGTGCGTCGTCTTTCATTTCCTTTAGAGTACTCATTCTTAAGTAAGAATAAAAAAAGAAAAAGAACAATGAACGGTCATGGAAGCTGACCTGTTTAGCACAAGAAAAACTAATATGGTAACAAAATAACCAAGACCAGTTACCCACTTACCCCAGAAAGTGCTGAGAAACAGGACTAAAAAAATGGTCATGCGTCAAATTGGTTGTAAAAGAAGGATGATGGTCAATAATTTAACCTTGAACACACATACTCGATTTCCTTGAATTCAACAGCGTGACAAAGTGAATTACAAGAGTTTATAAATTATAAGCAGGAGACGCAAGTTTCTACAATTGGGAGAACAACGGCTAGTACCCTTGAAGTAGGTTTAAAGTTTGGTGGAAAGAGGTGGTCCCAATCAACCTGCATCCAATGCAGGGTGGCCCGGAAAGAGGGATTATTGATTAATCTTATGGGGTCTTTGGATAATTATTGAGACGAATAAAGGAAGAAAAGCTTAACGGGAATTGGAAAATTTCAGAAAGTGAGCATGATTTGAGGAGAGGGCCATTGCAGTGGAAAAGCTCCTTCCTAGTGGCAGCAACCATCTGCTCTATTTCTTAATGCCCATGTGCACAAATCGTGGCATTTTCTAATTGAGTGATGCTGACTTATGGTTAGGAAAAAGAGATGGGGGAGCCCCACCCAATTTTCCGCGTGGGCAGTAGTAGGAAAATATATCTCCGAAGTTTATTATCGGCTGTACCTACTTTAGTTTGAGTGATAGGATAAAGCCATTGCTGATGATATGAGCAATGGTCATTGACTGAAGCTGACGCTGCAAATCCAGGTATATACTTTATTTCATTAATGACAGCGTGCTTGTTTTTTTCTATTAAAATTAAATGTTCTTACTGTCCGTCAATTCCTAATTAACTGCTAACAATAGCAGTCCCTTTACTTTCTTTTCAATTAAAGACTCAAAGAGAGTTACAGACATAGTGACAGTTCTATTTCAATTATGAGTGCGTGAAATGAACCTAACATGTATTCAAATCCCTGAAAAGACATATCAGATAATGGAAATTATTTCACGATTTGGTGTTGGACGAATGAGAGGAAAGGAGGAAATAAGATTACAAGATCAATTGATTAGTATATAGTGCTCTGCGCACAAGCTTTTCATACTCACCATCCATTATCAAAGAACGGTACTGAAAGATTAAAGAATGATGGATTACATCCATTTTTTTAATGCAAATTGACCAAAAAAAAGTATTAGCTCTAGTATTTGATTGATATTTAAGTGGGAAATGAGCATTTTGAAAGTATAACTAGTATTATCAGAAAAACATAATCATATCCCTCAATGAGTGGGCGTTCTCAAAGGGAGTGAATTAAAGGGAGCGGGTGGGGAATGGGGAGGGACTTGGGAGGATATGTATGAATCAGAAAGTTCCTTCCTGTTTCCCTTTGTTTTGTAGCGAGTTGCACATGCAGGAGTGATGTTTTTGCATCTCTCGTCCAACAAAAAAGCTTTGATGGCTGAAAGCTGTCTTCATTAAAATTCACTTTTGCACCTAATCTACGCAACAGTTGCTTCTTTTTTCTAATCGTGTTCTTTATTTATTATGTGAAGAAGATAGTGTTTGTGATGACAGATAACTACTTAACATGTTGAGTGTTCAAGAGAGGAGGGAATGGGATTAAAAATTAGCTATTAACACGTCATTTTTCTTTTATTATTGATGAAATTCGATCTGGAATCAGTTGCTTTACCAGATCAACGACACAAGAAGAAATCTACATGCCATACCCGAACAGAGAAAGCAATGAAACAAAAAGAAAATTCACCAAGGGCAATAAATTTTAGAATGCCGCTTCAACCCCAGCAAATTTTTGTGGTGTATGCGTATAATACTGCGGGAAAGGTTTTCACTCGTGCAGATGGTGGTAAACCATTTAATCTATGTTGCAACCAAACAGACTAACTAAATAGATTGGTTCCATTTCACACATAAACTGATTACCAAGGAATAATATTCACATGAAAAGGCATTCATCAGCACCGCCCCCGTCCAGAGAGAGGGAAAGAGAGACGTTAACACAAGATGGATAATTCTCATTAATTTAAAATATTGCACTCAATGTATATTAAATTCCAATCCTTAATTCATATAGCCAAATTTTTTTTTTTTTTCTAAAAATTAAATAAACTCCAGTTGAATCAAAAGAAAGCTGAAGAAATAGGTAATCTTCTTCCACCACACGAGAGGGTAAGCAGGTTCAACTGGTAACACCCCAAAAGATCTAGTGGCCATACTTTTGGAACTCCCACTCACTATTATCTGCAAAAGCAAAACAAAAAAGACATTAATGATATGCAGTTCTCGGAAAATGAGTCGTACAAAATATCCAAGTGAGATAAGGCACAGGCCACACCGTAGGGAGACAAAAAACAAAAACATACCCAATGGACAAACTTGACGAGTTTTGAGCCATCGGCTGATGCAATGGAAGTGAAATGCATGGTTGCAGACCCCTACATTACACAAAAAACAATTAGATATTGAATCAAGCTTGCTGAAGCTAGAGTGTAGGTCAAGAATTTTTTTCTTTTAAAGAAAAACAGTTATAGAGAAGTTTACTCGTTCGTCTTCCAATAAACACATTTATATGCAAGATGAGTAACAACTGTTACAGGTAAGGCCATAAAAATCCCAAGACCAAAACAACATCAATCAAATCACAAATATATTAATGCTGTTAAAGTAAGCCGTCCTGTTCTTTTATGTTATCTCCACATGCTTCAATAGTTTCTCTGAACCATATATGAATCCTAAGAAATAAAATGAACTGCAATTTCACAAATAGTTTCTGTAGCACTTCACTCTTAGTATAGTCATGGAAATCTATTCCCATTTGATGCTAATAAAATGTAGGGATCAACCATTTTTTTAACAACATATAACCACCAAATAAAGAGAAACCAATATAATTTATACTTGCCCCAGCCCAAAAGTGAGAAACTATCAAAATAATCAGACAGATGTTGGATACAAAAATAATCTGACATTGTGTTAAAAGGGCAAAAACATCAGCAAACTACCTCACAGGGAAACCTGCTTAAGTAGATCTGCTTACAGCACAACCTACAAAATAATGTATCTGGATGCCACTAGGCGTAAATTGTCGAAGGCAAAGAATTAGAAATCAAGATTTGATAGCCCATGTCAACTTAATTGATTCATCACCATTACAATCTTAAAAACTATAGTTTTTTGTTATGTTATTCTTAATAAAATATAAAACAGATCACCATAACTTCTTCCAAATTTACTAGTAATTTGTTCTCTTCTACACCCAAACAAAAAGACTCAATCCTCTACTTCATGGAATCAGCAACCACAAGTTCAAAATTGACTTATAAAAATTGTGTTGGGTATTAAAGAATACTAAAACCAAACAACCAAGCACTACTCAACCAAAGTAAACAATGCATATACAATTCAATACAAACAACTGCTACGTGTTTCAAAGAGTACTTCTTTAGTAACCCTAACAGAACTTTTAAGAATTCCCGGGTCAAACACCGAGATATAACTGTAGAGCATATATATATAGAGCAAACTCAACTGTGTAATCCCCAACAAACAATGAAAGGTGAAACATGCCTAAGACATTACCATACAGTATAAATCAGTAAGCCTATGGTTTTGGGGAGTGGAAAAAGAAAAATCATACCCCAAGCAACAGTGCATTCCTCACTGGTGGCGCTGGCTTGGTTGGCTTGGCATTCGATGCCTGAAGGAACCATATTAAAGTAATCAATCTAAATTAATAAACCAACAGAAAAAAAAAAATCGAAAGTCGAACGAAGGAAAAAAGTTGAAAATAAAATCGAGAAGGACTCACAGAGATCCATAATGTGATTCCTGCAAATTGCACAGTTATCCACGACAATATCTGCATCCAGCGTAAAAAAAAATGTATTTAAAAATTGAAACTACATGTGTATAGAGAGAGGAAGTGGTTAGGGTTAGGGTTAGGGTTAGGCACCCCAGGCCCAGAGGGCAACGGCACTCCATTTTTTTATCTCGAAGCGCTTGGGCTTCTTAGAGGAGGAGGAAGGGGCGATGCTGCTGGAAGCCTCGCCGACGGGGACCATTGGAACATCGGAGTCTAAAGTAGCCATGGCTGAGATCGAAACGTGAGGCGAGCAGAAGATTTTTTTTGCTTTTGATTTGGGGCAAAGCCGAAGGTAGACGCAGGCGAAGCGAAGGGCGCGTGTAAAATGGAACGTGTTCCTTTTAAAAAATGGAAATTTATAAAGTAGGTGTTGGGTTTGGGTTAACGTATAGCCCAAGCCCACGGTGGTATGACTGAGTCCTTTCGGAAACTGAAAGGTTTTCTATGCAACATGTAAAAAATTGATCTTTCCAACGCAATTTTCATAAAAAAATTAGATTTTTGAATTGACCGAGTTTTTATGGTTTTCCTTTTAGGGGAAAACTATTATTATTTTATAAAAATAATTTTTTTCTAAAAATTAGGCTTCATTTTGAAAAAAAAAAAGAAGATTAAAAACAAAAGTAAGTAGAAAATATATTTAAACATTAAATTTAGTTTCATAAATAAAAAAAATATTTATTAATATAATTCTTAATCAAATATGATTTTGATACAATTATTATCAAGCTTTTGCTTTATAAAAAAAAAAAAATTGAGAACATCAAATGCAATTTCTCCAAGGAAACATTCTAGTGATCAGTACAATTTTAAACTCATTAAGTTAAAATTTATGAAATGAAAAATCATTGCTTTTTTAATTATAAAATTAAAGTCTAATGAATTTGAACACAATCATGTCCATTTTCGTTCGTTCAAAAATTTTCATATTTATAAATCATACTTTTACATAGATTTAATATTATTATAAATTGCTTAAAGAACTTAATTATCACATAAATAAAATATGAGCTTATATCTTATTAATTCCTAAGCCCGAACTAATTTAAAAAAAAAAATTGCCAAACTTTCTTGCATTGAACATAGATATTGAAACCAAAGTTCTCCGTACATATAATGGCACGAGATTTAATTATTCATGGACTCTAATTTTACCTTCATTTGATAAAATTTAATCGATTATACAAAAAAAAAAAATTACCATAACCATAACCATAACAATTCAATATAATTATTGATGGACTCTGAATTTACGTTTGATGAAATTTAACCAGAGCTATTTAAAGAATTATTATCCAAAATATTCTATCATAATAACTGCAATTCAATATAATTAAAACTATTTTCTGTCTATAAAACTAAAAAATAATCTTATAATTTAATTTAAATTTATAATAAATAAATTTTAATTTTAAAAGATAATTTAAAATTTTAATCAAAAAATATTTATTTTTCATAGATTTAACCGTTTTGGTCATTTTAACAAGGGAAATATTGCAAAGGAAGTTGCGTGAAAGGTGATCACTGACCATTTCTATTAAGTTTACAATAATAATTTGACGCAAGTCACCGGTTACAGCTAGCAGATCTCTCTCTACGGTAAGCTGGCTGCCGTTGGATGCAGTCTACCCCTTGATTTATATGCATTACCTTTTCTATTCTACATGAAACAAATTAACCTCCATTTATGAATCAATCATCATTAAAATTTACCAATCCATGCAAAAAAGAAGAGAAAAGAAAAAGAACTGTATCGTATTCTCTCATCCCCATGAACAAAGTGCCACAAGTTTTATATTGATATATAAATGAAAACACCAAAACAAAGAAATGGTAATGCATTAACATTTTGTAACAATGTCAAGGGAGTTTTGTTAATGGAAGAATGAAGATAGATATATATAGCTAGAAAAGTTTTTGTTTGTTCCATTATATCATTTGTATGATCAACTCAAACATTTGTAAACAATACGTAAACTTGAAGCTGATACAACAACCGAATGGAGCTTTGGTGGACAGAGTTCCATCCGCCCATGCTAGTTAAGCTTCTCCTACAACCGTCTTCCATGGTTTCCATATCTGAAGATCGCCATTCACCCTTGATTTTGTTAAGCATCGGATGGATGGAACTCGATCCACGTAATAATTAATCAGGACTACAAGAAATTTCAAAAGAAGTACATCAAAAGATAAAAAATGAAGAACACGGTCAGAGCCAACAAAATGACACCCAAAAGAAAGAAACAAAGGGCAACTTCCTGATTAGGGTTGTTGTTATTGTTTTTCTTGCCATCTTTGTCGTCCCTTCTTCTGCGACGACGAAGTGGTCGCATTGGTTTGTCGATCTCTTTGTCTCTCGGCATGTTTTTTCGTTTTTCCTTCCAAAGACGAATTACACAAAGCTATCTATGTATATTAAGAGTTTGAGGAATGAGTCTTGTAAACCTGGGCAAAGTGAAGAGAAAGAATGCTGGGGATTGTTATGAATGAAGGTGGGGCATTAGCTTTTATGGCACTTTTCATCCATTTCTCAGTATGTATTTCCATTCATGCGTTTTCAACACTTTATTCATTTTTCCCTTTGATTGGAGGTAGTTTCATAGCAAGTACCAAGCAATTTCACAAACCTATAAACCTTAAGTCCTTAGTTTTATGCTATTGTTCGTACGAGAAAAATGATATTCATGATTGGTTGAAGCCATTTAGTTAAGGGGAAAGCGGCTTCCTTTAAAGCACTTTTGCTCAACTTGTTAGTTGACTCAATCTTTTAAAGAATTTGTGAACTGTGAAAATATACATTTTTTTCCTTATTCTTGGATTTGGTCTGGTCATATATGCTTACCCGAGTCTTTTGGCTTAGATTTTGGTTAAGTTTTTAAGAGTAAAATAGAGGTTTGAACCGTATATAGTTATAATTATATTTAAATATGTTGGAGCAATACGAAACAGGACATATTTCAAGAGTCAAATATTAGTTGTCCATCACAAATCACATTAATATGGCAACTTGCTGAACATAGCAGCTTAATAGGGCTTCAAATTAATGATTTAATCTAAAATTTAATTCAATTGACTTTTATAATCATTTAAAAAAATTTAATAAATTTAAAATTCAAATTTTAACATTTTATAATCACTTCTTTTATTTATAAATTGTGACATTTTTTATTAAAAAAAATGATGATCGAAATCCAGCTTATTGTTTAAGTCATTGAGAAAATAATGATATTTTGGTGTAAGATTAGCTATAAGTTTAATCTCTCTCTCAAATTGATGAAAAGTTCAACGGAAGAGGTCTTGTTGATCATAATAGCAAATGCGACCACCCAATTGAATTTGAAAGTCAGGAAATCTAAACATGTTTCGTCACGTCATTCCACGTTTTATATATATAAACTCTCGAAAGTTTTACCAATTTGATTACTTTGGTCATAAAATATTTATAATATTTTTATTTTGGGTTATACGTAGAAACTCTTTAAAATGTTTTAGGCACTTTCGTATAAAATACTAGTACAGTTTGAACAAATTTATTACAACCTTTTAGTTAGTAATAAAACTAATAGAATGGGCCGAGCTCGTATCCCTTGTTCGTGGGCTCGACAAATGGGAATAAAACGGTAGCCCATTACCATGATGGTTCTAAAAATGCCCACCAAATACCACTATCAGCCTGGCCTGATAAACAATATCACCAAAGTTTTGCGAATTACATATTTTCCAAGGCAGCATCCAAGAATGCAATCATTGTAACCTGAATCAGACTTTAGGACATCAGAGCAATAAGTTCAAAGACTATACTTTCTAATTCACAGTTAAATGTTAATTTATCGTAAAATTAAGCAAGCAAGAGTTGGAGAATTGAGGTGCAGCATCGCCACCAGAGTGATTTAATGAGGATAAGAGTTGGAAATTGCAATTTAATTGTAGATCCTTCTCCAATCGTATAGGGTTATCTTTTTCCTTTATTTAATTGGATTTTTGTGTCCAAGTCCAACATTTTATTCACATTTCGACTTCACCTGAACCAAAAGATAAAAACAGACACGGGATTTCAAAGAAACGTGTCCAACATATTTGGTTAGAGAGATTCATGTAAAATAATCAATGTGTGCATCATGCTTGTTTAGCTTTACACAAACAAGATGTTAAACAAATCAAACCACTGGTCTAATTATCCAATTAAATAATAAAGAAAATTTCCCTTCACCCAATCAACAGAAATTTAGCCTCACTAGTAAGGGTCCCATGGGATAGCATTGGTAGGATATCTGAAATTCTACAGGTTTTTTTTATTTACCTTATATTTTTTAATGTATTGAAATCAATAATTGATAAAAAAATTTTAATAATTTGATCTCTTCCCTTCACTTCCACATGCAAGACACATGTGCCTGGATGAATAACTTCGGAGCTTGTGAATGTCATTCATTTTCTTAGTTGAAAATTTTCTATTAGATTTGACGAGTGATTGATATAATTTATAATTAAAATAAAAATTAATTTGAATGTGAATAAGAGTTTAATTTTATTTAATTGAGATTTACAAAATTGATATCGTCATCCTGTTTTCTCAAATTGAAGTTATGAAACTAATAAATTAATTTCATAGATAAAGGTGATAATAAAAATCTCTTTTAATATATTAATAAAAATTGACATATTTTATTATGGATTTAAATACTAAATTAAAGCAGAATCATATTAAATGATAATTATACAACTAATTTGAATATATTATAATAAATATCATAATAATTATTCATGAATTAATATTAATTAATATAATTGATATATAATAATTTTATTAACCCAATAATATAAAATAAATACAACAGGATTAATCAATTCCGGGCTGCTAATATAACTTATCTTCTCTCTGGACATGGTCCCGAGTCATTTATCAGATTGGGAAGTGGAATTCTTTGGGCTAAGCAGAAAATCTTTCTATAGATTTGGGTTAGTCTGTTTGGATAAATAGAAACAAAACACCGTCAGACTACTTTACGGAAAGCAAGCCACAGAAAGGCCGACACACTGTTCTGAGTCACACTCTTGATGAGACAGATGCTGCTTCAATAATTTTCAACAATTATTGCCGGTTTAATAACAAGAAAATGCTATATATTGTCCAATTCACTATCATACACTCATATAATATATACAATTTTAAAATTCTATTATAATCTACAAAAATTTTAATAATTTTATATAAGTCTCTAAAATAAAAATGTAAAATAAATATATAAAATAAATGCATATAACACCGTAATATATGAAAAATGTTAAGACAGTAATTAAGGTAATATGCATTTATGAAAACAAATTTATGCATTGCCTCTCATTGAGTTTTATGAAAATAAATATTAAATGTGAACAACATTCATTGTTAAAATAGTATTTTTTTTCGGTGCTTATAAATATCTATCCTATATAAAAATAAATTGGGATTATTGAGACATATTAATTTATTTTTTTTTGTTATTTCTATTTGTTTCCTGCTTTTCATCTACTTCATAAAAAATAAAAATAAAAAATAAAATCTTAATTACGTAAAAAAAATCTTAAATGACCTCCAAACCATAGTAAAATATTTAATATTATATTTAAATTTTAAAAATTTTTAATATGATATTTAAGTTATAAATTTATTAATTAATATATATTTATATGTAATATGATTAACTTTAAATGACAACATGTGATGGACAAACAAATCATCCAAAGATTACATTAATTAAAATATATATAATTCAAGTATCACACTAAAATTGTTTAGTTTATGAATTGGGATAGGTAAAGAAAAGAAAAATGAAAGAAAATGAGAAAACCTTTCTTTAACTTTTTTTTATTGGATTTCACATAAATTAAAATAAAAGAAATGAAGGGATGATTAGTTATCTTGCTTTCGATCACATTCTCTCAATTTTCTTTTTTATTATCCCAATTTGAGAAAAATGAAGAGAAAGAAATTTAGTAAAAATTTTAAAATTTGAAATAACTATTATACACTTATCATTTTTTATATTCTAAATAAACTTTTTATTAATTTACAAATCTAATTATTATCAAATCTTTTAACAATTCTTTATGAACTCGTAATCTAAAATATATATATATATATATTAAAAAAAAAGACATTGCCTTGTTATAAAATAAACCTCTAACAAAAACGGAATCAATTTAATTCCATATTATCATTTTATTACATAAATCAATGTATGATAATCGTAAAAAAAACTAATGTACCAATGAAAAAAGAATTAAATTGGTATCCCATATTATATGATTAATATTGTATGCTTCATAATTTGTCTAGTCAAGTAGTATATTCGAAAAATTACTTTAAACACATGTATCATGCTATGTGAGTAAAGACTTTGAGTCTTTGATTTATACATTTTATAACAATTTTTTAGAATATTTAAATTTTTACAATTAAAAATATTGTATATTATTTTATATTTCATGATTAATATTGTTTGCTTTATAATTTGTCTAGTCAAGTAGTATATCCGACAAATTACTTTAAAAACATGTGTCATACACTTTGGGTAAAGACTTGGAGTCTTTGATTTATACATTTTATAACAAATTTTTAAAATATTTAATTTTTTACAATTAAAAATATTGTATATTATTTTATAATTTGTTTTGATATGTCACCAAAAAAATTTGATTGATGTTATATGATATTTTATAAAAGAAAGGTTATAATTAAAAAAGAATGTTATAATTAACCATTCTTTTTCCTTTTCATTATTTAATCAAATATTGGTTATTATGATTCTTTTTTTTTTTTTACTTTATTAATTTTAGCTATTCAAATAAAAATACATGTGTTTTTTCCTTTAATTTAAAAAACCTTCTTTGCCTTTCTTTTTTTTTGATTAATATTTATCCAAGCATAATATTAAAATTCATATATTATATTCTAAATTTTTTTATAATTTAAAAGTCATTTATAACATTAAATTTTTTTCTAAAAGAAATCACCGTTTTTTAAAAATAATTAAATATATAAATTTATTAAATATTATTTTTTATACATAAATATATAAATTAATTAAATTCAATTTTAAATTCAATCTGTATAATAGTTAACTAATTCTATACCTATAGACATGAGTTAACTTACGAGTATAATGAGGTTTCACGTGTAACAAAAGATAAACTATATCCAATATTTAATTACTCTAATTGCCTTTTTTTTATTATTATTATCTTTGTCCAGTACAGACACGTTTATTTATTTATTTTGAAAAACCACGTTTATTGAGTTAAACCCGCGTAAATATCGGGAACTCAACGATAATAAATACCCTTGGAAGGAGCAAATATTATCCAATCCCACAAACACGACCTCTAAGTAATGGAAGTTCCTTCTTGGCTTGTTCTATCCATAGCATGGCTAGCTTCTCTAGCCTTTCTCTCAAAAATTTTCACTGGCCGTCGCAACAAAATAAAGTTGCCACCAGGACCCAAACCCTGGCCTATCATTGGCAACCTGAACCTCATTGGTTCCCTCCCGCACCAATCTCTTCACAAACTATCCCAACAATATGGACCATTAATGCAGCTCAAGTTTGGTTCTTACCCTGTTGTGGTCGCATCATCTGCAGATATGGCTAGGCAATTCCTGAAGAAACATGACCAAATCTTTGCTTCTAGACCCCAAACTGCCGCCGGCAAGTACACTACTTATAACTACAGCAATGTCACATGGGCTCCTTATGGACCATACTGGCGCCAAGGCCGTAAAATTTTCCTGAATGAGCTATTCAGCTCGAAAAGACTTGAGTCCTTCGAGTACATCCGTGTCGAGGAAAGGCGTGCTTTTGTCTCCCGCCTGTATGCGTTATCAGGGAAGCATGTTGTGCTTAAAGAACAGCTCTCGCGTTTTACTCTCAGTGTTATAAGCAGAATCGTGTTGGGAAAAAAATACTTCAGTGAGTCTGGTGATCAGCTTGAAACTTCAATAGTGAGTCTGGAAGAGTTTCAAGAGACTCTAGACGAGTTATTCTTGCTTAATGGAGTGTTGAATATTGGGGACTGGATGCCTTGCCTAGGCTTCTTGGACTTGCAGGGCTACGTAAAACGAATGAAGGCTTTAAAGAAAAAACTTGATCGATTTCACGAGCATGTGTTCGATGAACATAAGAGAAAAAAGAAAGAATCGAAGGATTTTGTGCCCCAAGACATGGTGGATTTACTGTTGCAGTTAGCTGATGATCCTGATATTGATGTTAAGCTCACTTATGATGGAATCAGGGGGTTCACCCAGGTATATATTTTGCTCATTCTATTTTTCTATTTGTTCTCCTTTGCAACTGAAAAAAATAAATCACTTACAGCAAAATATTTTGACTTGTAAATGATTAAAACACAACACTAATTTAATATAATTCTTGGTATATAAAAACATGAGTGATAACGGTTCGATTAGATCTGATTCAGTTTAATTTTTTTAGATAATGTATAAAATTATAATTTTTAAAATTTGATTCGAATTCGAATAAAATTTTTATAAGATTTGAAATGATTCAAATTCAATCGATTAAAGATTTTTTAAATTTAATTTTTTATTTTTTATATATTATTTTAATAAATTTTTAATATATTTAAATAGAATTAGATATAAAATAATTATTTTATTTTATAAAAATTTAAAAATATATTAAAGTTAATAAAAATATATATTTATTTTTTATTTTTTAATATTAACTTAATATATACATTTAATATTTAAGCGAAATCCAAATAAAATAAAAAAATTGATTTAAAATGAATTTCATCAAATATTACGATTTTGAATTAATTTTTTATTTTTTTGCACTCTTATATAAAAGACATGCATTTTATTCTAATTAAGAAACATATTTTTAATTATTGGAATTTTAAAGTTTTTATTTATGTATCCAAACACATCTTTAAAAAAAAGAAAAATAAAAATAAAAAGATAGTACTACTTGATTAAAAAATTCGGCCAACATCTGGCGGACTTCCGCTATATACCAATTGAATTACTATCAAATTGCGTAGAAGGGTGAAAACGTTTTTCCTTCTCTGGCAGTAGCTTTCGTCCTTTCAAGTGTGTTCCACCAGAACATGAAAATATTATCTTATATATATTTTTTGAACCAATCAAAAAAGCTTCAGCCTAAATATTGCAAGTTAAATTGCCTCTTTGCTACTCAATGAAAATTTTTCTTGTTTTATTAATCGAGATCAGGACCTGGTAGCTGGAGGCACAGATACCTCAGCAACAAGTGTGGAATGGGCAATCTCTGAACTCATCAAACAACCACAACTCATCATAAAGGCAACCGAAGAGCTAGACAGAGTCATTGGCAGAGAGAGATGGGTAGAAGAGAAAGACATCCCACAACTTCCTTACATAGATGCAATCATGAAAGAAACAATGAGGAAACACCCGGTTGCTGTAATGCTAGCACCACACTTGGCCCTGGAAGATTGTAATGTGGCTGGATATGATATTCGCAAAGGAACTACAGTCTTCATCAATACTTGGAGCATGGGGAAAGACCCGTTACTGTGGGAAGAACCTGAGGAGTTTCGCCCTGAGAGGTTCTTAGGGAAGAAAATTGATGTCAAGGGGCAAAACTTTGAACTATTGCCATTCGGTTCTGGGAGGAGGATGTGCCCTGGCTACAGCCTTGGACTAAAGATGATTCAATCAAGCTTAGCAAACTTGTTACATGGGTTTAACTGGAAATTGCCTGACAATACTAAAGCAGAAGATTTGAGCATGGAAGAAGTTTATGGATTGGCAACACCAAGAAAGTTTCCACTTGTTGCAGTTTTGGAGCCTCGTCTCCCGCTTCATCTTTATAAAATCTAAATTCCACATAATTCTGGGTACTTTTCTTCTAGGATTTCATCATATTTCCCACCTATGAAGTCTCCTCTGCCACAAATGAATGTTCTATTGTCATGTTTGTATCCTCTTTAGCTGTTTGATTATGAAATAAGATGTATCCATTATGAAATATGGTTGTTTTCTTCCCCAACATATTTGCACCCTTTGAGGCGCTGCCAAAGAATTTGTAATCTGAAGAATATTATATTTTGAAATTCAAAACCTGCTTTCTCCCTCAATTTAATTAATTATTGACACGTTATTATCAAAACGATCATAAGAAATCGGAAACCTGAAACAGATATTTAATACGTTCATAAATTTAACTTCAGTAATTTCTTGCTGTTTGAAGAGTGTACTTGTGGTTGAGAAGATGTTTTGATGAAGGTTCCTACATCCTTGCAATATATTTATTGTCACTAGCTAGAGCCTCAAGTTTCATCTAGACTGAAATGCCCTTCAAAAAATATTCATATTCCATCGCAAGACAAAAAAAAAAAAAAAAGCCGACATCTCTGACTGCATCAAAAGTTCAAACGGTAGAGGAATCACGGTTGAAATGCCTGTTTGATCCTACTTTTTTTCAGAGTAAACGCATAAATAGGGTGTTAGTCTCAGAGCTGCAGATCCATGATGCTTAAAATCTTGATATCTTTCACAACCACACTTACACAGTTGAAATAGAAATAATGATTGCCAGGAGTCAAGTCATGCCGTAATTGTTTAGCCACTGGTAGTAGGGAATTTGATGCCATGGCATGGCACATCTTGAAACAAGCATATTTATTCAGGATCGAAGCAAAAAATTTTTAATTATTACAGTTGGTCACAGAATGGCGTTATAAAACTTATTGGCAGTAATGGACAATGCTATGCTTGCGACTCTGCCTTGCTGACTTTTGTGTTTGCCTTGTTTTCTCAGCCTGGTGAGCATTTATTAAGGCACTTTGTTGGTTGGTTGGTTGATTAAAACTTGAAAAGCCAGTTCATATGATCACTCTTCTTCAAACAAAAAGAAAAGAAAATTCACCAACAAAATAAATTGCCAGTTGGTCAGGGCGATTTGTAGCTTGGAGCCTTGGAGTTTGTTTCATCTTCTCTCATTTCTTCCATGTTCTTTTGTTTTGGAGGTATTCTTTGTCTCATTTTCAATTACAAAAGAAATTGAGAAACCAACTTAAAAGACGGATTTGATTGTATATATAGGGACAATATCTTTTCCCTTAATTATTGGCGATCGCATAGCATCAATGTTGACATAAGCTAGCCTGCTAGTGCTACTCAGACAATTATTTGAATTAGAAAGTAGTAGTTTAGTGGGATTTGATCCATAGTAGTATATCCGCGTTGTTTCCATGCTTAGCTGTATTTGACAATTTTGAATATTTGCTTTTTGATCAACATAGGTTGGAGATTAGCCATTTTTGAACTAGTCTTTTGCTTCACAAACAATGAAACTCATCCCATCTCGGATACAATTTAAGACAAGAATAAAATAAATAAAAAATTTTGTATTTAAAAGAATCCGTTGAAGCAAACAAGTCTTCGCTCTCAAGAAAAACTTAACACTCTTAACATTTGCCACGGTGAGCAATCCAACGGCAATCTCTAATTAATGCATATTTACAGTGTAATTTACAATTGTGCTAATTTATACTCTATGCTCCCCTGGCTTTATGGTGCAATGGAGAATTCAACCCATTTCTATAATTTTGCTTTAGAGTGTCACTTTCCGAGTGAATTGGGGACATCTTTGGTGATCTATTTTGATGCTTATGGCCGTGATGGAGTTTGTGGTTTTTATGATGATGGCCATTCTCTTTCTTTGACTTCTTTTTAAATTCACTAGTGTCCTTGTCCTCCTTTGGCGAACCACTTTCGGTTGGAACCGTATAAACAAAGGGACCAATTGGGGTGTCCTCATAGTCCTGAAGGGGCTCCAAAGTCTTGACCACATCACACATTTTTGGTCTTTGCTTTGGCCGGTGACTTAGGCATTGATAAGCCAACGCAGCTGCCTGTCGTGCCCCCATATCTGAGTATTGGCCTTCCAATCTTGGATCCATTACCCGGCCAAGTTTCCTAGGATCATTCAACATTGGCCTTGCCCACTCTGCTAAGTTCTGTTCTCTTTGAGAACGGTTCTTGTCTAAAGATCTTCTCCCTGTTAAAAGCTCCAGAAGTACCACTCCAAAGCTATATACATCACTCATTGCTGTCAAGTGACCTAAAACAAAAGTTACAATTATATCATTTTTCAGCAAATTTACATTTCTAAATAGAATGAAAACGTGACAAAGTAGCCAAAAACTGTATAAATCAAAATGTTGTACCTGTCATGATGTATTCAGGAGCAGCGTAGCCTTGTGTCCCCATAACCCTGGTGGAAACATGCGTGTCATCCCCTTCCGGGCCATCTTTTGCCAGACCAAAATCTGAAAGTTTGGCAGTGTAATCCTGGAAAAAACATGGTTGAAAACGTAACATCAGTAATGAGGAAAATCCATGTTACAGTTCTAAAGGGATAAGTTTTGTTCAGTAGGTAACAACTTAAAAAAGCAATACTCACCGAGTCTAACAAGATATTTGACGCTTTAAAATCTCGGTATATCACTGGTTTTTCTGCTTCATGGAGATAGGCAAGGCCCTTGGCTGCTCCAAGAGCAATTTTCATCCTTGTCGCCCATGGAAGAGAAACTGAATACCCTGCATGCGAGGAGATTGACATTAATTTCTTTTATTGTTTGTAAAAACAAAATTTTTCTAAAACAGAATGGTAATTACAGAGAGAACATACTTCTAAATAGCTGGTTCTCCAAGCTGCCTCTAGGCATATATTCATATACAAGTAGCCTATGTTCTTCTTCGCAACAATATCCGATCAGCTTCACAAGATGTGGATGCCTCAATTGTGCAAGAAAGATTACTTCAGTCTGTTCAAGAAAAAAATGATTTATTAATCAATAAATCAAACTTCCAGCTGAAATAAGCATTAGAATAAATGGGAATTCAGGAAACAGAACAATTAACGTCCTACTGTAAGCAATATTGATTGAAAATTTATACCCACCAGCCATTCTCTATGTCCTTGCAGGCCTTCCAAATCCAGGCGCTTAACAGCCACAGGCTGAGCTTTCAATCCAGGCCTAAGCTTGTCATCAATGAACCCCTTATGAACCTGTCCAAACCCACCTTCACCCAGAAAGTTAGCTGATGAAAAGCTTTGTGTTACCACCTTTAGCTCCCCCAGCGTAAAAACATGAAGGTTTGAACCGGCAAGCGATGTAGACAGATCTTCCGAAAGCATTGAGCCGGGATAACTTAAGTCTAACATTGCAAGCCTGGTAAATGAACTTTGTTTTACAACTTCATTCTTAGGCTTGGCTTCTGGTTTCACAACACCCTTGGAACAGCTCGGGATGATCAATCTCCAAGTAAGTTTCATCACAGTCATTTTTTCAGAATCTAGTATAATTCCACAAAATCACTTCTTCCAACTTTTATCGACGTATATAGGATCCAAAACTAGACGATTATCCGTGGTTGGTGAAAGCCGACAGCTTTCAGGTAATGATTTGATAGAACAAGAAAATCAGGTTAGAAGATATTAGAAGATGGTGAAGAATAAGCAATGCTTAACGGAATTTAATAACGTTTGGGAGAGGGAGGCTAAATCACCAACTTCTCTTAAAACCCGATACAGAGAAACAGGTTTCCAACTCCTTTTTTTCTAGTTTTCCAACACCCTTTGATTTTTTCTTTATATCCTTCTCGGCACCATTCTATTTCTATACAAAGGAAATCTTCCAAGTTCCACCATTCTCAATAACTTCTATATATATATATATATATATATATATATATATATAAAAGATTTAAGACATGGTTATATAATTTGATTAATGGGTAAATTGAGTCCATAAGTCCACAAAAGTTGGTTCAAGCCAAAATGACGCGGCTGCCCCGGCCCCTCTTGACTTTCCTCTTTTCATAGGTTAAAAAGAAGATAGGGAAAGCTAGAAATTTGTTTTTGGGACATTAGAATGTTCCGTATGAAAGCTTATTCGATGATTCAAACCCTTCTTTTCAATTTTCATCCAACTATAAATCGAAACTGCTTGTCGTATTTCCAAAATTGACTACTTCGTAATAATATTTCTTAAAAAACCAAATCAAAAGTGTGGTTTTATTTTAAATAAATAAAATTTGGTAATCAGGCACAGAACACCAAATCAGCTATTACACACTAAAATCCGCAGTCATAGGACAATTTCATCGAATTAAAAAAACCTGGGTTTGTTTAGAGTTGGTAAGATAAAGAGTTTGGTCTGCTGGCAATAATAATAATAATAATAATATAGTGCTATATGTTCTAGAAGATTTACTCCAATAAAAATACAAACAATATGGTATTATCTTTGTTTAGATGGCTGACATGATGAAAGCTTTTTGTATGCATGACGATTAAATTACAGGCGGATGATCACAACCGCATGAACTGTGGACTTTTCTCCCTTCCGTTGGATTTTGATGGTCATGATTTTTCCTTGAAGTTGACCTTGGATATATCTTACAAAGTTGGTCCAGAAAAGCTGGTCGGTGAGGGGTCAGCTTATTATTATGTTACTATCATCTTAATTTGTTTAATCCTGTTCTTGCTTCTGTCCAAAACCACAAAATTAAAAACGAGATTGTCAATGATCAATATGGATGTCAATGGATACCTTGCATTTTCTCAAACCAAACAAACAAATTTTTTTATCAGTAAGTTTGGATTTGAATATAAATAATTGAGTTTTAATTAGATTTTAATTCAAGTTCCTACCGTCCATTGCCTTTCTTATACAATGAACTTAGACCCCTCAATATCTTTGTGAATCTAAATAACTTGGAATTATCCTTGTTAAGGGTCACTTCACTACTTTCTTGAAAATAATTTAGCCAATGAAAAAGAAGATATGAAATTATGAGATCAAATCTTGGCCAAGTTGGCATGTAAAGCATAGATATTTTGTACCATACTAAAATTACACATGTAATTACGATTTAAGATGAGAGGGACTGTGCTAAAGAGAAAACGAAAGAGAGGGTCTCAGGTCCCAATCCTTCAATCCATGAAAAAGATAAAAGTGGTAAATTTGTCAATGAGGGAGTAGGTGTTTGATTTGAGATAACATTTCGTCGTGTAGTCACCTAATGAAAGTCAATGGGCAATATTGTCATTTTAAATTGAAAATTACGTCCGCGTTTTGCATGAACGATTTAAAGTCATTTTGGACTAGATCCATGCGAGGACAATGCAAATGAAAAACAAATACTAGAAGGTTATTATTATTAAATACGGATGTTGCTTTTGCTGATTTTTCTTTCCCGCGATTCTTCAACAATTCAAAACAGCTCCATTTAAAGGCTGCTTTCTTTGATTTTGTATATTAAAAAAATGCCTTTGACATTTTGCAAAGAAAGGGAAAAACAGGGAAATTGTACAATAAATTATACAAATTAAGGTAAAAAAATGGATTAATTAGAAAAGAAGTGTCTGTTGTGTTCTCTTAAATGGCAAGTGAATAATTTAATTATATGGGAAAAGGACCACTGTTTTTTCCCTTAACAAGCAAGTCTAGTTTTCATTTGACAGCTTATAAGTTATAAGGCATGCTTATGTGGCAGCATTTTGATGTGGCTAAGAACAACAATGTAATACTACCATTAGTTAGCAGTAAAAATGTTGTTCTTCTGGTTAATTCTAGTTTTAACAGTTACTTTAAGGTCAAGAAATTAGGATGAACAAATCAATCAAGCTACAACTACTTCACCTTCTCTTTTTATGGTATTTCACCAAACAATCAAACACCAAAATGTTGAAAAAAAAAAAAAAATCTTTTCATACCCAAACATTGACTCTTCAAAGTTTCTTGCATAGGATTAAATTGTCATAATAACTCCTTGGCTTATCAAGAGTCAAACAACTAACGATTTTTTTTATTTAAGTTTGTTAAAATAAAAATATTAATAAATAAAATTAAGAGTTAAGTATTTTATTGAAAGATCACAAGATTATTGATCGAACAACTAAAATTAACATAGGTAGAGATTAAAATAATTGCATTAGGTTTTGCAAGGACTATTAATTGGACATGGCATGCAAAGTCTTAGGTTTAGTATGAAATAAGACTCAGATTCATGGTTGACATTTTGTCCCATAATCTTTACATCTTAATTATCCAACTGTGCCGGAAAAACTTGCCCGATTATTATTTCTTTATTATAGATAAGATTCCCTAAATATATATAAGATGATTACATGAGAAAAACGAAACCAATAAGAAAGCTAATGACAATTACTACAACTTCCGCGTGACTGTATAAACTTTTTTTCAGGTGAACAACCGAAGACATTGATGTTAGAAAGATTTAACTTCTAGATCTCTTAAATACCTAAAACAAAGCAAACAAACCAAAATAAAATTTAGGGTTGTTTGGGATTTTGAAAATGTGGAAAGGACTGATCTAAAAATTATACAAGTGTGAAATATGGTTGGGTTTAGGAATTGTCGAAGATCCTCGTGCATGTACTCACGTAAACAGGATATATGACTGAAAAGCGTGTCAAAAAGCAATTAAGAAAAGGAGAAAAATATGAAAATCCATCGGAGAATGGCGAAGACCCTGTGGAGTCAAAGTCAATCTTTTAATGGCGTTCGGTTGATACGTATAATTAATATAAAGCTTTGGTTGTGTGAGTGGAAAAGTTGGAAACTTGGAAACAATGGATTCCATCGTCTGGAACCCTTTAGGTTTCAGCCAGGAGAGTTTGGCTTTGTCTTAAACGCGTACGTTTTGCGAACTAATACTACTAGTAGTAGCAAAACAGCCGCGTCCGTGCAGTGATTGCGGACCCAGCTAGCTTGTTTGGCTTAGTTCCCGTCAGCGTTTGCTGCGCCTGCGCAGCGCGTGTTAGCCATCTCGACCTGTACAAACGCGGAGTTTGCCTACACCGGACCCAGAATAGAACTGACTCCTGTTGGGCTCGGAGTGGATAACGCATCATAGGTTTTGACCTTCCGCAAAGGAAACGAAAGACACTGCTTATTAGGCCTAGTGGTTGGTTTAGGTTTGGGCCTATTGGTCGGTAGAAAATCCACGACGGCTCTTTTTAAGTCTTTGTTATACAATTAATGCGGCCTAGATCAATTGCTGCCAATATAAGAAAAGAAAGATATTTTACTTTCAATATAAAACCTTGTTTTTTTTTTTTTAAAATTGATTTCCGATTTAATATGATATATAGCGCCACATATTTGTATATAAAAAAAATCAAACTTAAATTTGAAACGTATCATATTAGCCAATCTGACAAACTTCAACACAGAGAAAGAAGCTTTAAGGGCCACACACTTGAAAACATGGTTCACATCCAGAAATTAACATATATTTGGAATCTGAGGGAATCCAAAATGCTGGCAATCGGTGCCCCAGTCCACTGCAATTTGTGGCAAAACATGACTTGTTGTCCAACCAAATCATTCCAGATGATTAGCCTGGACGGCTCGTTTAATGTTGGCACAAAAATATCTGCTCTGCAATATTGGTCGTAGGCCCCCCATGTCCATATATTTCTTTATCTACCCCTCTTTTGTTCTCTTTTGAATGAATAACCCGTGCAAGCAAGAAATATATTTCCCACTGTTTATCAAACATATTTTATTTGTATTTCATTTATGACCAATTATGATCGCTGGTTAGCCATAATGTGAGATATTTACATGCAACTACAAAATTCAACTCCAAGCATTTTTACCTTTTTTCATAAAAAAAAAAAAATTTTCCGACCCTTTTTTTATGCAAGGGAAGTGGGCTGGACTAGGGATTGGTGATGGCTGTTAATTTCTTAAACTATAAAACAATAAGTAGGAAGTAGACAAAAAAGAGTGGACATCAAAGTTTCCAAGGAAGAAAGAATAAGAACCCAATTCTTTTTGCAAAAAATTTTATAGCTAGATGCATTGATTATGCTTATTCTGGTTGATTTGTTTTATGAAAATAGAAATTTTGGACGTTTAAAACGGAGAAAGACAAAGGAGTTAAAAGTTTTGATAATTGGGCGTAAGGAATACGTAAGGTCGAAGCATAACAACAAATAGAGAGGCAATAGTTACGGTATCTATGAACATGACATTACCCCAAATACAATTTTCCTAATCTTTTTCAGAGAATTCATTTATTACTAATTATTCCGAATCACCTATTTCTTCTGTGTGTTAAATTTCTCTCCACAAAAATAGCCTGATAGCAACCAGAAACACTGAAAAACATAACCATGGCTCGCTTAACGTTGGTTTCCTCGATCATCCTTCTGCTATGCTGCGCCGCCGCAGCATCAACTTTCGAGGACTCTAACCCTATCCAGATGGTATCCGATCGCCTCCGTGGCTTCGAGTCATCTGTTCTTCGTGTCATCGGTCATACACATCAAGCTATCTCCTTCGCCCGTTTTGCTTACAAGTAACAAATCATTTCATCATCAGACAGTTATCTTAATTCTTACTTTTTTTCCCAGAAAAAAAAAAAGAGTGAAAATCGAAATGATTTTTTTTTTTTTTTGGTTAGGCATGGTAAGAGGTACGACAACGCGGAGGATATGAGGCTAAGGTTTCAGATTTTCAAAGACAATTTAGATTTAATCAGATCCACTAACAAGAAGGGATTGCCTTACACTCTTGCTGTTAATCGTACGTTGCTTCTGTTTTTTTTTTTTTTTAAAGTTTAATTCAATTTATATCCGCTGTCTGCTGATGAATCAAAGGTGTCTGATTCCGACAACTAACTGATTTTTTTTTTCAAAAGTGTACAGCTTGACTTTCTTAACTATGATCTGGTTTTGTTCAGTTCAGGTCCAGTATGTTTGGTTACAGTTCAACTGTTGCCTGACACGATAGTATCAGAGAACTGAACTTACTTTGACTCGATGAAATTGTGAACTAATGATCTTGATTATTGCAGTTCCCCGATTTGTCTTCTCAACTAAAACTTGGCTAATTTTATGGAAATAAATTTTGTTTTAAAGTTTATTATGAACTGATTTTTTTTGTTTGTTTGTTTATTGATTCAACGATGCAGAGTTTGCTGATTTGACCTGGGAAGAGTTTCAAAAACACAGGTTGGGAGCTGCTCAAAACTGTTCTGCTACCACAAAGGGCAATCACCAACTCACTGATGTCATCCTCCCTGAATCGGTACTTTTCACCCCCAAAAAAAAAAAAAAACCTATAAATGAAGATTAAGAATTTTTAACGATGTTTTATCATAATTCATTGGAAAATATACCTGCTTAATCAACCCCAGTAATCAGTAACACGATTTCACCATGCAACAAGTTGTAAAAGATAGTGGGGTGGAATTTATTGAAGTATCAAGACATGGATCGCCTGATGTTCTATAAATTCCCGTAGTGATAACATTGAAACTTTTGAATTGGATACTTGGCATAACTAGAAATTTATGAGCCAATGTAATTGGCGAATGGCAAATGGCGAATGCTATATGAAGTAGCAATTTTGGTTTCGCTTATTGGGTAACTCTTCTGCTGAATGATATCTACAGAAAGACTGGAGGGAAGTTGGCATAGTCAGCCCAGTCAAAAATCAGGGCTCCTGTGGATCTTGCTGGACATTCAGGTTAGCTTTCAGTTATGATGAGAGCGATTTTTAGCAAGATACTAATCTTAGGTTGTAAACTTTTTAAGTTGTCACATGCATTATGCATTTGCATATTGCAGTACCACTGGAGCTCTTGAGGCAGCTTACCATCAGGCATTTGGAAAAGGAATCTCTCTTTCTGAGCAGCAGCTTGTGGACTGTGCTGGAGCCTTTAATAACTTTGGTTGCAATGGTGGGTTGCCATCCCAAGCCTTTGAATATATCAAATATAATGGTGGCCTTGACACAGAGGCAGCATATCCTTACACTGGAAAAGATGGTCAATGCAAATTCTCTTCTGAAAATGTTGGTGTCCAAGTCATTGCCTCCATCAATATTACCTTGGTAAGTTCACAAGCCATTTCCCTTCTGCTTTTCTGGTATAGTAGTTTACATGATCATGTTCTTGATGTAATCCATGTACACAGCTGTAATCCACCGTTCTAATTTGTGAACCTAGCTAAATATTGGAATTCAATTGGCTACAAAGTCCAAACAAATGCCTTTTGACTCTAGATGCATAAATTACATATTTCATCTTTTCGAATTTCCTAATCCGTACAATCAAACACAGGGTGCTGAAGATGAGTTAAAGCATGCAGTTGCCATGGTTCGGCCGGTTAGTGTGGCATTTGAAGTTGTCGATGGTTTCCATCTTTACAAGAGCGGGGTTTACACCAGTGACACATGTGGCAGCACTTCCATGGTAATTCGTCTATCACATGACTATCCAGCACGCACATTTATAGGATGGATTGATGCTTTTCTTTGTGTTCTTACTAACTATGGGGCTTGTATGCCAGGATGTGAACCATGCTGTTCTTGCAGTTGGGTATGGAGTTGAAAATGGTGTTCCATATTGGCTCATCAAAAACTCATGGGGAACAGATTGGGGTAATGATGGCTACTTCAAGATGGAGATGGGGAAAAACATGTGTGGTAAGTATCAACCTCATTGGATCTCAGATGTTAAGATTTTACTAGTCTGCGAAGATCACCTGGATTATGAAGAGATATAAGTCAATTGGATATGGTCCTATGAATTTTCTTCAATTTATGGAGAAAATTGTTTCTGAATTATGGTGAAAAAAGCTAAGAATTCAACACTGAAATTTTGAACTGTAAAGAGTGGATATCTAGCATTTAATCCCTTTTATACTTGTATTTCCAATTTGGTTGCAGGTGTGGCAACATGTGCATCATACCCTATTGTTGCTTGATCTGGTTGAAGAACAGCCTGTATTAGGTCGTTGCTTTGTGTTATACAAGCCGTATAGTTATCGTCTACGAATATTGTAGTTGTCAATCTCAAAAGGTGAGGGTCATGGTCTAGTTGAAGGCGGTGGCTTGATGTAAAATAAGGTTCAAGACATATATGATGCAAATGTTCAACGCAACAAAGACAATGTAAATTTTTATCGTTGAATGCTTGTTGTGTTATAACCTGCCAACAATGGAAATCAATTTATATCCTTCCATATTTGCTGGAACAGCGCCCACTTTGCCTGCATCTTTCTTCTTTGATGAAGCTGGTGGCATTCTTGAGAGTTTGTCGATTAATCTTTGATGACCGAACCCCGCTCCACCAGGTTCCCAGAACTTTGGGACCTTTACCTTCTAAAAGACATTTTTGTAGCTAAATGATTCAGCCATCTCCTTTAAGAGCTGGAATCCAGCTAGATTAAGAGTCATACTTAGCACTTGCAAATTTTTTTTATTAATTTTTCGTCCCTAAATTTGAATTACATAAATCAAAAAGAAGAAATTTCATTCATTTTTGAAAATTTCTAACGATTTGTACAGACTCAACATTGCGAGGAACATGTAGAATGTGAGAGGCCAAAAATCAAACAATATTGAACTGCCAAGAAGAAATGAAAAAATAAAATCTAGACATGAAATTGATCTATCTTATTCCTTTTCCTTACCCTAAACACGAAATTGCTTGATTTTACATTATCGTGTTTGGAGATTTCATTTGACATGGAATGCCATACTAAACTGAAAGGGCAAATGGCCAATCTCCGTGGTACTTTGCAACTCATTCAGCATCATGTCTGTTTTCTATAGCATCATCCAGCATTTGAAGCCAAACATCCATTGGTGATGTTCCCCTACCAAATTCAGATTTAAGATGTTGCAGCTTTTAATCTCCTATAGTACCCTCATGTAATGTAAGAGGCAACAACAGAATACCATTGAGGTTTCCACCAATACCAGGAAAAATGCTTATCCGCTATCCTGCAATCCAATAAAAACAAGAAAGATGTGTTTTTAAGAATAAATGGTGAAGTAAATAAACATAAACAATGCAACTCACCATCAATCCTTCAAGTCCTCCCAATAAGTATTATATACAGATGCTACAATATTATACATCCATATCTACATGCATATGTCCAGTTTAACTATGATCCTGAACTCAAAATATTCCATATCCCTCAAGGGCTGTGAGCCTGACCTCTATCACCAGATAAATAATCTCCAGGATATTGAGCCAACTATTCAGATTTTATCAGTTGACGTAAAAAGGTCAAAATAATTTGCCAATCTTCTCCTTTCTCTTCTAAATAGCATTTACTAGTTATAAGTTTGAAGCATAATTAAAATGAAAAAGACTAGAAGGCAGATTATATCAGCATCAAACTTCCTTGACATCATAATTACTACTTAACCCAACCTAAGATGCACATATCCAAAAAAATTCTCCAGCTTAGAGGATCACATTATTTTCTCCTTTGATAATAGTCAGTCCCAGTATGATTAAAAATTAAATACTACAAGTGATGAGCTTTGATGATTAAAAAGAAAAACGAAATTGATGTACTGCTAAGAAGAGTGTTGACTGCCAAGTATTAAATGTGTGTTAAATTGCATGAACGAAGTTTATTCAGAATAAAAGAAAACAGAGACTTTGTCTTACTGAATGGAAGGTTGTTTGTGCTTCAAGCTGGATATGCTTAATTGGATATGACAAAGAAACTTCTCCATATCTCGGAATGACACCAAATTCAGTGATGGGGAGCTTTTTGCCTAAGCAGCCACAGGAACATCTCTGTTTATCCTCAAAGGAGCATTGTTATCCAAGGATGATGAACCTGCCAACCTCATATCCTGTGATGCTATTGTTGTAATACGGTAGACTTCATTAGGCATCCCAGCCTTCAAAAGGCATGATATCAGAGAATGTATCGTGACATTATCTGGGGTACAACCAACTGATAACATTTTATCAAAAATGCTAATTGCTTCAAGCATTCTTCCCTTCATACAGTGCCCAATAATGAGAATAGTATATGTCACTTTATCAGGGTAACATTTCTTCTCCTCCATCTGCATTACTATCCGATTGGCCTCATCCAAATTTCCAGCCTTGCAGAACCCATCAATCACAGGGTTGAAGATAAACGGTTTTGGAACAATATTCCTACATTGCAACTCCCTCAAAAATTCACAAGCCTCATGTAGTCTATTTTCCTTGCATAAAGCATTAATAGTAATAGCAAAGGTATAAACATTTGGAGATACATTTCTCACTTTCATTGCATTCCAAAGCTGCAGACTCTGATTCACATCTCCAATGCGACAGTACCCATCAATCAAGGAAGTGAAGGTAATAACATCAGCAATGCAACCAAAAGAAACCATCTTCTCATACAAGGATTTAGCAGATAGCATATCACCAACCTTGCCAAAACCATCAATCAGAACATTAAAAGTAACAACACTAGGCACGATTCCAGAACTAATCATCTCATTAAAAAGAGCAGAGGCCTCCCCCATCTTACCCAACTTGCAATAACCAGATATGACTGATGTATAAGTCACAACATCAGGTGAACAATCATCTCTTGATTGAATTTCATTCAAAAACTTGTGACCTCTATCTACCTCATTTGCCCTACATAACCCATTTATAATTGTGTTATACGTAACAATATCAGGAAAACAACCAAAACTCCTCATATCATTAAAAAATTCAAAAGCCTGATCCACCTTCCCAACTCTGCACAGGCCTCGAATTAGAATATTAAACGTCCAATTATCCGGGTAAAAGTTTGATCCTAAATTCTCTTTATATAAGCTAACTGCCTCTTCTAGCATATTTTGCTTAACCATCATATTCAACAAGTTGTTTAATGCAAAAATGCCGACCCCCACTTCGTCCGACTGAATCTCAGCAAGTAACTTCTTTGCCATACCAAACTTACCCGCCCTCCCAAAAGCCGAAACCATAAATCCTACCATAGTACTATCAGCCAAATGCTCATCAATCCTCATATAATCAAAAACTAATTTAGCCGAGTCAAGTAGACCCATATGACAAAATGACCTTATAAGCAAATTATATGTCCAAAAAGAATGAGTAATATTAAAATTTACCCTACTGAACTCGAAAAACTTCAACCCATATGTCGGATTGTTTAACCTTTTAACAACTTCAAATTCAACTAAAGGAGTCAAATTCTTGCTCAAATAACCCAAAAAGCCATTATCCAAAGGTTGTGAACAAACAAAGAGAGTGCACACAACCTTAACGAACCAAGCCTCGTGCTTTTGCACTAGCTTTACCTCTTTATTGCCTTGCGGGTGAGATCCTCCGTGAAATTGCATGTGATAATGAGGAATGAAAATCTTGGAGGCGGCTCGAACCCTTGAGGCACGAGTTGTGAATGAAAAAAGGGTCATCTGTAACCCCACGCCATATGTAGGCCTAGTTAGATACCCAAAATTCTCTACTTGAAGATGATCAAGTTTTCTATTAGGAACCCCAGGTTCGAAGTTGGGTTTTTGATTAAAATCTCTACCCTTCATGGAGATGGTGACAAATCCAAGTACGGTACCATAGCAAAACGACCCACAGCTCAAAGTAACTGCTAAAATAGTACTAACCCAGCAAAGAACTAAAACCCCTGATAAATCTCAAGCATTCAATAACTAAAATAATAGATCACCGGATGATCACGAAGCATTGCGATGGTTGACATGGAGAACAAAATAGATGGTGAAAGAAATCTGTTATATAAAAATTCAAAAACAAAATATTGGGAACAAAAAGATCTTAGAGATGTTTGATGGTAATGGGGTACTTGGACGCCTGCACAGGAATGGCAACTAGGGTTTTTGCTGGCGGTGTTGGCTTTGTTTGGTTGCTGGCTTACTGCCCCGTAAAGATAGACAGCTAACTATCGTTTCGCGAAATAAGAGAAGGGCTCAAAATTTGGGCTTTATCTTCTCACTTAGACCCATGCAGACTCAGAGTGGAGCAGGATCCATACGTTATCGCTATTGGGCCTGTAAGGATGCCATGCCATTTCAATCTGGTATTTTTTATTTGAAAAAAGAAAGGAAGCCGAGAGAGCAAGCAAGGAGCCAGGGACGTTCTTACAGCGTTGAGCCAGGACCCAAAAAAAAGTAAATCATAGATGAAATCTGTATGAATCGAGCTTTCTTTCACTGAAAACAAGTAATTTTGAAAAGGTTGAAACTTTTTTGTTTTTTGTGAAGGAGAAGAAGAAAAGTTGGAAGATGACTAATGAGAGGCCCCAATCTCCACAAGAAAACGCAATGTAAGCTTTCAATCCTTCCTTCCATTTTCAAAAAAAAAAATTTTCCCATTTTTTTCCTTTATCAGCTACCTCCATTTTGTTTGAAAATTCTGATACTTGAAGAACCTTAAATTTTTTTCCCTCAATCATGTCTTACTAATCACTTTCTTTGTTTTTACTGTGTCCAATTATCAATAATTGCGCGCTTTTAGTGTAAAATTTGGAGTAGCGTTTTTCAATACTTCACTGTAGGGATCAAATTTTGTTAATTTTAACGTGATCTGAGTAATTTTTTTTACTCAAATGAGCAATGGGAAATTTCACATCTGGTTCCATTTTTAGGTTCCTTGATATACTGCATGAGGCTCCCTTATTTGGTCACCGGAAACCAAGGAGTATTGTTGGCGGTGTTATTTTCTGTTTCATACTGGCAAGTTTGAAGTTCATTGCTATTTTCTATCAAATAATTAAACTTTCCTTTCAATGTGTGATTAGGCAAGCTCTGATAGTTTTTCAATTTTTAGGCAGGTTATGCTATATTGGTTGCAGCAGCTCCTTGGATATTTTGGCCTATAGAGAGTTCCGTCTTACCATTGCTTTGCAGTTGCAATGTTACTCTTTTAATGGTCACAGGTATCTTGCTAGGTCCTATCTTGATTTGCTTGAGGTGCTTGCTTCTAGGTCTATACCATCCATGGGGTGCTTTGTATTAGATTTGATGGTTTTGATATGATTTGTAGACAATATTCATTGTACCTTGGTTTGATATAGAATGCATGCGGTGCTATAACAAGGATTTCAGTGCGATGCTAACTGTTAAGTTCTTGTTTGACTTTTACAGGCATTTTTCAACAATATCTTGTTTATCAAGTCCAGAAGATACGTTTAAAGGTAACTTTATTTATCATTCAAACCCTGGTGATTCCCTAAGTGACATTTAATAGAAACCATTAAATGTTTTTGTATTTTGTAGGGTTATTATAGTTTCAGTCAGAAGTTGAAGCACATTGTTCGCCTACCATTTGCCATTACTGTATATGGTGAGTATTGTTTTTGTGTATTTTTTACTGGCAGCACTTGATTTTCTTAATTTTTTTTTTTTTCAATCAGAAATGAGCTACTCAGGTGTGTGCTTTCACTGAACCATCTATTTTTTTCAATCATCACTACCTATTAAGATATTAATAATCCCTTTTACCCACGTTAATCATAGTGGCTTATGTCTATTGAACCTTTTCGGTTAGGAATAATGTTACAGTTCTAGTCATACTTGTATCACTATGATGTGGTAAGTTTATGAGAAAAGTTTTATATATATATATATATATATATATCTTAATTGTTGCTGTATTAGGAACTGCTGCAATGATGCTTGTCATGGCCTGGAAACCCAACATCAGTTTTCTTTCCACCTCTGCCATACTCAGGTACTCTACTGTTCAGCAATAATTCCAATCTTTTTTTATGCTTAAGATATATTTCTTATGCTTCTTTAAGTATATATTCTTAATAGTTTTCGGTTTGTATTCTATCATAGTGATTTTATTAGCTTTAAGAAATGTTTGCCTCTTGAAATGTGTGTGATTTATGAGCTATGGATGCTCATTCTACATTGTTTAGTTTTACATTACAATCTGCAATCATGAAAGTCTGATGTTAGTGATTGTTGGGAATGTTGGGTTACTTCAGAGGTTGATATGAAATATAAATGATAGTAATACTCTAAGTTCTCCATTTTACTCTGTTGAACTACATATCATTGACAACATCCCACTGGACTCACTTTATTTGCAGAATTATTATGTTGGGTGAAGCAGTATGTTCTGGGTTCTTTATGAGTGTGTATATCGGTAAGCTCACATGCATGTGTAGAAGCATTTGAAGAGTTAAATTGTATACATTGTTACAATTTAGGTTTTATTGTTCAGTTATTCCAATTAGGTGCCTATACATTTCTGCATTGTTGTGGTGCTTGCAGGTTATGTACACCAGTACAATTCGTTGGATTCTCAGCCTGATGTTTTAAAGTCATTATATTCTCCCCTTCAACCATCAAGTCCTTTGGAAGATTTGAGGTTAATGAAAAATATTTTATTGATCCAAGTTAAACTATATTTTCAAGATTCCCTGTGAAAGATATACTGCCTCATTGAAAGAATACATCACTTGACAATTGTCTTTCAATCTTTGATTTAGTTATATAGTTTAATTTTTCTATTGCTGGAGCTTTTCTGGTTCGTATAAATTCTGATTATGGTAGTCGCGGATTCACTAGTCATGAAACCGAGACAATTAATATGAAATTATGAATCATCATTATGGTTATACTCTATGACATCTATATTCTATGATCACTTCTGTTTGGTGCAACAGGTATCATGATGGCGGTCGAATCTCTGACCAGCAAATGGCTTTACTGCAGTATCAGCGTGAAAACCTTCATTTTCTGAGTGAGGAGGTACATAATCATCTTAGAAGTCATACCTATAATTCATGATAGTTTTTTTCGTGCATCTTTTGGCAGTATTGTAATGGCTTACTGTTATATAAGTAATATATCGTTAACTGCAGATTCTTCGATTGCAAGAGTGCTTAAGCAAATACGAGGGATCTAATGATGGAAGCACACCTCAGGTGATGGTCTATCTGCATAGATGATAAGATAAATCAGTATTTTCTTTTTGTTACATATTTTAGAAAAAAAAAAGAATTGAGTGGAGGAATTTGAATAACGGTGCAAGAAACAGTCAGAATAATGGCTACTCTTGACTTCTTTTCAGGTTGATCTTGCCCATCTATTAGCAGCTCGTGATCAAGAATTACGAATGGTTTCAGCTGAGGTAACAACTAAGTTTTCATTCTTGCATATTAGCCATTGTTCTCTCATGCACCTCATGCCCTTTTTCCTTGCTGCTCAATCTGGTTTGCGCTTAAATGCCTTGTTCATGGTTTAAATAGATGATTTATGCTAAGAGTTAGGTTTTGACATGTTAAAAATTGGGGTGTTATCACATGATTAAAATAGGGGGCGTTTATTTGGCATGGAAGCCATGCAATCTATATAAGTGTGAATATAAACTTAGGGAGAGAGAGTCTTCTTTGTATTTATATTCATTTGCATGCTCGTGTGCATACTCCATAATACAAATAAGATCAAATTCCAATCTGCTGATTCTTTATTTAAAAGATTGTGATTGTAGTAGATTTTTTCAGGAACTGAGCAATTAAACTATTTGAATTTTAGATGAACCAACTGCAGTCTGAGCTAAGCCTTGCTCGTTCTTTGATGGCTGAGAGGGATGCAGAGGTCCAGCGTGTACAAACAACCAACAATCAGGTAAGTACAAATACTGGGAATGACAAGCGGTAATTTTGAGTTGAAAAGGACTTGATTAACTATTCCTAATAATTTCATGCTTTAAGCAAAAATTGTGTTGCGTTGAAAATGTTTGTAATCAGAATGCTATGTTGACAATGTTCTCATTTATTTTGCTGAAAACTGAAACAGTATGTCGAAGAGAATGAAAGGCTGAGAGCTATTCTAGGAGAATGGAGCACCCGAGCGGCAAAGGTACTTCCCTACAATCCCTACTTGTGAATTTCATTTCCGATTGTATTTATAGGCTTTATCATCACATACAATGATATTAATGTCATGGCAAATGCTGAAGCTTGAGCGAGCTTTGGAGGTTGAGCGGATGTCAAACCTTGAATTACAGAAGAATATTTCGACACTTAGAAATCCGACACATATCAGCTGAATCAAGTGAGCAACAGGGAGCCTGATTACTTCCCTTCAAGCACCCTGTATAGCTGATTTCTGACTACTCCCGGCACTTGGGAGTTAAAAGAAACTTCAAGACTGGATAACACTTGCTTTACAGCTTTTACCCCTTGATTTCTTGCTTAGGGGGAGTGTTTCTGCCAATATTCTGGGACCTGTACGTAACAGTATATTTTTTTCCCTTTGTTGGATGCAGAATTTGAATGATATTAGCCCACACGGCTTACTATTATAGGTAACAACAGTGGGCTGCTAATCATCTGAGCCCAATAGGAGATTTTGGGGAACCAGGAAAAAAGATAAATAGAAATATAATGGCACTGTTATGATATGATACAAAATTAACATTTCACATGTTTAAATTACAATTGGCTAACATGAATGCTTTCATTTAAAAAGAGACAACCAAACACAGAATTGAAGAAGTCGCGACTTTTAATCACTTCTCCCCCTCCAAATATAGCTTCTGTGTTATACTTGCATGCTCTCATACAGTCAGGACAGTAGGTAACCTGCATGAAAGTTGGCATATTCTTTTCAGAAAATAATATGGTAATAAAACATAGGGTGAGAAGAGAACTAATAATAAAAATTCATGAAAAGTAATTTACGCCTGCTATAATGGTTGTATATAATTATGTGATTGCAAAATAGAAATATCTAATGGAAAGATGTTGCTTTCAGTTACGAACCTCCAATAACTTAGGCTGGAATGAATCATCAAGCATTACATCTAAGCCGTATATGGCCCTAGACTTTGGATCATGCATCTCTGGATGTACCGCTGCAGCTGACTCGAAGACAGATCTTATCATGCTTTTCACTCTTTGATGGATGTCCAGCCATTTAACTGTAACAAACACAAAATGTCAATAAAGAAACAACTTACCAGGGCCTCTTGTTGCTTCCAAATGTAAACATTCATTTTTTTTTTAAAGGAAAAGGCAATCTGGGTAGAAGTTGGGCAAGCACAAATACCTTGATGCTCCTTTTCAAACTCCCTAACAAACTCTGGTGTGTTCATGTGATTGAACCTTCGGCCATAGTTCTGAAAGTAATATTAATTCATTAAGTTACCAAAGGTAAAAGCATGAATTTAACATGATTCTTAATTGGTTAATATTACATATAACCCTTAAACTATAATGAAAAATATTTAATATGATACCTAAACTTTAAAAATCTTCAATGTAGTACCTGAATTATGAATTTGTTAGCTAAGTGGGAACTGGAGGGTTGGTTATATGCCTTGTGTCATCATTTAAAGCTAACCACGTTAGGTGTAAGTATCACATTAGTTAACAAATTAATAAATTCATAGTTCAAGTATTACATTAAAGATTTTTAAAGTTCAGATACCATATTAAACATTTCACTAAAGTTCAAAGACCATTCATAACATTAACACTTCTTAAATTATAAGGGTAATTTAGGGACTTGATTATTTGCATTTCTTTTTATATTCCATGAAAAAGGCCTAATGTTCAAGGGCTAGCATAAAATATATGTACTCTTTCAAGATACCAAAAAAAAAAAAAGTGCTTCAACATACCATAACAGTGAAGTGGGTCTCATACTCAAAAAAACTATGCTTCTCAAGGGAATACGGGTTGTTTGCCAATCTGACCTGAAAATTTTAACAGGAAGAACTAAATAAGACACTTTAATAGCAGAAAATATTTAAATAAGAAAAGGACCTCTGAAGAAAACTCATCCTATAGCATCTCAGTCAGACAAAAGAATGTGCATACCCAGAAGACATCTGAAAGGAAGATCTCCAAAGGGTTTATACTGCGAACCAGTACAATATAACGAAGGTCAAACTTTTTCCCTTTAAACAAAGCAGGGTGCTCAATATACTTCTGGCATATTTTCGGTCCAGTTTCCATGAGACGGATAATAGCAGATAAATTATCAGTTACAGTTGTATCAATAGTTCGTGCCATGTTCCAAGGTTTCAAGATCCATAGATTGTTGAGCCCATCTTTCTTGCGTAGACAATAGTCACCAATAAGTTGAGATAGATGTGTTTCAAGATTATAAGTAGGTTGCAACCATCCAGGAGATCCCAGCGCCTGTTGCAAGGAAAAAGAGGCAATTTAGAGTTAGTTAACCTCTGCAAAGAGAACCATTTATCTTGGTAAGTTTTCGGTATCCATCAAAAAAAGTTTAGTATCAGTTGAAATATGAGTGTCATTCTTAAAATGGGGTTTTGTTGCAAGTATTAATATGTAAAATAAGTAAGCTATCTTAACCTTTTGTATGGTATCTGCCAAATGATGTTTCATCACAAGACAAGCCTCAAAAGGAAACTGGTTTACGTATTGTTGATCTGTTATTCCTACAGCTTTTTTCATCTCTTCATCCACCTGCATACTTGTCCATATAATATCTGCATCCTTCAGGTCATTTGCTGCAAGCATTTGGGAGTATTAAATTTAAAAATCTCAGAGCAGAAAGAGTCCCCTAAAACCTTAAAAAAATAAATAAATAAACTGTGAAATACTTTCAACAAATACTTCATTCATCAGACAGACACTAATCAAACCCAAATAACAACGAATTAATTCTTTTGTAATTTGCTTCCTATTTCTACAGGTTGTAAACTTTGTAGCAGAAGACTTCTGCTTCTTTTGGATAAATGAAAGCAAATTACTTACCCAAGAAAAAATTCCAAATGACAATCATGAATCCAACAAATAAAAATGACTCAGGTAGATTCAATACTTAACAGATTTATATCGTTCCGCATAAAAATAGAAATTTAGTCTCTTTTAATAAAAAAAATATTCTAATTATTTCAATAACAATTCACAGCATATGCAAATGTTTCAGAGAAAAAAGGGTCAAATGCGAAATAAGAAAAAAATTTGCCCTGCATGGACAAGGGCACATACTGATCACAAATTCCGGCCGTGTCAAAAATTCTTCAACTTGAGGTACATCAGTGTAAACACGTAATGAGCTCCCATCACTGCGGTGCACAACAATAGTTGTAGAAGACTTTATGGGCACAGAAGGTAAACTTTTTGATTGCAATTTATTTAGATGCTTCTCATACTCCTGCATGAAATGATGTGAATTATTAAGAACCACAAAGAGAGTAGAAGAACACAGTTTAAATGGAAATGGAAGTAATTCCAATAACGGATACAATACTTGGATGAAAAAATTCTGTGGCGTGTAGAACCAAGCTGAAAGTCTGGCAGAACGCTGGTTGTCCTCTCCAATACCAAATAAATAATCACGAGTGCACTCATCACCTTTTTTAACATTCTGGGTTGGCCATAAAATGGAATAGCTGAGAAAGAAATTTAACAAGTGTCATGACTCCATATGAATGGTCCTCTACATGCCTTAATTGAAAGAGCAGAAAGATCATACTACAAGGAATGATAGAATGGATAAATCAAGATGTGGGAACACAAAGCTCTAGGTTTAGAAAGTTTTCAGTACATGATACATAGACAAATATGCAAGGATGATTACACATTATATAACTATAGAACTGCTGAATACAGTAACAGAAAAAGGAATTAAACGGCTCCGACAAGCAGCAGAAGAAAAGGATTAAGAAGAAAACCTCACTGCTGATGCCAGTTTCCCATCTGGCATGAAGAGAAAAGGAGCCACTCTGAAATTTGGCTCATCACTATGCTGCAAAGCTGAACCCAGTTCATCCATAACATACCTGCCAAGGAACTCCAAAGTTAAAACTTAAAAAAGTTTTCATTTGGAAGGATAATTAGATACAATGAATTCAGTAAATCGGAAAAAAAAAAAAAAAGAAAAGAAAGAAAGAAGATACAAACTACTTAATGATGATCCTCAAGTACATTCTTTTCATTTCATCTAGCACCATTAGTTTAGCCTAAAATCCATATTGACACCCAGATTTCCCAATTGTAAGCAGATATCATGGCTTTTAACGTCATATCCTTGCTTCCAAGAAATTCAACAAATGATTAAACAAGATCTGAGTTCTATATTTCAGTATGTCAATAGATAAATCATAAATCAATGTAGAAGCGCATACCACACTGGAGTTTCATCAAGCTTTTCCTCATCTGCAAGTCTATAAGTCATTAAATATAACCACATTGCATTAAGAACACGATCAGCAAGAGGTTCCTCAGCAGTCCATTCAGGCACACGCGGCTGAAGCATTGAATCAACAACATGCTTTTCAGTTTCTAAGATTTTGGATGCATCAACACCATTCAGTAAGGAAAGAGTGGGAAGGGATTCAAGAATTTCCACAGCACTCTCTCCAAGTGGGCCAGGTATATCTACCTGCAAGAACAATTATTTTAAGAGGATATGAGAACTTCATGCTGTCTCACCTTTGGTAGCATCATGGTGCTCTAAATGAAAAACAAGAGCACTCTTTTCCAACAAACATACCTCCAAAGATTGCAAGCAATAAAATGCCTTCAAGATTCCAAACAAATCACTGACTGAATTTTCTTCAATTGGATTGCCTCGAATGTTCAAATATGAAAGATTTGGCATCTCAAAAGGCGAGAATGCCTAGAAAAAAGCAGAGCCATAGATAATCAGAATCCACCTCACAGCTTGTTTCCACATCCACGTTTATGATTAACTAAGAAAGAAAAAGGAAATACACAAAGTAAGATATTAGACCTTATTGATCAGATTATGAATACATCTATTCGAAAGGTCAAGTGAGGTCACACTTTGCAGAGCAAGGTCACCCTGATGACTACTCCCAGGATTGTCCTTCCCATACACATCAGCACAGAACCCCAATGCCAACTCACCAAAATTACAGGTAAAACGAGAGTTATAGATTTCCAGTTTGGGACATCCTTGAAGAATTGCAACTTCCATACCACTACCACTGTAAACAAAAACATGCACTTAGTTAATAGAAACCCAATTAACAGTAAACTTAACATTTTCTTTTTCAAGTATCAACAAGACAAAACCTTTTTTCAAGAACTGGGTTATTGTTCAACCAAAGAGCCTTTAAGTTCTTAAATTTAGTAACTTCGTGGACAAGTTTCTCACTGTTTTCAAGCTTGTTCCCACACAAACTAAGAGCCACCAAATCCTGGGACCGAAACAAAACAATAATATGAATATAAAGAACTTTGAAACAGAAATTGAAATATGAAAAATAAGATAAAAGATGATTAACAAACCGGAAATTTTGAGGACAGATTGAGAGAAAGGAGGGCAGCATCGTCAAGTCCAAGCTCCTCGAGCTCCAACCATCTTACAACTCCATCCCCATTTTCTCCCGCGTTTCGAATTTCACTCTCCAAAACTTCCTCAACCATCATTTTCTCGCCATTTTCAATGGTCTCTTCTAAATCCGCGTCGTCATCAACGTCCACGCACATCAGTGCAGCCATCCTCTGCGCCAGCCCTGGAACCTCCTGCAACTGCAACCAATCAAAGAATACCACGTTTCACTCTAAAAGAACTTCAAAGAAATTCAGATTAATTTAAGAAAAAAAAAAAACACCAAACCTGTTTGTAGGCGTCGGGGAGGCGAAACGTCCAGGCATGGTCGATGAGGAAAACATTGGACTCTTTAGTCAAGGTGTCGGAGGTTAATAATAAACGCCTTCGACGGCCATCCTCACATGGTTCGATCTCAAAGTGAGCTCCGCCATCAAATGTTTCGGATGTTAGTTTCTCGAACAGTTTGAAATGAAGTGATTGGGGCAGTCCCGATGCTGCTAAGAGCAGACCGTGAACTTTCACGAAGTCCTTGTATGTTTCGATTCTGCCGCCAGTACTTGCAGTTGTCGCAGACATTGGTGTTGGGGGACAGTAAGTATGGCGGAGAGCGAGGTTTTAGGATGTAGGGTTTTTGCAGCTGGGAGTAACTATTAAGCTATTCGAGGAGGGTTTACGGGTTGACGTCTGATGATAGACCTAAAAAATGGTGTGGCAAAGGCTAGAAAACCTTTTCGGTATGCAAGAGCGCTAGAACTTAGAACCAATTAATAACTAGATTTTGGAAAATTAAAATAATGTACCAAAAATTAAAAAAAAAAAGCTATAAAATAGAAAACTGTTTAAAATACAAGTTGCAAATATGATCTTATTTGTCTTTTGATATGTTATTATTATAAAAAATTGTTGTCTAATGATAATAAAATGCCAATAGATAAATTGATCTGCTGATATTTAAAAAAAAAAAAGAAGTATTTTTAATATGATTAAATGAAACAAGTCGATCCATGTGTTCCTTCGAAAAAAAATATTGGATTTGAATTGTCTTACATGGCCCAAATATAGTACTACTCATAAACAATATCTTGGGTTCAATTATCTCACACGATTTTTTTTTTTTTCACTTTTGATCTAATTGAAATGTATTGCACGTAACTTTTTTGTTAATGAGTGGCCTATGATCTCTTGTTTATTTAGGATTCAATTCTCCTTCTAAGTTATGTGATTATAATTTAATTTATGTTATAATTATTAATTATTTAATTAATTATATAAATATAAACGTTAATCAAGGATATATATATATATATTTCATTTCGTATGTAGTAAAAATGTGTTAGTGAAATTTGAAATTAGGGAAGGTTTAACATTTTAATAAAGTTTGTTAGATTGTATTTTGATTTATTGATGAATTTTTTTCTTTTTATAATCGCATGATTGTCGCATGTTAAATTAACTGTCACTGAGTATTTCTAATAATAAAAGAATTGAAAGTGACAAAATAAATCCAAAATTAAATTTATTTCATTATTTGGACAAAAAATAGTACTTTGCATTAATAGAGGATTATAACATTTTTTATTTATTGAAATAATATTGAGTTTTATTAATGAGTCATTGATATAATAAAATAATAATTATCTTATATCATATTTGATTTAAATCTAAAAGGAGGGATATGGATTGTAAGAAAGATTAATATATTTTTTATATAAAATTATTCAGTCTTTCTAAAATGAAAGAATTATTTTTAATTCATTAAATTAAATTTTACATGTCTAATTATAACATTAAAAATTATATCAATAATTTAAATTATTTAAAATTTTAAAAATAATAATTTTAATAAATAAATAAATAATCTTATTTTTATTATTACATATTTCAAATATAAAATAAGATAATATTATTTAATCTAATTATATTCATACTATTATCTTATCTTATTATAATTTTATGTATCAAATATAAATTTAAGATATTATTTAAAGTTACAGTTTCAAATTTATTGAAATTTATGAAATTAATCATAATTATTATATTTAATATAAAAAATTATAAGTTTAACAAATGCTAATAAAATCCAATAGTGAGAATTATTTTTTTTGTCCGAATGTGAATAGATGTTAGTAGTACAATTCAGCTGTCCTTTACCAACAAGAAAAAATCGTAAATATCATCAAATGATATTTTCCTTAATCAATTGCGTAAATTTATGATATTTTTTCTCTTAAAATTAATGCTTAATTATGTAATCACCCATTTAAGTGACAAAAACACGTTCTCATCAATAACCGTACAAAGTTCGACATCAGATGATCAAACATCAATCATAACCGTGCACGTTAAGAGTCAACCAAAACCTATGACAAACACGATTATTCGAACCTCGACTGCAACAGAATTCCGCCCCTTTCTTTCTTTCTTAATTCTTACAAAACCAAAATATCTTTATCGAATTTTTTTTATTATTTTAAATTATTAAAATATTTGATATAACTTTACATTTTAAAAAATTATAATATCGTATTTAGATTATAAATTTTTTAATTAAATAATATTTACATAAAAATAAATAAAATTTTAAATATCACATTAATTAATAAATTTATAATTCAAATATTATAATTAAATTTTTGTAATTTAAATAATATATTAAAAAAATTACTATAAAAAATTATTTATTACATTAACCTTTTATTTTTCTTTCCTTATCTCTACAATTTCCAACAAAAATACATAAAATAAAACGAATTTTCCATCAGGATAAGGGTTCCCCATCCTCATTTATTCGCTTGATTATTAAAATAATTAAATTTTTAGTGAAATAATATAGAAATTCAAAGGAACCTTTTTTTTTTTTTAATTTTCTCTCTATGTTGTCAATAATTGCGGAAATATCGTCTCCCACGTGCACTTCACCGGATATTAATAATACCCACTGCTTTTACACTCTCCTGCATTCTCCGCTCTTTTTAATTCCCAAAACGATGTCGCTCGTTTTTGAAAGGAATGATGATACTAATTCAATCAGGCGCTCAGGGTTTATCCAAGGAATGCAGTGTATCCCCGTGTATGATTCGCCGGAGGAGAAAAGCGAGGACCAGAGGAGGTTGTTGTTGGCGGAGGAGATAGAAGATGATGATTTGGGGTCTTGTAGTTCATCGTCAATCGGAAGGAACAGTGATGTTTCCGGTGAATCATCATCGGGCGGTGAAGATTCAACTGAGGCTGAAGTGCAAAGCCAGCTTAAAGGACCTTTGGATACCATGGATGCTCTAGAGGAGGTTTTGCCTATGAGGTAAAATTTTTTGAACAAAAAACCTTAAAATTTTGGGGTTCTTTTTTTTTTTTTTTTTTTTTCATCTTTCTGGGTTTTGATCCAATCTTGGTTTATGTTGATGCGTTTTTGTTAAAATTTTGCAATGAAGTTTAGAGGAATGGGTAGGGTTCAGTTTGATATTTTCTTCTATCTGGTAACATTGGTTTGGAGAATTCATTAGAAATATCTATTTTATAACTCCCATTTTTCTTATTAAGCATTGCTTGAAAAACAGGAAAGTACTTTCTTTAAAGGACTGTTGTGATTTTGCACAGTTGTTGTTTGGGTGCTTCGATTTCTTATTTTTGTGCTTTTGCTTTATTTCAGAAGAGGCATATCCAAGTTTTATAATGGCAAATCGAAGTCCTTCACAAGTCTTGCTGATGCTGCAGCTGTTTCCTCTGTTAAAGATTTTGCAAAGCCAGACAATCCCTATAACAGGAAACGCAAGAATTTATTAGCTCATAGTTCTTTGTTGGACAAGAATCGTACTAATCCTTTGAGAAACAGCGGAAGTGGGATATCAAAGAGACTAGCTAACTCCAATCGAAGCACAATGGCTCTTGGAACTACTACAAGCAACTCTGACTTCAACTCAACCTCCTCATCGCTATCTAGCTGTCTTCCACCTCTGCATCCTCAGTGTAAAAAATCAACTACCATCAGATCATCATCGCCGACTATGCGAACGAACCCTCCTTGCCGGTCTTTCTCCTTGTCTGATCTACAGTTTGTTGCTGCTGCAACTCCTGACATAGCTGGTTTGGCTGTTCATAGTGGCAACAAGGACAACAAACTGCGTTGAATTTAACTGAAATTTCACTTTCAAAATTATGAAACTGGACGTTGCCAAAATGCTTATGGTATTGGTCTTGGAGACTGTCTCTTACAGCTTCCTGATTTGATCTAATGGTTGTACTTGTAGTGCTAGGTATACGATGGCCATGCATTTTGAGAAGTAATTCCTGCTGTACTATTCTCATCTCTTATTTGCATTCAGTTGTTAATGATGAGAATGCTTTATTGTATAATACCAGAAGTAAGATAGATTCTCTTCCTAAGCAGCAAATGTTGGCCTTTTTCTTATTTCAGCAATATGGGAGTTATTTTACATGTTACTATAGTACAGTTTTTCCTTTCCTCTTCCTCTCTACCCACTTCACCATTCCTTGTGTTACTTTTCTTGCTGTATGCAGATGATCTGTGCTTTAGAGTGGCTTGGTAACGGATTTCCTAGGTCCTTGGTTCAGCTCGTCGTTATGGTTCTTGGTTTTTGCCAATTCCTGTGGCAAATAGTGGAATTTGCTAAATTGGTCATCAATCATCAGCAGATGGAAATAGCAAGTGGCTGACAATTTGAAATGAGAAATAAAGCTTAGAAATGTTTTCAACTTCCCCTTTATTACTTTGTAAGTGCGGTCTACCTCTGTATTAAGAGGGAAAGTTGTAGAGAAGTTCAATCTAGTTTCCCGGGTAAGGTAACCTTCTTGTAAGTTTCAAGACCATTGAATCTGCCTTGATGAGGTATGATGATTACACCAAAATTATAGCTATAGGAAGTCAGATTATGGTTGCACCGGCATGTTCAGATGTTCGTGTGCATATTAAACCTGTTCAAGTTGTTACAAGTAAAAGTTATGGATGTCACAATAATGCAAACGGTTAGGCATGATGGGCCTCGGTCCAAAGCCTAAATCCAAATGGAAAACGAGTCGCCTTTCCACTCTCCTACCATTGCCGAAACCGGACCAAAACATTGGACGACAATACATCCTCTCCATTTACACATCCGTATATACACTGGAAATACGATTCTATTGTTTCTAATCCTTCTTAAAGGTAAGCATACTCCCATGGCTTCAGTGATTTCAACTCAAGAATTACAGTAATGAAGTACTAGTGAGAGTTTAGTCTTAAATTTTTATTAACATTGGCTTTTATTGCGTGTTTGGTATTTCTTGGGGATTGAATTCTCAGTTTTGGTCGGTTGAAAAATGGAGCCGGCCCCTAATGGTGAAGAACCCACTTCGCGGGATGAGTTATACAACGTAGATTTGATTCCATCTGACTTGTTCCTCAAGTTTAGAAAAGAAATCAAGGGGTTTCGAGTTGGTGTCAATTTTGAGGTTATTTTTTTATGCTTTTCCTTCATAGTCTTAGATTGTTGCATCCATATGCTCTATGATGTTACAATTTTGGCAGATATTATATGATTCCCGTTATCCTTTTTGTATGTAAATGGGCATCGCTTTTTGTTTGGTCCAGTGAATTTATGTATGGAGTTTAGTTAGTAAGTAGTAATGTAAGCTTCAGGCATGAATCCATGAAAGGAATGTTTTTTAGCTGTCTCATCTTCTTTATTTTCTACTTTAAATGTTGCTTTTACTTGAAAAAGGATACTTTTATAAAAGATATGTATCAATTGCTGAAACTAAAGTATGGCTAATGATGCTATGCAAGACAGCAAGACCAAGAATCAAATATTGTTCAATTATTTGTTAGAAATGTCTGTAGCTTTCGCATTTTACAAGTGATAGGTGGTTTAGAAACTAGTTCACTTGGAATCATGGCCTATAATTTTAACCCTAGACTTCAAAATTTAAAAGCCAAACACAGTATTAGAATCTTTTTTCTTTTTGAAACCATGTAGAGGGAAAAACGCAAGAACAGTACATCAATCGAGGTTTAAGAATGGACCCTTTCCGCCTAGCCGTTGTAGCCTGCAACGGCCATCTATCTACCACTTCAATTGTTATATATAACTTCATAATCTCCTTTCTGTAAAACTCCAAAGCAACCCTTAAACCCGACGCATATCAATCAAAGCATCAACCGAAAATGACTTCCTCCAAGCTTAGAAGCTCATTTTCATTCCCAAACCTTCTCCTCTCTTGCTTGAGTTTCGTCCTCTTTAACCTCTCTGCATCCTCTCTTGCTCCCATTGCTCTCCTCAAAATGCCTCCAGCTTCACTGGGTTTAGCATTCCTGATGGTCTCCTGCATCTCCCTTCTCTCCTCCTTCGTGGGCTTCTACTCTCAGCTCACCCACTCTTGTTTCATAACCCATATTTCACTTCTCCTGGCCTCCTTGATGGGGCAAGTCCTCAGCATACTGGCCTTATATACAAGAGAAAAATCTAGCCTTTCGATGCTGAAATCCCCACGGGACCCAAAAGAGGCAAAGCTGTTGGTGAGAGTGGAATGTGGGATTTTCATGGCAATGTTGCTAATGCAGTTGGTAGTGTTAGTATTAACCTGCACTGTCCATAACTTCTGGGTGAGGGAATACGAAGGATTAGAAGCAGAGAGAGAGGCAACAGCCAAGAAAAGGAGCAGAAAGGTAGCAAGAGTGCAAGAGGAATCCATGGCAAATGCAGCTAAAATTGCTGAGATTAAAGCAAAGGAGTTTGATGAGAAGATGAAGAGCAAGTATTGTCAGTGGGTGAAAACTGATTTTGAAGGCTAAAAGGCATGTAGTCAATGATTAGTGTTAATTCTTGGTTTTCTTCTTGGGGTCACTCCTGTGGTGGCCACTGGATTTGTATTGCGGAGCCTATCACTTTTTTCGGCATGGATTTTGATGTGACGGGTGACTTATAATGAGGTTTTCTTGTGTAATTACTTTTGAATATGTTGATTATTACCATATTACATTTGTTGATTTGGCTTCTCATAGTACATTTCTGAAGTTAAAAACCTTTTCTGGTAATTTCGATTTTCCTAACCTTTTATTTCGGAGTGGGCCACTTGACCTTCACGAAATCTTCATTCATGCTATATAGGCCCATAAATTCAACGTATTTAAGCTTTGGGTTTGTGCCTAGCTAGCTATTTTTTTTAATATATTTCATATTTATTTAATTTTAAAAATTTAAAATTGAAAGGGAGGCGTGATCAAATCAAGTTGAAACAGGCATAAGAAAATTCATTGCAAAAGTCCAAATATCCAAAATTTTTGTCTAATTAATGACAATGATTATTATTATGTGTTTATCAATGTATAAATCAAAAACAAAAAGAAAAAAAAATATTGTGGGATGAACAAGAAAAAAAAAATGACGGCTAAAAATAATCTGACAAACAATATCCAAAACCAAAACAAAACGATGGGGATATGAATTAAGGAGCTTGTTTTTCTCAACCAAAAACGTTGTACTTCTCTTTCTGCTCCGCTTTGCGTGTCCGCCATTCCTTATTATTTGCCTTGCCATCGCTCTCAGCTACTGGGACAAATCATAAAAAAAAATAATTTTGTTGACCCGCCAATCATTTGGAGCCTCTAACTTCATGCCGCATCACCACCTGCCACGTGTCAAAATCTCCCTGGCTTTCCTTTGTCAGATAATTTCGTCTTATCCTCTTTCCATGGCCCACCGCTTCACACTCAACGGCAGCTGTCAGTTTCTTTTTTTTTTTTAATTTTTTAATATTCGATTGCCAAAAGTAACTTCATCTCGTTCGTTCCCCATTGCCAGCTCCTCCGAACATTGCTGCCAGATACACCTATATATAATATTAAATAATTCATTAGAGTTTTTTTGTTTGGGATTTTCTTGATCTTTATCCTCTTTCAGATAAGAAAAGGATAAGAAAAGAAAGCCAAAAATTTGGATAAAGTTTTCCCGGATAAACTATTTCCTGTATCCGGGAAAACTTAGTTGCCATGTCAACCATTTCGATTTACAGAGCTGAATTCTTAACTTTTTCTAGCCATGGATCGAGGCCCCGCCTCAAATTTCAAAGAACTTCCCTTTCTCCAACTATGTGAGTTTTTCCTCTTTTTTTCCTTTTAATTAGATTATTTCAAGTTAACAATCAGGAGATATTTGGCTTTTGAATGCGGTTTTATTTGCTTTTGATTTTTTTATATAGAAAAAGTTTAGGGTTTTTAATTTAAAAAAAAAATGTTATCTTTTGCGTACTTTCCTTTTAATTTAATGATGTTTTCGGTTATTTGGTTTTTGGGGATTTGATTAGGAAAATGGATTCGAAATCAATGGAAAGGGTGAAAAAGGAAGAACTTTCGATACAGCTTCAAACGCCGTCAATACCTCAGCTGGAAAACTCAAGACCGTCTAATCTTAGGTTTGACCGGCTGCAACCGTCGGATCAGGAGCTGAATCAAGATAACAGATTAGAATTTGGAAAATTCGTGGCAAGAGAGGCCGTCCTTGATGAAGAATTCTGGGTATACGCCATTCCTAATCTTTTTCTCCATCTTTTATTTGATCAAATGGACCTTTTGGTGCTGATGATTTTGTTTTGATTTTGATATAGACAGCGGCATGGCTGAGAGCAGAAAGCCACTGGGAGGATCGACTGGGTGAAAGGTAGGGATTAAATTTCTAAACTTTTTTTTTGAAGTAAATGAGAATACCCTTCTGTTTTATGATTGGACTTATCCAAAGAAATGAACCATTAAGTCCTTATTTGGTAGATATTTATAGTATAGAGAGATTTAGATACACAGGACTAGCTCTTTTATGCAAAGAAGCAAACCTCTTGACCTAATTATGGGAAAAAAATGTAATAGATGTAGATAAATTGTTTGAAAATTTGACTGTGGAAGGTCTATCAGGTTTAGAGGAAGAGAGTTATATTAAGATGCTGACAATGGACTTGATTCAATTCCCACCCCGCGTTTATGCAGCTGCAGCCTTGACAGACTTTTTTTTTGCTAATGTATATGAGTGGATATTGAGTGCCCCTGATTTTAGCTATTCATGATATATACAGATATGTTGATAACTTTAAAAGGAAATTTGCTGAGCAGGTAAGAAAGCATAGTGTCTTCTCTTAGTTGCTTATAAACACATATGAATTTCAGTTACATTAAAAATGCTTAGAAACTTTCCTTATTTTTAGGAGTTCAATGCCATAAAAGGGCGATACAAGGGGCAACAAGGACAGACATATGCATGTGTTGTCACGGTATGATGTTTTCATTTTCCCAGATTGGTATTCCTTTCAATGTGTTTGTTATCTCCTTTGGGTGAGGATTAGATCAAGTTAGAGCTTCTCTGTTTCTCTTCATTACTGGGATACAGTTCGTGTTACGTTATTGTTTTCTTTAGGTGAGGAGTCTTATAGTGTTTTGATATCAAATTGTCAGGTTAAGAAAGAGGAGAGGAGTGTCAAACGCACAGTGTTGAAAAGTGTAGTTGGAACCCTTGATTTCAGCATTAGGCATTTGTTGCATGGAGAGTCTTTTCCAGGGGTACGTGCATACTTATTATATTCAGACTGCTAGTTCTTCATCAATCTAAATAAGTTGTTTGTTCATATAGTTGTGAATTTGAAACCCTTGCAGGAACGTGAAAAGCATCTCTTCTGCAGCATCAACAGAACACATATGAATAAATATATTTATGTTTCCAACTTATGTGTAGCCAAATCAGCCCGTCGACAAGGCATTGCTAGAAATATGTTGAATTTTGCTTTTGAATCAGCCAGATCAAGTGGTAAAAATTACAAGCTTATTTCCGTCAGATGCACCTCATCTGGTACTAGTAGTGGGAAAATTACCTTCTAATGTAGTTATTCGGTTGCAGGTGTTGAACTGGTATATGTGCATGTGAATAGAAACAATGGACCTGCACTCGAACTGTACCAAAATATTGGTTTTGAGGTAATACCATTTTATCCACTCTATTTTTTACTTTGTGGTTTCATTTTGTGCCCTTCTGTCATTTTTCACACGGGGGCTGATATACATATTGCATTCTTCATCAGATGGTTGAAATTGCAAGTTCTCAGTTGTCAAAACAGCAGATGTACTTACTTTGTTATAAGACTTAAAGCTCTGTTGAACACAAAATTCAGGATATCTTTTTTTTTTTTCTCTTTTTGAATGAAAAAAAAAAACCCATACATATAGCTTGTGAACTCGGGGCTTAGGAATGACTGAGGATGGGGAAGGATTAACCCAAAAATGTAATTTCCTGACATTACTACTCAGGGGACATATGTATGTATTATTTCCATAATCAGAAATTGTAAATGCTATGAATTTCTTATATGCTTTCTTCTTACCATTCTGAAAAAAGATGGTTTGATGGATGAAAGCATGAATTGGGACATATGTGTAATGAAGGCGAGTTTCCCTTTTATAAACAAGTTGGAAACCATGAAAAGGAGAAACAAAATAATGAGAGCGGGCAAAGACTGCACGTATGAAACCTTACCGGAAAGGCAGAAAATACTTGCACCTTCCGAGATTTCAAGTATCTAAATGAAGATCTGAAAGTGGAATGAGACCACTAGACGTTCTTGATCTATATGCTCTCCGCACCAAAATATTTCCGAGAATGTTGTAAGCTGCAAGTCTCACGTTTTTGGATTATGGTAAATGTGGTCATGAATATACCCTGTAATGTAATTGAATGGAAACATGATATCATAAAATGAAAGGGAAACGAACGAAAACATCTTCATGATTGCTTATTCTTTGATGTAAAAAAATATAGTGAATTATTCATTTGAAATGAATATATATATATATATACACGGTGAAAAAGGTGGCCAAAATTATGATCATAAATTACCAGGTAAATCAGGAAATTCAACCATGAATTGTTTTAACAGGCAAGGGCTTCGAGATGCCATCACATTCCAGAAACATGGATGTGATTCTGGTTCTTGTTCTGCTTCTCTCACTAAACCCATACAAAACCTTAAAGTTTTAATTAAAAGAAAAAAACAAGCCATTAGATTAAACAAGCTAACATCCAGATTCAGCAAGGTGACCGTTTTGAGCGTACAAATAGATTAGTCGTACTACCCTCCTTTTAGTAAAATTAAAAACAAGACTTGGATTTGTTTCAAGAATTTCATTCATGAAAAAGAAAAGGGAAACATATCCTTCTAGAAATGACATTGTATTATAATTTTACTACTAGAATCTCATCTCATGCATGCCAAGCAGCCGCTAATGGTTGAATTCAACATCTAACCTTTTTTCCCTCGAGTCTCATCAGCTAATTTACGTACTTAAGGTTGCATATATATAGTATTAAAACTAGTACGAATATATATCAGCAATTACTCTTAAATCAACAGCAGATTGTATCGAGAAACACGAATTGTTTGGGTTTGGGTACCAAGTAGCACCTGGGTAAACACTTACATGTCGCATTATGACACACCTCGGGCAAAAGGGTAGAACAGTGCACCCATTTTACAAAAATTGCTCATGTAGGAAACCCAAATGATACAACTGAATAGTCGGGTCTCCAACAAAAAGACATCACAGGGTGACAAAAAATGTCCAAGTTCTTTAGGCAGCAAAATTCGCCTACATGTTTCCTGGACAATTCCTATGGCTAGTTATTCACACCCAGATCACATTAAAGATGACACTGCAGAGTACTGCATTGGACCCAATTTAAGAATCAGGTACTTTGATATGCTATAAAAGTGGAGAAAACTTCAAACCGATGATTTCTACCTTTGAATTAGAGTGGCCATACAGAAACACGTTTGTAATCTGCAAAGAAAACACCAAGACAACATAAAACTCTTAATGTCTGGCAAATACTGATGAAGGTCTGCGGCTAACTCAAGCAGCATGATATTGCAGCTCAAGAAAGTCGGACAATTAATTGGTCATAAGATAATTTTAGGCTGCACATGCCAAAATGTGAGTCCGATGGGACAAAAGTACCTGAGTGCATCCAAAAAGTTTAAGCATCCTCAACGATAAACAGCTATCCACAATCAAACCCACAGCTTCATCAGTCAGATTTCGGCACCAAGATAGATCCAAACTAAGCAAATTTCTTGTGCGTCTCGCAAGTGATAGGGCTGTACTTTGACCAACCTAAAAAAGGGTCATACATCATTAAGAAATCAGACGAATACCATTGAACGAAAACAAGCAAAGAGACTTAAAATTGTTCTTTTGTTTTGTGGGGTGGGAGGGGAGACTAATGTGTGTGCCTGTCTCTGCACGTGTGAGAGAAAGGAGAGGCACTAATCCAGTACCTTCAGAACATTGTTCAGTGACAGCTCTTTCAAAACCTCCCCAGACATTTCAAGAAATGCAGCTATAGCATCATCACTATTGCATAAAAGGGACAAAAAGTAAAGAGTGAAATTTAGATCTAATATAAAACAAATCATATTAACAATATGAGAATGAAATGAACTCCAATGTACTTTGGACATAGGTGGAATAGAAAAAGACAATGTCAAGGCCAAAAATGCAAAGAAAAGTAAGCATGCAGAGAGCAGGAATGCCAGAGCAACTGCTCCGACCAACCACTTGCCTACAGCATTGATTAGAAACCCATAAGGCCACTCCACTCTCACACTATTATCCAGTAAGACATTGGAAATAAAAACTTAATTGCCCAAGAAAGCCTTGAGCTTCATTGGGATACAAACACCATTGTATGCTAAACTCAACTATGATGCAATGTCAACTACAAGGAATCAAGTAGCAAAATATAATTCTGCATGAGATCATAGCACAAGATTCTATGACACAGTAAGATAAGTAATAATAACCTGAACCTCAAATCATGTAAATACCTGAATGCATTGCGGCAGAGTTTCAATGACTGTAATGATCTACAACCATTGGCCAGGTAGGCAAAAGAAGAGTCAGTCAGTTTGGATACATTACCAATATCAAGTGCACATAAACTTGAACAGGTTTCCGCAATGATTTTCAAGGAAGAATCAGTTAATTTCCTGCAAGAAATTACATGCATCCAACATATTAAAGGGACAAAAGCAATTCAAAACCAAGGAACTCTAAAAGAATTTAGATGTATATAGGTGTTAAGCAAACATACCCACAACCTGTCAAAATCAGTTCCTTGATACCATCACCTCGTGCAATAATAAATTCCTTGATGAAACCATCAGTAACAGATTCCAAGCCTGCTACTGACAACACTTCCAAATGCTCCAGCTTCTTCAATGCTGGCAGAATCAGCATGGCATCAATACTTTGGCAATCATTGATATATAGTTCCAGTAGAACTGATGCCAAGGAGGTTGCTAAAGTGTCAATAGCACTGTGGGTAAGAAGTGAACACTGACTGAGATTTACAGACCTTAGTACAGGGGCAGAAGAAACTAGAACACTTAGCCCAGCGTCAGAAAGCCGAAATGCACCAGTCAACGACAAATTAGATAGTGCAGGCAAGCTGTTTGACGACCGAGCTAAGGTAGAAGGTAAAATATAATCCGGCAAACAGTGGCCACACTGATCAAGTTGAAGAACCTGAGTTCACAAAGGAAAAAACTTTAGATTATCCATAAAGGACGATCAGGGGACAGATAAATAGCAACAACTTTATACTAAATAAGATTGAATATGGACTTCCCATAAAATATATATATATATATACTAGGTTAAACTAAAACAGAGGTCAGAAAATTTAATAATATCCTCAATACTTCCATATTTAAATCCTGGGAAGGGGAGATACAAACATTGTTGACCTTCACTTTTAAGCCAGTCAAAATGTTCTAGAATTGGTTGGATGTTAGAACCACATATTCTCAACTAAGTTACATAATATTGGCCAAAAAAAAAAAAAAAACTGTCACATAACACAGCACTTGAAATTAATAAGTAAATGATTAGTTACTAAAAAACCCATGTCATTCTAGTGCAATTTGAATAGCAATATAGCATTATCCATGGAAGCTTTACATGTATTATCTGGCCTTAAGAATTTTTAAACTTGCTTAGTCAACATATTCTGGTGTGGAATATGAAAATGCAGAGTTATGTGCAGCTGTTCTCGGTTAACAGAAAAACAATGATGCCACTACAGCTGATATACTTAACCAACAAGCAACCATGAGTCTTTCCATCATTACCACACAACACTAGCTCAAATCAATCTGACATAATAAGCAAGCAAGTGCGGTTCCACTAAAAACAAATTTAAACCAATCAAAGCAGGAAGTGAAGCCCAAAACTGAATTCATGCACCATGACAATAAATAAACAAGCAACATACCGTCAAGTTGGTAGTGTCACACCCTTCAAAACATTTAGTGAACTGTTCCTCCGTTAGCCATGAACAATCCTTCAGGCGAATTTCAGTCGGGGATCCACTAACGACGAGGTCCAAAAAGTTACTATTTATTCGTCTCGAGTCACAGAGCATCTGACATAGCTTGTGCCTCAGAGCATCTGGCACATGATCAAGAGAAGCAATTGCATCTGCATTATTGACCAGAACACTCAAGCACATATCAAGCAATGATGGAGGCAACCGCTTTGAACAGTCCTTTCCTTTACCCTTTTGAGGAACCCACTTAATTTGCACGGATTGAACCTTGTCTGAGGAAGAACTCCCCTGTCGTAAATTCATATTCTCTGCTCTATCCCTTATAATCTTCATAGCAGTAGAGAAAGGCCCAGGCCAATCTTCAACACCCTTCTCTTCTGGCTCTTCTTTGGAGGGAATTTCCCTTTCAGTCTCGGCAGAGAAATTGGTATTGTCTTCCTCCTGGTCGTCGAAATGGGCAAATCGAGAAGCATTTTGCCTAGCCGTATCTCGAAACTGTTCGATTCTCCCCCCATTTCTTCTCTTATTATTCTTCTTACTTGGCTTTTCATCTAGCAATGTCACTTTCTCGGCAGAATGAGTAACGCCTGAAACAGAATCGTCAATTGAACTCTCAGCTTTAGATTCCAAAACCGTTTCAACAATCAATTTACCCTTCCCTTTCTCTTCTCTACTGAATTTGCTTCTTCTGTTCACATTCTCTTTCTTATTGTTTCTCTCCAATTTCTCTATACCCTCACTCTCTTCCCTTAATATCCTTTCCCCTTTCTTTTCAATTTCAACCTCCTCACCGCCTCCGTCTCCGCCGCCGTCACTAAATGAACTCCTCTTACTAACCCTCTTCCCCGACCGCAAACTCAAAACCCCTATACTCTCATGGTTCTCAAAATCACCATCATTATCCACACTCAACTTCCTCTTTTTCGAAAATTCTCCATTTCGCCTTTCAATCCGTTTCTCCACCTCCGAAAGGCCAACCTGGTCGGCACTTGAGGAAGCTTTTGTGGCAAGACGAAGGCTCCGCCTGAGTGAGGGCGTGGAATCGGAGCCCGACCCGAGGGTTTTAGGGGAGGGAGTGAGTGAGGGAGATTGGCGCGTCGCAGTTTGTTCGCGGCCTTGAGTGGGAGTGGCGGGTGGGTCGATGTTGGCCTGGGCTTTGCGGGGCTTAGGTGGGACAGGGGGGACTTCGCGGGATCTTAGGACCGGCATGGTTTGCTGTTGAAGGAACGGCAGGTAGTGAAACGGACAGTCTAAACGGAAATGGCTATGCGTTAAGCGATCAGGTGTAATATTAAAAAGGGCGCGTTCCTACCATATTTAGGGTTTGTTTGAGCGAGAGCTTCTTGTGTACGCTTATCAGTCTCAATTTTCCCGCCCAAATAAATGCGTCGTCTTACGTTAGGGACAGAATGGGCCGGGTTCATCCAACAAAATTATGACCAGAATGTTTTTCCATTTTTGGCCCAAAAAAATTGTACCGCTTGAATTATTCTAAATTCTTTTTTTTTTTGCCATAATAATTATTCTAAATTCAGTAAAAATAATATCACTATTACTTTTGGTTGATCTAGAAATTATAAGTTTGATTCCATTAACGTTCAAAAATCTATTTCTTTTTAAATCTTAAACTTAAATTTGATCTCAACATTTTTATTCGACCTAATAAAAAAATTATTTTCAAACTTGATATGTACTTTTTTTGAAATGCTTTCAAATGAATTCATATTAATGGAAAAAATATTATTTATAATTATTGTAATATAATTAATTAATTATAATTTTAAATTACATAAGATTCACTAAATTTTTATGTGCAAACACATTTACAAATAATAGATCTTATACAATTTTCAATTATGATTAAATAGTTTATAATAAAAAAATTACTCATTAAATTTTACCGTGTAATAATCTTAAAGGATGTCCAGGTACTGGAATGCGTGTTAGAAGGCTGAGCTCAAAAGGTTTGTCAAGTCTAAACGACCGCTGATTAGTGGAAAGTATCACGTGTGGGGCCATTCAAGCCTGGAACTCTAACATCCCATCGCCTCATCATCATTTATACTCTCTCCTCACATTCTTTCCCATTATTATGTATACTATTATTATTTATGTCCGTATATTTTTTTCTTTTTCTTCCGGTTCAACAACATTTAATAACGAACTTAAAGTTTGGTTGTCAATAATTGAATTTTAGTATATATAATTTTTTTTCTTGTTTTTATATTGAGATTTTTTATATATAAAAGAAAACAAAAAACAATAATAATTTCAAATTGAAATGTTAAGCAATGTCAGGTGATTAATATATTATATATTTTTAATTTAATAAAAATAATACATTAAATATATATTTTAAATAATAATTAAATAATTCTTAACCGTTATTCCGAATCTTAATTAAAAAGTTTCGCGATCTACCATGCAGCCACCGTTTCTCCGCCGCGTAGAATCTGGTCTCCTATTTTAATTTATTGTTAGAAGATTGGATTAAAATCCTCACATGCACCAAATGTTTGCTCAAAAAAAATATTTATATGGATGGGCAATTTTGTACTTTCATTCAAGTCAATTTCGGTGGCTTGCCAATTGGATTTATTTCCATTTTTATCATTCTTGTCTTATTTATTTGTTTCTTTTTAGTCCTTCGAAAATTTTAATTTGTCTTTGTCTAACTGAGGATTACTTCAAAAGTTGAGAGGCGCTTTTTCGTTCTATTTCCTCTGGCATCCTAAATACTGGTATTATTTTCATTGTCAATTACCATTGAATTAATCATTTAAATTTTTTATCAATTAAGTCTCGGTTTAATAAAATATTGATCCTCTTTTTTTTTGTGACATTTTCATTACAATATGAAGTATTTGTTCTTATTTTAGAGCTCATAAGTGAATCATTGTTAAAACTAATTAAAATCTTAAACCAATATATTTTTATGTTGGGTTGGAGAAGAGGATGCAAGCAAACACGAATTCTTACAATAAATTAGTGTAATGTTTTAAGCATGTGAAATAGTTTAGATATTTAAAAACTTTATAATAATCAAAATCAAATTGCTAACTAATAATTTTTATTGAATTTTTTCAAATTAAGTATAATAAATTATTATTATTTTTACTTAATACAACAAAGGCTCATTACATTTTTATTATTTGAAAAACAATTCGAGCCTCACTTTTTATGTTCACCAACGATTAAATAAAATATTCAAATTTAAACTTTTTTATTGTTGAATTCAATTAACACTCAAATTTAAAGTTATGCTAAATCCTAAACCCTACATTCAATCCAACCCAAAAATTGTAAAAAAAATGATATTATAATAATTACAAAATCCAATCATTTAGGGGCATAAAAGTATATATACATTTTTTGGGGGTAAATTGAAAAGACCACCATAATGAAAAAGGACCCATCTCATTTCCATAGTATCAAGTAAAACAACTCAGGCCCGAGGCCAACCCGGCAATAATTCCCATCCCTGTCTTGTCCTAACACGTTCTTTAGAATTTTCTAAGTCATTGTTTTCAGAATCTAAAATCCCGGAAAATACCCCAAATAATCTATATCTCTCTCGTTTTCAGTGCTTTGTTTTTGTTAATGAAGATTTAACCAAAAACCTTAATCTGCTTTCGTTTTATTATTATTACTATGAATAAATAATAAGTTGTTAGACTGTAATAAAATTTAGATGGGTCACAACACGCAGCATCACCACCACAACACGAGCGATGGCGTTTCACAGCGAGTTAACAGCCCACGTTTCTCGGGTTCCATGACTCGCCGTGCTCACTCGTTCAAGCGCAACAATGGCAACTCCCAAACCACCAATAGCACTAACAACGCCGTTGGTTCCAGTAACGGCAATAATAACGGAAGCAACGGCAACAACTTGAGCTTGCATCACGAGATTGATCTACAGTTAAATTCACCCAGGTCGGAGATTGGAGCCGTGGCTTCGGTTTCAATCGAGGGGTTGAGCCAAAGAAAAGGTTTGTTAAGGAAGCCGAGTGTTGGATCTATGGTTTTTGATTTTGGGTTGAAAGAAAGGAAGAAGCTTGGGCATTGGATGTTCTTGGTTTTTTGTGGGGTTTGTTTGTTCTTGGGTGTTTTTAAGATTTTTGCAACTGGTTGGTTTGGATCTGCTATCGAAACCGTAACATCAAATCAGGTACTTTTTATGATCTTTATTTAGTATTTTGCTATAGCTGTTTATGAAATTGACTTGCACTGGTATTTAATATAAATGGATCAATGTGACAAATGTGATTTATTTTTAGAGACTGTTAGGCTTTTTAGTTATCTTGCTTGGGAAATTAATGGGTGATTCTCTCGTGTACTTTTTGTCTTTTGGAAAATATTCATGGATGCAAAGCAGAAATTAGGGAGTAATCATATTAGTTGTATAACTTTTAAGTATTATTTTTGCAATACAAGACCATAAACTAGGCTAAAAGTAGAGTCGTTGCAGTTTAAAGTTTCATTTTAGTCAAGTTGTGGATATTTGGATAAAAACATGCAGTTCTACTTCTAATGCTGGTATAATTCTGGATTTGTGAAGTAGAATATTCATGTTTCATTATATGGGGTGTGCTCAGAGCTTGAATTTTCACCTGCTTTAAGTTGAGGGCTAAGCATGCTTAGTATATCACTAGAACAGACCTTTGAATTCTTAACTTTTGTGAAAAAAATTTTAATTTTTATGTTACTCCATTTATTTTTGTCAATACATATGATAAGTTTTAACAGTAGATAACTTGTAGAACATTCTTTATACTTTTCCTTGCTAATGTGCTATCACTGTCATTGTAATTAGGATTTATCTGATCAGTCCACCAATCGACTAAAGCTAATGGATCAAGGCTCTCATGATTATGGGTACAGGGAAGGAGGAAGTGATTCAGATCGAACTTTAATGACAGTGACATCAGTCATAACAGAAGTAAGTTTAAAATCTCTATCTTAAATTTGTTGTCTCACTTCTGCTTGGTTTGCAGGAAGAACATGATTAATGAAAAACACTTAGAATTGATTATTCTGATTAGAAAAAAGAATGTTTTGAACTTTTTCATTTCTTATCCAGCATTCAGGTATTTGGTCTCAACCAAATAGTGAGAATTTCACCCAGTGCATTCACCATTCAAAGAATCAGAAAAGTACGGAATTCTTTCTCCCTACTTTTTATGTGTGTGTTCACAGGCATCTTGATGTTTGTTTGCTGCAAACTTGCAATCCATTTCTATGGTTTTGCTTGTTCTAAGCTCTTCTAAATGTTGCTTTCTTGGCAGAGATAGATGCAAAGACAAATGGCTACATTCTCATAAATGCTAATGGTGGTTTGAATCAGATGAGATTTGGGGTCTGTTTGTTGTTTATTTCTCATTGTTTTTCATAGCCTGATCTTTTATTATTACTATACTCTGGTGTATCAATAATTTTAGAATGCAGATCTGTGATATGGTTGCGGTTGCTAAGGTTATGAAGGCAACACTTGTCCTTCCGTCACTAGATCACACCTCATATTGGGCTGATGAAAGGTTAGTTTCCTTGTGTATGGTGCTAATGTTTCAGATTGCCTGTTTTGCACCTACAATTATATCAGTTATTCTGATTCGATTGAGTGTTGAATGCTTAAGATAATAACCTTTATTTACATGATTTTGAATATGGATGTAATGCTACATGCTAAGACAAATGTTGGTTTATACCCTAGTGGATAGACAGGGAAGGTATAAATTCCATTATTAGGAATTGAATGATTCTTGCAGCCGGTCTGACCAGTTCTCAAAGATGCATTTCAGCACTAACTACATTAGGCTTCCTTCTTGTGCGCTTAAAAAACCTACATCTGTTGGTATTAATGTGTGGCTAACTTATGGTTATTCCTAGGTCAACATTCTTGACATCTAACATCGGGTACTTGAGTCATATAAGAGTGTTGCATGGCATGCATTATAGTTGTATGTTGTAGCATATTGTCTAGCTAATTGATTGGGTTGATCTATTTGCAGTGGCTTTAAAGATCTGTTTGACTGGCGGCACTTCATTGAGATCCTGAAGGATGATGTCCACATAGTTGAGACAATACCACCTGAGTATGCTGGAATTGAACCTTTTAACAAAACACCAATATCTTGGTCTAAGGTTAGTGCAAACTTATCTTTGCCATTTCCAAATTTCTATACAGAAAATACAGAATGTACCTATCATTGAGGATGGTTGCCTCTGTTTTTGGCCCGATATGGCAATCATTTGAGTAGTCCATTCATACGACTGTACAAGTGGCTTTGCTTCGGTCAAATCATATCATATGTGATACATGTGTTTTGTATTGCTGGTTCCTTCTGAGGTTAGTGGTAACTAACTTACCTACATTCTTTGATTTAGGTTAGCTATTACAAGGCAGAGGTCCTCCCGTTGTTGAAGCAGCATAAAGTAATCTATTTTACTCACACAGATTCTCGGCTTGCTAATAATGGTATCCCAAGTTCCATACAAAAGCTGAGGTGCCAGGTAAATTATAGGGCACTAAAATATTCGGCTCCAATTGAAGAACTTGGAAACACTTTGATTTCTAGAATGCGCAAGAATGGTGGCCCTTATCTTGCTCTCCATTTGAGGCAAGTAAAATAAAGTTATTTCTTACGCATATCAATACTATATTCCCCTTTCTCCATACTTTTCTTGTTTGGTTTGTCATGAGTAATCATTTGTTGTCATGAAAATGGGTGTATGGTATCATCTTTACTTTCATGATAAATGATAACATTGATAAGTTCATATTACTGCAAAGAAGTCAAGGCTGATGTATGTTCTTGCTTTTATTTGTTTAATCTGTAGATATGAGAAGGATATGCTTGCATTTACTGGCTGCAGTCACAGTTTGACAGCAGAAGAAGATGATGAGCTACATAGGATGCGTTATGAAATCAGCCATTGGAAGGAGAAAGAGATTAATGGAACAGAGAGAAGATTGCTTGGTGGCTGTCCACTGACCCCTAGGGAGACTTCCCTCTTGCTCAGAGCATTGGGTTTCCCACCAAGCACTCGGATTTACTTGGTAGCTGGTGAAGCTTATGGAAATGGAAGTATGGAATCTATTAAGGAGGATTTTCCTTACATCTTCTCTCATTCCTCCCTCGCTACAGAAGAGGAGTTGAATCCTTTCAAGAATCACCAGAACATGTTGGCTGGTTTAGACTATGTTGTTGCCCTTCAGAGTGATGTATTTGTTTATACGTATGATGGAAATATGGCAAAGGCCGTTCAAGGACATAGGCGATTTGAGAACTTCAAGAAGACTATCAGCCCAGACAGGTAATTTTCTACCTATTGGTTCAACTATTCTTAACCTTCTTAATCTGGTTGTTTCAATTGTTTTCTTGAATGAATAGTCCTGTAGCATCTAAACATTGTCATTTCCAGTGCAAAATGTGTATAAACAATTATGAATCTGTTGGTGCAGGGTGAATTTTGTAAAACTTGTGGATGAATATGATGAGGGAAATATTTCTTGGAAGAAATTCAGTTCCAAAGTGAAAAAGCTTCATAAAGATCGAGCTGGAGCTCCATATCTTAGGGAGCCTGGAGAATTTCCAAAACTGGAGGAGAGTTTTTATGCAAATCCGCTTCCAGGATGCATCTGTGAAAAAACAGAAGAAATATAGAAAAGCAAAAACACAGCTTCTGCAAATTTGTCTTAATGCTACAAAGTAAAAGCTCAACTGAAAAGGAGGGTGTGCTGGCATTGTTTCAGACAGGCCAGTCCAGAAGGATGGAATCGTATATATACCATTCAAAACCATGACTCAACTCATTGGTTGAAAAATGCCTGCTCAAGTGGGAAAATCCGTGGGTGGCATGCAAACTAACACATTAAGTCATCATCAATGGAGGTATTAGCAGGTCACAGCAGATACAGTTGAAAGATAAACATTCATTTGGTGGAGTGGAATATCCTTTCTTGTCCATCAGAAAGAAAATGTTGTTGCTTATTTTTCCTTCTATTTTGACAAAAGAATTTCCTTTTATTTATTTTTTTTCTGAAGAATTGTTTAGGTTGTGGATGCAAATAAAGTTGGGGGGGGGGGGGGGGATGAATGAGGCGGCTATGTTCCCATACCAAAGTTAGAATTTGAATTAACTGATGGAAATACCACAGGATGATATTGATTGAATTGTATCACATCTTGATGTTAATTATACCAAAATATAATTTCAGTTGGTGTTAATCACAACCAATGAATGGATGGATATTCAGAATGCAAATGTCTGCATTTATTTTTTGTACAAAGCAAAATATGAATTACAGAATGGTGGATCGAAATTATAATGGAATAAGAACCCTTTTTTGTTGGTGAACCATTTCAAGGATATTCCCACATTTTTCTGTCATCTTCACTTTCCAACCTTTATGTAAAGTCACAAATGCAAAATTATTGCATAAATCCATATGGAAGTCAGTCAACTAAAGTTGCCATCAGAGCAGGAAAGAAAAAGGAAAACTGAAGATAATATCTTTAATATTCCTACATCTGGCCTCTTAATAAAGTGTTGTTCTTATTCTTTTCTTTCATATTTCAATACTAAAATGTATAAAATGTGACGAATACATTCTTGATGGTTGAAAACATGAAACGAAAAAAAAAAAAGGAATAACACCATTGGTCGAGAAAGGAGACAACAGATGCTTAAAGGAATCTTTTCTCTTCAAAAAAATACAACAGCAAATAGAAGCTCACAAACAATGTGTATCCAAAACGTTTAAAAAGAGGAAGAAAATTCATTCCGCTACAACTGCAAAATAGAGTCCACAAGGTCAGACAGAGGTGCAAGTTCTCCTTTGTCAATCAACCGGAATTCCTGCATAACATGACAACCAATTAGATTTGGAGGCCCTCAAGAATCATCTAGTAGATGCCAAATACATTGTTATGGCCACAATTTCAGTTTTTCTAAGTGAGGAATTTGGTTGGAAAAGGGTGAAGTGAGGCAGACTTAACAACCATTTATTATGCACATGGACATGCTTTCCACAAGCAAAAAGAATAAAAGATTTTGACAACTTACCCAAGTAAACAGAACAAAATGCTTAAAACAAGTATTCAAATGAGCTTCTTCCTTCAAACCCACAATCTTCTGAAAATGTGAGTGGTAAATGTGAGCATATACTCGGAACAATCTTTTAAATATTGTCCTGACAACATCTCGAAAATTTGGTGGAAAGGGTGCACCTGTAGCACATAAAAATTCAAGCAATCACAAAGGCTTCAATTTCGAAAGGCATTTAACTCTACTCGTACTAACCCAATTTTTGTGGGAAAATAGCTTCATCATCTAGCTGAGCTTCAATCCAGTCCATCAGATGCTCAGCATACTTAGGAGCTGATACCTCTATAGGCTTCTTAATAGTAACTCCATCGGCCCATCTATACTCATATCTGCCCACATCAACGATTAAACCAACCAGTGTCAATCTTTATTAGTAATCACAGATACTTTTAGCAAAAAAGCAATCAAAACTTAGAATCACTAGCTTTTAAAGAAGAAAGAAATGCAAGGATCAAGGGTATCAGATAAGTTATGAGGGTCATCCATTCCAGCAAACTACAAAAGAACATATCCAAGCTCCCTTAACAAGTCTCTAAATGGAGCTCTCAAGTGCAATTCTCAAGCAAACTATACTTAAATTCAGCTAGGATCCGAGTAAGGGATTAAATATCATACTTTGGTCCTGCTGTCATTGTTGGACAGTTGTTTGGAGTGCAGAATTCAGTTAGAGTACCATAAAGGATGTTCACCTGATTGAAGAAATCCACCGCTGCATGAAAAAGAACGAAATGAACTTAAAATTAGTTCCAGAAAAACCATTCACAATTAATCATTATTAAAACGCTGGTTTATGATTAGGACTCTTTAGCAAAGGAAGTGTCAAGTTTTTTATTCATATGCTCAGATTCTTACTATTTACAGCTAGCCATTCATTGATATCTTCTCCAGGTGGCAGCCTAACAGCTTCTCTCAAGTTCCCACTACCCAAGGTAGCATCAATATGCTTTTGAAGCTGAGCACCCTGCATTTCATTAAAATTGCATTCCTTCAACTTTATAACTTAACTGAAAGCACCCTAAGACATGTTAACAAATATTAACCCAAACAAGAAAAAGGGAAGCACACCAACCTTGCTTCCGGATGGAGCATTCTTCTTAGGCCTAAATGTCTTCTGGTTTCTGCACAATTGTAAGTTCATTGTTATAATTATCGGGAAAAAAGTTTCAATTTCCATGGTGAATGTGCAATTACCATATAGAATCCATATTATTGACTTTCCTAGAATCCAATTCTGCAGCTATGAGAATGAGATCAGCACTTATGCATGGTAAGACAGCTGTCATCAACTTCTTATAACATAATCTAGAATTCTTCAAGAAAGAGTTTTTTTGGGGGGGTCGAAATCATTTGCCTAGTATCAAAGTGAAATTGATTTTATGTCATAAATATTTCTAATAATCCTCGTTCGACATGCAACGGGAATTCAGATGATTTTTATTACTACTTCTCGAAATACCAGATTTGAAATCAGTTATCAACTTATCATCACGTCACAAACACAAAATAAAGGGAAAAAAAAAGAAGAAGGAAAAAGAGAGATCACGGCCATAACTAAAAAAGATATAGAAACGAGGAGGAATGGAGAAAATTTCGAAAGAAAGGAGATTAGGGTAATTGAATTGGTGTGAACCTGCTACCGAGGCCGAAAAGACTCATGGCAATGGAGAAACCTTGTCGTTTCTGGCGGTGTCAAAGTCTTTGTCTTTAGAATCAAAATGCAAGAAACAGAGGTTAATGAAAACAAGAAACACGTTTATACTTCATATGTATATATATATATATATATATATATATATATATATATATATGTATATACATATATATATATATATATATGGCGATAAGAGAAAGCGTTTGGTAAATAAAATAAGAAAATATCAGTATATAGATAATGAAGATAGAAGACAGACTGGCAAAGACAGAGAAACTCTCTGTCTCTCTTTAAATTCTGTTAAAGAACAGAACAGAACAGAATCCAGCCAGAGCAGACAGGGTCCCCTTGCCTTCTTTTGCATTTGCCTGCCTGCTTACCTGGCTTTTTATTCCTCTTCCCCCTAAATTTTTTGTCCTTTTTAAAAAATTTTATGAAAGATAGGATTTTGGTAATGATGAAGGATTGGTTTCTATTGATTAGGATAAGGGCAGGGGAATATATTATAAAGTCTATCCAAAAAAAAAAAAAAGATCGAAGAACTTAATGTGGACGAGGGGGAGGGTTGGATCGTCTTAGCTGTAAGGATTTGCTGGATTTTGGATTTGTTTGTTGGGGTGATTAAGCAAACGTGTCTCAATTCTGATGTAATAATATATAATGCAAAAGGTGTCCCGATACTATGTGTTGGGTTGGATTGGACCACTGACGTGTTAAGCTTTCCTTTTGTTCTTTGCAATTTGCCTTCTAGCATAAATTTGCTAGGAAAACTTCATTTTTTTTTTCGGTCAGTTCTGCTTCAGAATTGTTCAAGTTGCTTTAACTTATATTCAGGTTGATGTAAAGAGTTAGAAAAGAGTTAGAAAATCGATCTAGTGGAAATTTGAACTTTGAAAAATGATTATTTAAGATGTTTTAACAGTTGTGTATGATAGGATTGGTAGAATCTGGGACTGGGATGCTCTCAAATTGTTTATTGGATTTGTGCTCTTGCTAGCTTTACCCTGATTCTGCCAGTTATCTGCAAGAACCAAAGAGTGCTATACAGCTAAGTCAGCTCTCACGCTCCTGAATTTTGAACAATGTAAAAAGGGACACTAAAAAGTAAGTAAGCCTTTCCCACGGTGCCAGCTGCCCAGCTCCATGCATGTCCACTCTTTGTAATGCATGTACCTTACATATTTTCAGTATAGCATATATTCTTTTGAAGTTGATTAGCATCATTATATTTATATTTTCGTATCCATGGAAATGATTGTAAGGATCAGTACTTAATTCATGTTGTTAGCATGCTTTCTTAGTTATATCTTCTGTGTAGTATTAGTAGTAGTAATAGTATATGCTTCTTCAATGGACTCCTAACATATTGAATATCTGATGCAATTAAGCTCTTGGTTGTCATGTGTTAGTAGATTGCACTGGATCTCTATTGTTTTAGGTTTATCATTTGATTTATGTAAGAGAATTTCATTGTTTTTGCTTTTGCTTTTGCTATAAATTTCTGTAGATTATGGGACTATCCTATAAAAATTGTTTTAGGAAGCCACGGTCCAAGGAAAATAGTACCAGTATTACTTCTTTTTTGGTGCATCAGAAAGGAAGCTTTCTGGGTGGAGCAAATTGTATGCTCTAGAAATAGAATCAAGGCTAAATGACACTTTTTTGTTTAATAAAATTTCAAATATCAAATATTCTGTTTATTTTATTTATGGGTTTGGATTTACCCCATAGCTTGTGAATTTCAAGCCATTTTGGTCACTGCTAGAATTTAAAAAACTAATTTGAAATCAGGTCCAATCCTGTAGCCTTGATGAAGATACTGCATTAAGGGTTGGTTTCAAACCCAGACAGCATCAAGATATTAATAAGGAAGTACTAGAAGATAGTGTACATCAGGATTTTAGTCAGCCTTAATCTCAATCTCTCTTTTGCCTGTCCGGTCCATTTGCTATGGATCGGGGACATTTTTCGTGAAGGTTTTAGCAAGTATTTTACCACTGATTGATTTTTAATATGCAACTTGGCAAGCATATGATGTTAGAGGCTCCACTCTTGTTTCTTTTGAAACTTCAAATTATAGTAAACTCTGATTCAGTGATGATTCCTGATTCTGATGCTGGGAGCAGTAGAATTTCAAAAAGCTTGGAACACATAAAATACTACTACTTGATAAGGTTATGATATATGAAGTAGTAATTTTTAATGTTGACCAATTTTCAACCAAAATATTATTTCTCAGGGGCATATGTTCATCCCAAAAATATGTCCTGTCATTGCAATATTCCATTCTAAAAGTAAATTGCACCCCAAAAGGCTGCTCTCCATCATTTTTGGGGATTAATGAAGCTGGTTATTTCCCATTCAAGAGAAAAAGATAAACAACATAATTGGATTTAGGAATTTGCCTTTTAGGGATTGGTTTTTTTATTAGATTTTTGATTGTCAGAAATCACCCCCCCAGAAGACAATTGACCATGAAGACGGAATACAAAGAAGCAGAACTAGACTCAATTGCAAGTAATTTTAATCAGACTACCGTTGACTGGAAGACACTAATGCTTCCAGACTTCTTAGCATGACAGTTGAAATTATGGAAGAGACAAAGACTCTGCATACATTTAGATATCTTAACCAGTTCCTCCAAGAACGCCCTTCAGCTTCTTCACCTGAGCATCGTCAAGGAAAGTGGTCTCTTCTATAATGTCAGAGGGCAAATTATTTCCGAACAAGGCAAAGTCCAGGATTTGGAGACCAGGGCTTGGACTACTGAAGGATGCAAATGCCAACGCTTGAGTTTTACCTGCATTGATTTGAAAATGCAATAAACCTTGGGGGAAAACCATAATATCCCCCTTTTTGAGAGATTTGAAGTAAACTTTGTTCGCAGAGGATATGAATCCAGCACAAATTGACCCTTGAATAACAACAAGGATTTCTGAACCCCCAGGGTGCGTATGCATAGGCACCACTCCACCAACAGCCAAATCCAGACGAGCTATGGAAATGCCAAGTCCATTAACACCAGGAACTTGAGCAGAAAAGGCGGGTGTTACAGCAGCTTTTATGAGGTTTGACGTGTTGCCTGCAGCACCAAGGCCTGAGAAAACAAAATCGTCTGTGGTGACTGCTTCAGGCTTCTTGCAAGAGTAGCCTGCAGGACCTTGAGGAGCACTTAAGTCTGCAACGCAGAAGTCTAATGCATTGGAGGAGGAGAATAGGAAAGAAAAAATGAAAAAGATAGAGAGAAGCATCTTTTGCCACTATTTTTGAGGCTTGATAACGTTTTAGGCTGTGCTCGAAGGGAATCTCCTACCCCATATATAGAATGGAAAGCCTGGATATTTTGAGCCATTGCAATTGGTAATTGAAGGCATGCCCATGCATACTCTCACATGATGATGATGAGATCGATTCCATGTGTGAGAAACGACAGATTTTGAGCAGTGATGCATGTGAATCAGCGGTAACATTTTTCTCATATAACAACAAGAATTCTCTTTTGGCTTGGAAAAGCAGGGGCATGAGAAAATTATCTTTTCCATCCAATTAACGCGGGTCAATTTCATTTCTTGACTGACTTTCAAGCAGTAATTTGAAATCCAATAGTATTTTGACTTATGTCAGTTGTGTTTCTCTCAGCTCAAGGTTTTTTTTTTTTTTTTTCTCTACTGTATCATTTTATAAACACAACTAGGTTTCAGGCATGACCATGCATCTATATATTCATCAAAGTGACTGTTTGTGCCGAGTTTTAATATCAAGGTATTCTTAAAAAGATAAAAGAGAGTGACAATTAGAAGCAAAGTTAAAAAGTATTTTTTATGTTTGTATTTCGACACACAAAGTAAAATGAGTGAGATTGAAAGGAGAGTAGTAAAAAGAATTAAAAGTAAATTAAACTTGCCTTAATGATGTCTAGACATTTGTATTTATAGATGAGAGATAGGAGACCATTGGGAGATAATAAAGACATGATCAAGTTAATATGGCCGAATTGATGTGGTACTAAATATGTCAGGCCAACCTGACATATCAGATTAACACAAATATTGAAATTACCTCTGATTGTCTGCTGAAGGCTTCTAACAAGGAAAAAGACTATTATATTCATTTGACCATCAAATGCCCCCAACATTCTATCACTCCCTCAAGCAGTCAAATATGAAATTGTTGGGTATGTAGTCAATACATTTCGTGCAGGCCAAATAAGTAAAAAAGGATGACATGAAATTTGATTATTTATAGCCAATGTCACAGTGGAAGTTAGCTTTAGGAAACAATTAGCGTTAAGTCGTGGTTTGACATTATAGGGGTTTGATCTTACGCATATGTCTTTGGTTGAGTGCATAGCTGGCTTGAAAGTCGTCGAAGGTGTCAATTGTTCGAGGTGATCTGACATTAGTGTTAGAGTTCGTCTGATCGATGTGAGATTTTATGTTTTATTTCAAAAGTTTGGATTCAAGTCTCTATTTAAAACTTTGAAAACAAATCAGATGTTCGATCTGACCTGAAAAGTTATCTAGTTTGGCTTGTCTAATGGCATTAAATGAAAAGAGATGTAGTTTAAGCGAAAAAATTTAAAAAGGGAATACGAAAAAATATCTTCCCATCTTCACTCTAACATGTGGTATAGTCTGTGCCGTTCATCTTATTTGAGGATAGTTATATAAAAGGTCATTAGGGCTTCCATTTTTTACTTTTTACTTTCTTTACTATCCATTTGATCTAAAATTTTTAACTTCAAAAGCTTTTTGGCCTTACAGTTATTTTTTTATCACCTATTTTCTTTGCTTTCTTTTGTATATACTTTCAATTATGTCTTCTAATTTAAGTTTTGGGGAGGTCGGGAGTTTCAGGGTAGAACTTAGGGGGGTCAGCTCGGGTAGGATGATGACAACCTAATTTCATCAATCATCATAGGTTGTAATTATTATAAGGTGGCCTTTGATGTCTAAAGAAGGACAATAACAAAAAGATGACAATGTTTGGGCAAGAGAAAAATGGGTGTTAAACATAGAGAAACTGTGTGCTAAAATAGATTTTGACCTACATAATCCATTTTTTTTCCTCATTTTTCAGGTTAGTTCGTCTTCTATGGTTGACATTCTTTCATCTTTAGTTGTTTTTCTTTCTGGAGTTTAGTCTCATCAGTTTTTTTTTACTTTTACTCTTTCACTTATAGATGTTACCATTGTCACTTTTATTTTTCCTCAATCAATTTTTGTTGAGATTACTTCTTCTTCTGAAGGGTATTTACTTCATCCTTCATCTTTTGGGGTCATGTTGCTCTTAACCATAGTTCAATATCAGAATCTTACTCTTACTCAAGAGTTAGAGTCTTCTAGTGATGAATATTTTAACGATAAGGAGGGTTTTAATGAGAAATAAAGAAAATGGAGTACTTCGACTAAGAAAAGTGACGATGATGAGGGGAATCCTATAGAGCATGATGAGTTAGCTGAAATTCTTATATATACTCATTGTGACCTCGACATGATCCCCAAAGATGTGATAAGAAAACTAAAGGGCAGGGCTAATCCTGAAAATTGTTTTAACATATGTTCAGCTTATCACGTCCACACTTTGGAAATGACTTTTTTTTTTCTCAAATAGGGGTATAGCATATTAATGCTGAACTTTTCAGATTAAGCCACTAATAAACTACAATCACATCGGCTCTATGTATATTGAGATTCATTCATAGTTGGTCTAAGGTTTTCCTTTCATTTTTTGTTTGTTTCAATTTTTAATTCTTACAATTTAACTATCATACAGCTCACTCCTAACTTTATATGGTACATAATAGGTTTTATCATTCTTTGTCAACATTTAGATATTCTTCTCGCTCTTTTTTTATTCAAAAAAAATTTTTCTATCAAAAAGCACCCCAGCGATAAAAGATGGCATTACATAACAGCTTGGCCAAAGAAAAAAATATTCATTGATGGTCTGATCTGTATAAAAAATTAAGAGCTGCTCTTCGTTTGCATTCAAAATCAAAAAATAAATAAAGATGATGATATCGAGGTTAGGGTCGTTATCAAATTGAGGCATAAAAGATAATAAATGGGTCCGTCATTTTTGTAGATGCACCAATAGCTCTGTCCATCTTGGATCTATCAAATCAAGATAAAATAATGTAGTATACCTGTAAGAAAAGCTCGTCATTGATGCCCACGGGTTAACCTATCTCAAAATAATAAATGAGACAAAATATTAAGGTAGGTGTGAGGTAACATCATTGGATTTTATTTTAACCTAGTTTTTATCTAGTTGTTAGCTTGATTATGCAGAGATATCCATCAACAAAGATTTCAACTTCTCTATATTTCAGCTCAAAGAACTCAGAGCAAAAAAATTTAACTCAGGGCTTTATTTCAAAAAAGGATAAGGTCATTAACCTTTCGAACTAGCACTCTTTTGTAATCTAGAAGACAAAGTTCATAACTTGTCAGGAGCTCTCTACAACACCTTTTCTTGCCAAAAAATCAAAGGTTGAGGTCTCATTTTCCACTATAGAGAATCTCAAAGCAAAGGTGTTAAAACCTAACTTGGAAAGGATTTGCACAAGGTTGGAGTATACTCTTACTGATGACCTCATCGAGAACCTCGACATAACGAAAAGGTTTCGTAAGGTGCGATCATCCCTTTGGCAAGTACTACCTAACTCCAGCTTGATTTTTTTATTATTCTTTATTTTACTAAGTTTGAGTTCATTATATGCAGTCTAACAGAAGTTTTCACCTCAGCCCTTAGATAACACCAGCCATGCATTTACTATGCCTATCTTGCTATAGCCCATTTTTTAAGGTTAAAAAAGATGTGGCTGCCCTGATTGAAGAGCATAAAAAGAGCTCGAATGTTTTAGGCAACATTAGGTCTAACCTTAGTGCATCCCATAAGAAAGAGGCTGAGTAGGAAAAAAAGAATGACGAACTGATAGCGAAGCTAGATGTCATCTTGATTGAAAAATCTCGATCGATTTTATAAGGGAGCAGGTCGAGCTCAAGCTTAACGATGTTCAAGTCGAGATAGCAAGGCTGAAGTTTGAGTTAGAGGCTAAAGAGAGGAAAAAAAAGATCTGAAAAAAAAAAACTATAAGGACTTCAAGGCTTCTAATGAATTTCTTTAGCTCCAAGTGGAGTTCTTCAAGGTCAATGTGTTTGGTGCCTTTGATCTAGCCAAGAATGAGATACAATTCAAATTTATCGACCTTAACCTTGATCTCTTTGATATTGATATCAATAATATCAGATCGAAACCTCCTCTATGTCAACCCAAAGAGAAAAAAAAAAGATGATGATATGACCATGGACGCTGACCGCAAGGTAGTTTTGGGGATCGAGCATGAAGTGGATAAAGCTGAAGAGGTTGAGGTCATTGTTGTGGCTCTTTCTGGGTGCTATTGCTACTACTGATGTTGCTGACACGTAATTTTTTTTAAATTTTTTATTAATTTTTTTTATTTTAGATATGCTGATGTATGAAATCAGTTTTTATAGTGACCTTGAATATGAATCTTTTACTAACAATCCTTTAATTGATAATTTTTGTATAGGTTATACAAACAAGGAATACATAATTTGTTCATTTTATTTAAGTTTTAGTTTAATTTTATTATTATTATTTTTTTATTTGTAGAAGTTTAAGCACATTAATCACAGTAACATAAGTTCTATAAATTTATGATAACAAGTTTAAGCTTGATGTTTGATTTGACTAAAGTTAATTTGATCAAGCTCGGTTAAATAGGCTGAGGATTTATGTGGTCGCTTAAAAATATCTCAAATTAATTAACTTGAGAATCCATCTAAGTTTGAAGTCAAATTTTGTTAAATCGATTGGGGTATGAGCTCAATGTAAGCGTAAGCATAAGTGTAATCAGGTGAGCATAATTTGATTCTATATTTAAGTATAAAGTACAAGTGTGAACTCAATTTAGTCTGAGCTACTGGTAATAAACTTTTAAGTTATTCTCATTCCATGTCTTTGGGATGATGTTGCCGTTCATGTCCTATAGTTTATAAGTTACATCACAAACGATCTCTTTGATTTCATATGATCTTTCTTAGGTCGGGGCTAATTTGCCACTTTGGTCATTTACTCTTAAAGTTTTAACTTTTTAAAGCACCAAATCACCTTTTTCAATGTGCTTACATCAAATTTTTTTGTTATAATACTTGGATACCTTTTGTTGATAAGCTGCTATCCATGTTAGGATTATATCTTTTTATTCTTCAATAAGGTCTAAATTGACCCTAGAGTCTCATCATTTTCTTTTTCTAACCCTAATTTGACCTGTAAGCTTGAAAGGTTAATGTCAATAGGTATCACAACCTCTGTTCTAAATGTCAAGTGGAACAAAGTTTCATCTATTGGTACTTTAGTGGTTACCCTTAGGGCCTATAACACCCCTAGTAGTTCGTCGGCCATTTCTCTTTTGCTTTATCTAGTTTTTTTTTCAAAGCTTCTAATATTATCTTGTTCGCTACTTCGGCCTAACAATTGGATTGAGGGTAGGCAACTGACATAAATTTCAAGTTTATATGAAGGTTTGAACACCATTTCTTGAACCTTAAGTTTTTAAATTATTTATCATTATCTGTTATTATAGATTGAGGTAGGTCGAATCTATAAACTATATTCTTCC